GCAATACTCACAGCCCCCGAGGTCGCTGTGTTATCGGCGTGCCAGGCACACCATTTTAGGAAACCGGTGAACTCATATTGTTATACTGATGGTAATACGCCCCCAAACATCCCATTGGCGAGGAAATAAAGCCGGGAAAAAGGCACGTCTCAATGAGCGGGTATGCCAATATGCTCTATGATCTACCCCGTAATAGAGATATATCAAGTCGGTACTACAGCTTCACGTGGAAGCACCAATGTAACTGGACGTGCCATGAGTGTCCGAAAGCTCGAAATCACCTGTTACTGTCGCTGCTAAATTAAGGAACACGATACAACCCCGGAATTTGCAAGACACTGGCCCTCAAGATCTACCCACGGAAACGGCGCAAGCACCATGTGCCCCCAAGCCACTGGTGCACAGCAGAGTCGGCCCCAAGGTAACGAAAACTACTAATTTCCACCCTATTTTGGGCACCAACAAAGTCTTCGCTTCTTGTGCCAATGCAACCCACGTGATGCAACGAAGGTGAGGGACCTGAAGAAACAGGTTTTCTTGAGGACAACCGGATGGAAGTGAGCTCGGAAAAGGGTAGACTAAGATCATTGCCAACCAAACCCACTGCCCTGTACCTTGTAGGACAACGGAACTGACTGCTTCGTCTTGTTCACTGTCCCCTCCACCAACTGAATCACTTAGGAAAAAGGGGGCAGTCTGAAAAAGAGAAACAGAACTATTACCGCTAGGAGCTTAAATCCCAGCCATCCTAGATGGTTGCATTCACTGCAGTCAAATCCGCGTAGTCTTCGGTCGAACGCGCCAAACATAACCCACACTCATCCGATAAAACCTCCTTTTGTCTGTTGTCATTGTGGCTCATGACATCTAGCTAAGTTCCGTCCACTTGAAAATCACGAATGCTGACAGTGTCATAGTTTGGGCATAAGTAAGGTTAGGTTCCTTCAAACAAAGTGCTTCCATGAAGACTGAACGTCAGTTCTCTAAATCCAACCAATCCAGCCAAGTTCAGAGCCGTTTCGCGATTCTCAAAGTTGCTTCTAGGAGCAGACAAAAATTTGTTGACCCACCTTTTAATATTGAATCTATTCGTCTTCAGCCTGGTACAGCTTCCGGCATTACGTTGATTTCTAGCAGTACCTGGGGCACGCTTGGGAGCTCAAAGGTCCGGCCTACTGAGCACATTGCTCGAAATGCTTCGAACATGCTGAAACTCATTGGTTAAATTAACTGTACTATCCAGCTTGAAGGACACAGTCTCCATGATCTGTGTTATTTAATGTACCGTCGTGATTTAGAACAGCTTAGTTGGGATTTAGTGCACAAACTGGGTAGGTTAAATGTCCGCTTGAATTCAATATGTTCTCATATCACATCATCTTCACACAATGTCGTTTCATTTCATATGTCCGGTAAGTCTCTACAGGGATGGTTAGCTCCGAAGCATGCATCAGTTTTTCTCGACAAGCTTGGTTAATGTAAATTTACTCAGGTTTCTCTTCGTTTAAGCCAAATGCAAAAGTGGCTTTTGGTCTGCAACGTTCAGTTCCCTGTGCCTAAGTAACTCCGGCTGACAGTCAGCTGGATGGATTGGAAGCATTGGGTGCTCCTCAGTCCGTTACGTAATCCACATGTGCTGCTCCAGTAGGAGCTGTTCGCAAGGGAAGTCGTCCCATTTCTTTATTTCCCTAGTTTTCCATCGGTTTAAATGATGCCCCAAAAGATCACGCTTATCCACTACCAATACAGTGAGACGTATTCGTCAAACTTATTGGTGACAAGTGCTTTGCTATAATCTATCCTCCAGATACACATCTTCGAGCTGAAGTCGAACCAAGTTCTAGAGGGTTGTTGACAATCATCACCGCAGAGGTTCTTACCAATTTACGCATCTACCTCTCAGTGTTAGACCAGTGCCAGCCATCCTTTGGGGAATCATGGAGACAATGCTTGCAAGCAACCTCGAGTTACGGCCTATCTACAAGGTGCGATCATCGTCGTGACCAGAAAGTCTGAATTGTCTGGCCATCCAGATGTTGTGCTATCGAAACTGAGTTTGGGTCTTATCTAAAAGAAGCAAAGTGTACATTTCTCACGGATTCGGTGAAATATTTTGCTTGTGTCTTTGACTGACAAGAAAAATGATCAGATCCAGAAAATGGACATGCCTGCTCCATTCAATGTCCAACGATGGAAGTGGAAACCGCATCAGCGAATTTCATTATGATTCACGGGCCAGTGTAACCTTCGTTACTTGGTTCCGAATATACAAATACCATTTCGAAGCTGATTTTGCTGTCCAGGATGTTCCACGGAAAGTTCGTCTCCTTTGAAAACTTGATCCGTCTGAATCAGGTTATTATTGCAATATTATACTGCCACGGAACCTGAAAGATCGCTTCATGGACATCATAACTCACACCCCAAGAGAACAATTTGGTGGTCATCCACCTTTTTCAATAGCAAATACCCTTGTCCCAAACTGGTTATGAACAAAAACGATGATTTTGTGTTGCAACCGTGAACGCGGGAAATTAAGGTTGAGGTTCATCGGCGATAATCGCTTCAAATCCTATCTACTCATATGCGGTCGTCAGTTACCCAAGTTTGCGGATGTCAGAATGGGATTGTTAAGTCGGTTGGAGTAAGACCCAATGCTAACACTGGGTGGCATCACTTTTGAATGCCAAACTCGTCAACTTGCAACGGGGCACAAGCTTAGTCAAACTCAGACACTAAGGTGATCATGAAGTGCGTGGAGTTCGCCTGACATCCAGCTCCTCTATATCATTTTTCGACCTAAAAAACCCTGATTCTTTTTCTTCTGTTCACCATTCTAGTAGGTCAAGTCATCCCAGGAGAAACATAAGGGAAACTCCTCTAACACCTCGGGATACGCCATGGCGACCTACTGCAGCCGCAAACCTGGACAGTTGGGATTAGTTTGAGCTCCAGTCTGGAGGCGTGGAAGGTGATACACACTAGAACAATCGAAGCGATAAAACTAGATATGCCCTGAGCAGTTGCATAGTCTCCAAGGTGTCCACCGGGAAGTACCTATTGCCAATCTTCGGTGACACACTAGATACCGTTGCCGACCTTAACATAGCGGCATCGGAGGGGGGTGCCGTCATAAGTTTTCAAGGGGGGAGGTCGGAGCCCCAGCCTCTAAATAACTCCTCATGTTCTTTGAATCTTATGATGAACCAAACTGGGAGGTGCCCTGTGTGCTAGGCCGTATTGTGGCTCTTAATCAATAGCTGCTGGTAAAAATAGTCCTGGAACGCACCAAGGCTCACCGATGCAGCAATATTGGCTATCAGGCACAGATATTAGTTTATGAATTGGCTAACTAGTGGAGAAAACACACGAGGAGTAGCACCTGCAAAATCGAAGATTAGAAGGTAATCATCAAAAAGGAGGAGACATGAAAAGGTTTACGTAGTCCGGCTATTAAAAAATTACTGACTTGACTGTCAGTCTGACTGTGATCGTAATAAACACAGATTGCGTAATGGTTTGTCCATTTTTGGACTGGTTTTCTTGATCCGCTTGTCACTTCTTCCTTTACTGAAGAGAGACGCAAGAAAAGGACAGGAGCAAATCAGAGCAAATTTTGGGAGTTGCCCTGCCGCGAACTTGACAGACACCGAAGTCAGTCACTAATTATTTGTACTTGTTACGTACCCGCAAATACGAGACCAGGGAAGAACACGGTAGCGTAGTCGGATGGAATAATATATTCGCGAGGTCGTGCCTAGATACGGATGCGGTCAAAGTAACTGGCTAGAGGGTCGATTACGAGCAGTGCAACGTAACGCACAGCACCCTAGAAAACACGACTTGTTCACCTAAAGGTGTTCAAGGGAAAGAGGTGACATAATGATGGTCTGCGGGGTCATTCATCAAGTGAACCATTACAGCAGGACAGAATAACCGGCTCAAGATCGATAGTCTAGCAGGAATCTTTCATCCCAACATAGAGCAAAGACGAGAGTCATACCTAACTCGTATCACAGAGTTTGTGCATTATGGGGCATTTTCCCGAAAGAAGCAGCCACAATCACCTAATTTGACGGCTTTTAGCGAACCCATAATAAATACGTGAGCGCAACACAGGTCGGTAGCAAGTGAACATACTTTCATTCATCCCCTGTCACCCAATTCTAGTATCTACATCATGAACCATACCATTTCCCATTCCCAATCAACCCTCTTCTCTTCTCTTTTTCTAGCCCCGTTTAGGATGGCACTTGATACTTTCCGATTTACTGCTGCATGCAAAGACAGGGAATCCAAATGGATAGTTGGTCTTACTCCTAGCTGCTCTACCACTCCAAACAAAACAGCCTACATTTTGAAAAATAAAGCCTCCAGGTAGACAATCACTCCTCATGAAAGCTGTGAGCAGGCATAGTGAGAAGGCTGTTGCAGCCATGGAAGGGGGGATAACTGGGTGCACCAGTCGAGCCTCAAGATATTGATGCGAGAGTTCAAATGGTACAAGTTTCCTCTGTCCACACTACTGATGTTCAGTTTCAGTTTTTAGTTCATGTGGCAATGAAATGAAAAATTTGGCTTACATACGAGGGTTGAATCATTGTGTTTCATTCTTCATGCAATAACAAAGCTATGATGCAACTTATTCCTATTTGATAAGCTTGTCTTTCCGCATAGTTGTATCACTAATCTTAGAGAACACATACAGAAACTGAGATTAGAACATAGCAGGTTAGATATCAAACACAACTTCTATTTTCTAAGAGTTGTTAAACCCTGGAATGCCTGACTTACAGAAGTGGTCCAGGATACTTCGTCTGAATCCCGATACTTATCAGAGATGTGGTTGGGATCTGCTGGGAACTAAATTTTCACATTTAAACAGCGACTTTTTGCTCGCTGTTTACCACAAGAGGTAGTGACCTACGGATTCTAGACAAATAAGTTAGTTGAGCGAAAGCTTCTTCAATTCCTTCAACAATCATTTGCACCATTTGAACGTGAAAACAGATCGTCTCGTAACTCAGCGGGTTGTTCAGTTTTTATGTTTGTCGGTTAGTCATGACATGGTTTATTTTTCTCTTTTTCTGCTGACATTTATGGGAAATATAACCTAGTGAAACATTATCATATCAAAGTGGGGTGGATTTTGCAATATGGATATATTATTATCGATTACAATTGAGAAGACTCCATTCGGATTTGGATTCTCGTTAAAGGATGAAGGTAAGTCTTCTCCTAGTTTTTATTCATCAGTCAGCTTAGCACATTATGAAGATTTTCGTTTGATGCAGTAGGTTATATTAAAAATGATCGCATATTTATAAGGGGATAGAGGATGAAATATTGGTTACCTAGTTATTTTACGGAAGTAAGACTTCAGTAGTATGGGTGACAGGTTGATATGTTTTAATCCTTGGAGTTGATATCTCTAAAGGGCTATTTTACCATTAAGTGAATTCCCCTCGGCTGACACAACGTGTCCATAGAGCATAACTTTCTTAATTGTCTTGGAAGGCAGTGCTTCGTGGTCTGGTATACTAATGCACTTAGTCTCAGGAATGGAATATTCAAGCTAGAAAGCTTAATTGAATGCCTGGAACCGGATGCAATAACGGTCAGTGTACCGTGGGTGTCTTCGGGTATGGATCTCTTTTTATCCAAGGTTATGCTTGTTATAAAGCATATTGACGATTCGTGAAATGGTTGTGTAATCCTCTGCGTTCAGGATAATCTATAAATAACTCTAGGGACATTTAAGGGACTCTGCAGTACGCGAAACTTAGTTGCGAGTTCATTCAGGGAGGGTATTACGACAGTAGGACTAATTTACCGTAGTTCGGCTTGCCTTGCTGGGGTCTTCATGGCAATCTGCGTTATGAAGTAAGACAATAACAATAGATGCCTGGTTGCAGAAAACTTTAATGTGCTTCATTTCAACTGGCAGGCGCTCATCATCAAGTCGGAGAAATGCTTTGTTGACCACCTGTCACTGACTTGTAGAGTGCGCGTTCGTTCAGAGCGTAGTGCGCTACACATCGACAGTCAAAACACGAACCTCCAGATTAGGACGTAGAATGCCTATTCCCGTTGGATAATAGTTACTGTGACATTGTTTCAGTTTAGAACACAAGATTTCATCTGCAGCTCGGTTCTTCTTCGCTCAAATGTTTGGGGCTCTGATATGTCAACGATTATTGACCATTCCACTTCAATTGAATGGTCTGTTCATGCAGATTTTTCACCAGAGGTTTGCGAAAAGTTTAAGAATATATTTAGTGGGTTATCACCATTTATTTCTTAGTCTACTCCTTGAAGATCTTGCAGACTGCGTTGGGTTAACATGCGAACTTGGAGGTTAAAACGGAGAAAACGTCTATGGGACTTATGGTCGCGACAGTCAGTGAAACATTTGAACTGAAATACAGCAAAGTTAGAAACCAATGTATGTATCACCAATTTGCGTTGCACAGCATACGAGGTCGGTGGTAGGTGACAACTGTCCTTAATGGTTTTCTTTCTCATATTAAGAGAAGGAATAAACGGAGACCTGTCTTTATGGTGAGGCAAAGTATCGAGCTAAAGCACATTTCATCTGCCTAGTGTTTTCTGTTGACGCTTCTGGTAGGAGTGACTGCTGATGCTGACACTCCGCTGATGAGACCTACTCAGTTTCTGAATGAGACAGCCTTCCGACTGCTCATAAGTCTAAAACCTGGAAAGTCACCGGGTCCAGATAGACTTCACCACAGGATTCTGTTGCTGTTGACTGTTATCGTTGATGGACTCTGCCGTGGTACTCTTCATATCTTTACCTCAGGTACATCCCACTGGGAGTCGGAAAGATGTTATATTTAGTCTTGTGTTAATCTTACTAGTATCATAGCTAGGATAATGGAGAAAATATGTGATGAGGTATTAATGTATTTAGTAAAAATTACTTTGCAGTGACAACATGGTTCATGGCTGATTGCTTTAGGCAGTTGCCTTCCAACCAATGAGTCAAAAGTTCGAACACCTCTCCACCTACCGAGGTTTGGGCATTCAGGTAATATATACCCTCACACAACGGGTTTCCCACTGCCCATTCAATAAACGTGCTCAAGGTTACTGCTTGCCTTTCGTTTGCATAGCTTCCCGGCTGGGTGCTGTTTTTTCTAAACCTACTTCTGACGAGGGATGACTAGACTAAGGTCAGGGCAAGAAGCTGTCTCTTGACTTGGTGATTATTTTCTTCATCAAAATTTTCCATATCCATGCAGGACTGAAGAAATCGCAAATTCGTTATTGACACGGGTTCAATTCTGGACTAGGGGATATCTACACGAGAAAGACATCAAGCGTATATGGAATGTTGAATAGTAACCTATTACCTGTAGTGTTCTTCAGGTAACTATCCTTGGACCGCTACTACTCCTTAATGTTAGCGAAATACCAAAGAAGCTCTGGTGATTTGTATTCGCTGCTTGTGTCAAGATATGGTAAATCATTCATCATGATGACAGGTTTGGACTCCAAGTTGAACGAGAAACTGGTGAGATTGTCAAACGATGGGATTTAGAAATCAATTTCAGTAAAGATGCAGTAAAACACATTGAGATTAACCGCTATTGTGGTTGCTAGGCGAACGATCTACCGACACCTGGTTTTGAAATAAGATTTAGGGGTCAACACCAGCCACAAATTAAAGAAGACTGCGAATAATAATCTTTTTGCAGCCGAAGCGTTTTGCATACTTTGGTCGCTTTGTAGAGCATTCAAATGCTTCGGAGAAAGAAGTCTGACTCTACCCTTTTGCATCTTGAATAAGGACTTAGATATCTAATTGACTTATTCCTTGACTCTCCTTAAGGTTGATCACATTGGAAGCCACAAAATAAAGCTGTGGCTGAGTCGTCCTCAAGTAGAGTTCAGTGGTTGAAACTCATTACTGGAACAATCGATAGCAGCACCTTTGGTGGACACATGCAAGGAAATACGGGATCTTCGTAGAAATAACTATTGCAGGGATTAGCAGGTTTGTAGCCTACTACCGCTTTCACTGAAGATTGGGTAAAAGGTTTTAGTTGCTGACCATTCAGTAGGAGAAATGCACCTTCAAACACTTGGTTAAATCTTGCTTTCAGGACTTATTGTTCAACATAATTGGTTATAACGTCTCTAATACAGAATTAGATACCAGTATGCATCTTGTTTAGCAAGAACTATGGCATTCACAACCCGACTGATAGCTGCTACCTTGGTGTGATGGTTGAGCGTGTTTATCACAATGACCCAATGAACCGTGCTGATGAAAGGTTTGTTCCCTCGAGGTCCTACCTTACCAGAAAGGCCTGTTGGATAGTGGTTGGGCAGAAAGCAGTTACAATTATAGTGCAAATTGCTAAGCTAGGATAGGGTTGTGATGGCGACGTAGTACTGCTACTAGCTAGATGGGGGTGTGAAGACTAAGGTGTTTCCCTTAGATGATGAGCAGTGTCACGCTGATGCTGCCTTACCAGTGTAAGGGGGTGAGGAGTTAGAAAAGTTCAGCCCCCAAAATAACCCCCTGCCTCACGGCCTGCCGGGACGGGGTATGGGTTTCTCCTATCCGGCGTAAAAAAACTAAACCTCAAAAGAACATCCCATGAAAGGCCACATGTGACTGACGTCAAGCAAATGTCATGTGGGCTCTGTGCTCATACGTACGTTTTTTCCTTTCAGGTACTCTGAAGGGAAATAGACTTCCATGCTATCGGCAGTCAAGAAGTGTTAACCACCGGCATGCTTCCAGTAGTATACAAGACCCAATTAAACAACTTATCCTCCTCAACTCTGTTTCCTTTGCCTTCACATTCTGATACTAATATTAGGCCTCTTACACCTCCACCCGCATTCTGCGACCATAGCTAACGATCAAAGCCATGAAAACCTAATTCTTAGTCTCCGAAGATCACACCGTAGATTTCATCTAGGAGCTTTCAACGTCCGAACTCTATGCGCAATCGGATAGTGAGCATCGCTCTCTAGAACTCGGGAATCGCTTGCCATGGATATCTGCTGTGTCTCTGAGACGTGTATATTTTGGATTGACCTCACTTAGTCATTGTAGTGAATCTTCAAAATTCCGGAAACCCAGTGACTGACTCTTGTCGACTTGCTGGTGTAGGCATAGCATTGGGCTGTAGGGTAGAAAGTGCGCTTCTCGACTGGTAACCACTCAACCACAATTTATATGCTGTTCAACTAAATGGATCTGTAAGAACTATAGAGGATCGTGAAACTAAGCAATGACTACTCGTAATCTTTGCCTGCACACCCATCGACTGCAGTTCGGATGATGCAAAGGATGATTCCTATGTAAAGCTATCTATTTCGCTAGCGAAAGCAAAATTTTCAGACGTAATCACGACGGTGACTTTAACGCTAAAGCAGGGAAGCTGAGCCAATTGGAAAGGCGGGCATCTTGGGGGGTATTTACAGAATCCTATCCCAACTAACCGACAACGGTGACCGTGGTTCGCAATTTTGTGAGGTGAGTAAAACGCGTCAAGGAAAAGACGATGGTGATTGAAACCGTCATGGAAAAGGATGCGACACTGACAGCCTCTCATGAAAGATGGCTGGAACGTTGGGCAGAACACTTTGATGCACTGTTCAGCTGGCCCTCAGCAACGCTCCAGTTTCCCACCACCCAGTCCGAACTTGAACGGGACGTAGATGTCGGTCCTCCAACTTTCCTTGAAGTTGAGAAGGCTGTATCGAACGTGAAACGATGCAAAGCAGCAAGACCTGGCATTTTGCCACCTGAAGTTTTCAAGGATAGGGGTAGGAAGTTGCCAATTGAGGCACTCGATATTGTATGAGAATCAGAGATAGTGCTGTCACATTATTATTATATTATTTGTCCCTTGGGTTCCTAATGGAACATAGGGCTTCAGTAGCACGTCTCCAATGCGCTGTGTTCTCTGAAACTTCTTGAACCTGGTTCCACGACAACCCACAAGCTCTCATTTCACCACACGATCTCCTCCATGTCACCCTCAACTGGGACTCCCAACTCGTCGGTTCCCATCTGGGTTCCACTCTAGCAACTGGTCTGTCGCGTGATGTCCCCGAATGGTCTTCTCAGTGTATGCCCAATCCATCTCCACTTCCTTCCAGTGCATATTTGTTGAGCGATATGTTATTGTTTGTTCGTTGCTGAGTCAGAGTTCCTTGTTGCTTATTCTTTCTAACCATCTGATCTTCAGTAATGAGTCAGAGTAGGAGACAGTTGTTGATGGATGTTTGTAGTTTGTTGGAAATGCTTTTCGTAACGCGCCAAGTCTCTGAGCCATACAGAAGCACTGACTTGACGTTGATGCTGAAAATCGGGATGTTGTTCATACTTTATGCTGAGTGCAGAAGATCTCCACACTGGTTTCAGGTTAATGGAGGAAGGCGTGTCTTGCTGTCTTTCCTATCCTGTCTAGCTTTGACGTCCTCGTCTGTGCCTGTGCCGCCTGTAGCTGAGGGGGTGCTGCCTAGATAGGTGAACGAGACTACTTCATTGAAGTTTCTGTCGTTCATGGTGATTGGTGTTTGTTGTTGTTGTTGTTGGTTGGGTATCTTCATTACCTCTGTCTTCTGTATATTCACTTGAAGTCCCGTCTTCGCTGTCTCGCCTGTTCTGTCAACTTGTTAGTTTTTGCCTGTCGATCTTGAAGTTTGTGTGACATTGGTTACAAGCCATGGGCGAAATCCAAATGTCCTAGGATCTTTTCCCTGATCCACCAAGCGTATCCCCCTCTTCATGCTCCTCACAGTTTGTTGCATGATCTAGTCCACCACAGCCAGGAAGATCATGGGTGATACTAGACAGCCACCTTGTCTTACTCCTGTCTTCACTTCAAAGGCATCACTGAGCTTCCCATTGTGAATTACTTGAATGAGATTGATAAAGGTTTGTGGTATTCCGTAGTGTTGAAGCAACTGCCAAATTACTTCACGGTCGATGCTTTCAAAGGCCTTTTCAAAGTCGATGAAGTTGAGGTGTAGAGTTGACTGCCATTCCATACTCTGCATGCTGTCACATTGGTGGACTTCAATGATAGATCTTAGATCATAGGGGAATTAGTTTGACTAATATTGTGTTTAAGATTTTAGGATCTTTAGTTATATGACACACCTATCTGGAGCTCGAGAATAGCAAACTCCAGGAAACTACACAGGCTTCTGAGAGAGCTAGATGAGGGTGCATCGATCAGAATTTTACCCTACGATAGGTTCTCAAACACGGACATACTTACTGGCGCCCGACATTTGCCATATCTCTTAATAGGAAGGCGACATATGACTCCGTGGACCTTCAGGTGTTGTAGTGTGAGTGCAGTAGGAGTGCCGAGGAATCACGTAGTGCTTATGAAAGTTCTCTGACCGAACTCACGCAGTTGTGTCAGTGCTTGTGGAGAGTTGTCGTGTGAATTGACGACAACCAATGGTGTCCACCAGGGATGCTCACTGTCACAGTTCCTGATTAACCTCGTAATGTACGTACCAACTGACATTAGCTTAAGTGGGTCTGACTTCAGGAAATGATCTACTCTGTGGAGGTCATCTGGTTGCCTTGGAGTATTTAGACAACATTGTCTTGTTAGCTGAGGACGGTAACTCTATGCACGGACTTCTGGACGCGTTAACCAGAAATTCGGGTATATATGGCATGCATTTCGGACCTGTCAAATGTCAGATGATGCTCCATGAGTGATCTGCACCTATCCTCAGTTTAATGCTAGGGAGTGAAGTAGTGGAATGTGTCGACCACTTCACTTATTTGAGAAGCTGCACCAGCCCTGATCGGCTGGTTGCCGACAAAATCTGAGCTCGGATACACAAGACACACCTCACATTTGCCAACTTCATCTATGGTGCCGGCAAGATACCCAGCTGTCTATCAAACTACAAGTATACCGCACGCTGTAGTCCGTCCTGTCCTGTTGTATGGTTGTTAAACATGGGTGTTAAAAGTAGAAGACATGAAGCGATTACTGATGATTCCTCATACCTGTCTTCGTAGGAGTGCTCGCGTTTGGTGAAATCACACTGTGAGCAATGCTGAGGTCAGGTGAACGATAATCAGCAAGATAGGCAAGTCGATTGATGAGGTTGTGAACCTTCATCGACTGACGTGACTTCCACATGTGTTGCACATGCCGAGACACTGCCAACAGAAGTTGGATTAGATTGGGAGAGAATTCAAGGTGGCCAGGTAAAGATGTGGAACCAGTCGATGAAATTCCTAGCTGTTGGGAGATGTAGACTGTCTCTGCCTGACTGGACTCACCCATGCGTTCATCACAATCAGTGGTTGAGAATTCTTAGTGAAAATCGGTTGAAGTGGCGCAGATGTATTCACTCCTTAACACTTTCTAAAGTTTCAATATTCACACTAACCGTTATCTTCAGATTGTTTATTCTCTTACACAACTTTATCTACTCTGATATCATACTTTGTCTGTTCACCTGTTTTTTTGTTTACTACTGTGAAGTGAGGTAACTTGAGCCGATGTATTTATGTGCAAGGTTGTTCTAAGTGAATTTTGTCAGTCAGTCAATTGGTGACGATTGTGAAGTAAGATTGGCGCTTACTGCCTTCTAGACATATGTGCAAAAATTTACTGAGTACGTGTTTTCGTTTTTCCTAGTTGGGCTCGTCGAGACGATAGGAATCAGTAGTTGGGGAACCTTGGTGAAATTGTTGGAAATCAGTTGCGGATGTTTTCATTCTTTGATGTCTTCTAATACCTTGAAATCTTCACTAACCTTGGTTTTCAAATTCCTTTTTTTGTCAACCTTAATATCACTTTTTCTACCCTCTTGTTATTTGTATGCTGCTGTGAAGTGTGGCAACTTGAAGCGATGAACCTCTCTGCGCACGTCTACGTTGATTTTGTCGGTCGCATATGTCTAGTAGTCACTTTCGGACTCAACTCAGTTGTCTTTTTACTTTTCATCAATCGGCATGCTGATATTGTGTGCTAACTGGAGTCAGTGTGGAGAGTCCAATTCTCCAACTGTTGTGTCACATTTGATTTTATTCATGATCGTCTTTCTAATTCAGTACAACTGTTAAGTGTTTTGTGCATGCGTAAAAACTACCATGCTTTTTTGTTCTCAATGGTTTATTTTTATATCAATAATAGGTGAACCGTACGATTCTACAGCACTTGTAAATAAAGTTGCACGTGGTAGTTCAGCAGAAGCATCTGGCTTACGAAAAGGCGACAGAATTGTTACAATCAATCGAAAACCTGTAAAGTCGATGACTTTCCTGGAAGTTTCCAATTTCCTTCGAAGTAACAGGTTTGTAGTTTATCTATTTTTAATAAGTACTCAAGAAATATGATATTGTTCTGTATAGTTATGGACTTCATGGGTGTCCGAACCCTGTTCCACCTATCAAGGTTTAGGCAGATAAGTCGGAGTGTCTATGGCCCTCACACAATAGTTATGGCTCATTGCCTACTGCACGAATTCTCACAAAGCCGTTAAGTGGATTTCGACTGTTTTTCGACTTGGAATGAAACCTAATTTATTAATAATACTTGGTATATTATCATTGTTAACTTTCCGTATTTTTTTACCTTAAGAGATCTGTTCAATATAAAAATCCCTTATAAAAATAATACTTGTTACATGAAGATAACTGTCGTTATTGAATAACCGATTTATTTAAGCCTCTACTGTTCTGTACCACAGTTAATAGAATCTAGTTTTAAGGACCTAGTCAATGTATGATGCACTCAAGAAACCTACTCGGCCACCTTGTGCATATCCAGGCAATAGGCAATGGACCACGTATACTTTGTGAGGGCTAATAATACTACCTGGCTGTCCAAACCTCGATAGGTGGGACGGGGTTCGAACTCGTGACCCAGTGGTCGATAGTCGTCTTAAACCACTGAGCCACAGCTCATATATGACATAGGTTCACCTGGTTGACAAAAGCCGAATGGAGCGCAGTGCACGTTTTGGATCTTACTGCAGGCTACTGGAAGGTATTGTTAATATACTTGTGGGTTTTCCGTATTACTACACTTTAACATCAAGTATTGAAGGCTCTCTACTCGCACACTTGTGGGCGTGTTGGAGCCTATTGTGAGATGTCCGGGGGCTGTACTCGTCGAGTGGTGTCCGTCAAGGGTGCCCATTCTTTCCATTCTTATTCAATTTTATCACACATATTCTTATGGAGGTCTCCATCTCGTCACCTGACTACCCAGAGGTTGACTTAATCTCAGGAGAATTTTCGTTAGACATAGAATACGCAGATGACATAGTACTACTAGGTAAAGACGCTGACAAGATGCAGAATCTTCTGGATACTTTGAGTTGCAGTTTGAGAATGTTCGAGATGTTTCTCACCACTGAAATGCAAATTGTTGCTTCAGGATTAGTCTTCAACGGTGCCACGGCCAACAGTAGAGAGTGTAGTGGTTGGGTTTGTTGACCACTCCACTTACCTGGGAAGTGGGATTAACTCTGGTGGCTCAGTGGCCGACGGAATCTCTGCACGAATACAAAAGGCTCGGTTGACTTTTGCTAACCTACGCTACCTGTTGCGCCGCCGTGGTATCCGATTGTCTATCAAAGGTTGCGTGTACTGCACAACAGTCCAGTCTGTTATGTATAGCTGTAAAACATGACCATTGAAGGTGGGAGACATGAGAAGGTTTAAGGTGTTTGGCCACTGTTGCCTTCGTAGTATAAGCCGTATTACGTGACGCCACCACGTGAGTAACGCAGACGCCAGGCGTAGTTTTAGGGAGAAGTAGTAAGTCATTTGACGAGTTTGTGGACCTTCATCGACTGAGATGTTTAGGATACGTATTACGTATACCTAGTCACCGATTGCCTCTTCACACAATGTTGGTCGAAGTAGGTGCAGGCTGGAAGAAGACTCAAGGCGGCCAGACTAAGACATGGCATCAGTGTATGAAGTGTTTGACTGTTGGTTTGAGCCATATGGGGCGATTCAGACTAGGTGGTTGGGGTCGGTGGGAGAAGAAAAACCAGTGGTTGGAGACTAAGTGATCACATGGCTGAGAACCGGTGTGAGTGGTGCAGATGTATACACACACATTATCCTCATCTTAACACTATGCCGAATTTCACCATCTCATTCTTTCTTTCTCTCTTCTAATACTTTATATTTCTTTTGACTGAGTTTTCTTATCTTCATCTCCCACTTCACTGGCTTTTTACTTGATATGCTGATATCAGGTGTGGCAACTCGAATCGGTCCTATGTTGATTTGGATGGATGGATGGAACACCATGTTTACATTGGTACTGAAAAGGATGATTGAATTAATTGTTCTGAATTGTACTTTAATTCCTCTTATTCGGATAGAAGAGCATTTGACGATCATTCCACTAAACTGAAGTCCTTTAATTTCTTCTTTTCCCAGGCATGGTAAGCACAGATAGACTGTTATACATTGTTATACTTGATAGTAAACGGTTTTCTCCATTTGTCTATAGTAACGAGCTTGCGGAAGTAAGTGGCTAGTACGGTTACACAACACATTCTTGTAAAACGTTTGGTCATACATCTTGATAAAGTATTGAAAGATGCAGGTTTTTATCTGAATGAGGGATAACTATCAGAAGGGGTTAACAGAATTGTTATTTTCATGTTCCCTATTTCTAAGCTTGTAGCGGTTAAATCGTGAATCTTTCACTCTAATTCTAGGCAAAAGTCAGCAGCTCACCTGATTTATAGGACTGTCTTGAAATGTTATGGTTACTTTGTTAGGATATCAAACATAGTTTCTCCATGAGTCTTTAAGTCAGCAAATTACGCCAACAAGTGTCAGATATCTATCCAGTCAGTTGTCGAATGAGATTCAAACTGGCAATAGGAATACGAGAACAGACAATCACACTCCCAAATCACCAGGTCATTTACAGAGAAATTTGTGTAGCGCACTTCGTTTTGAATTCCGTCCACACAATATCTTACCTGAGTGATTCGGCCATCTAACTTAGAAAGACTGAAAAGAATTGTAAAATACTCTTCCCAGGCTATAGATGTTGACTGCTCATCTTTGACTTCCATTTTAGTCAAAGCAAAAGACCTTTAGACTATGTGGCAAGTGTGTATTCGTGTTTATTGACCAAACCATCATCATCATCATCATCATTATCAACATAGGACCAGGCATTACTGCGTAACGGTCCGAGTTGCCACACCTCATATCAGCACATCAAGTAAAAAGGTAGTGAGGTGAAGGATGAAGATAAGTGAATGCAGTCAAAAGAAATATAAAGTACGAGAAGAAAGGAAAGAGGAGTGACAAAATAGTGAGATTCGGTATAGCGTTGTTAAGATGAGGATAATGTGTGTATACATCTGCGCCACTGACTTCGGTTCTGAGCCATATCACCTAGGGTCTCCAACCACTGGTTCCTCTTGTCCCGTGGACCCCAACCACCTAGTCTGCATCGTCCTACATGGCTTAAACCAACAGTCAGAGACTTCATACATTGGTGCCATGTTTTAGTCTGGCCACCTCGGGCCTTTTTCCAGCCTGAACCCACCTCAGCCAACATTGTGTGACGAGGCAATCGGTGACTAGGCATACGTAGTACGTGTCCCAACCATCTCAGTCGATGAAGGTTCACAACCTCGTCGACTGACTTACCTCTTCTCCCTAAAACTCTACACCTAACTTCTGCATTACTCACATGGTGACACCACGGAATACGTCCTATACTACGAAGGCAACGGTGGTCAAATACCTGAAACCTTCTCATGTCTTCCACTTTCAATGGCCATGTTTCACAGCCATACAGTAGAACAGAGCGGACTGCTGTGCAGTACACGCGACCCTTAATAGACAAACGAATATCACGGCGGCGCCATAGGTGGCGCAAATTGGCAAAAGCCAATCGAGCCTTTTGTATCCGTGCAGAAATCTCATCGGCAACTAACCCACCGGGTTGATCCTACTTCCCAGGTAAGTGAAGTGGTCAACACACTCAACCACTTCACTCTCTATTGTTAACCGCGGTACCGCTGAAGACCAGTCCTGGAGCAAAAATTTGCATTTGGGTGGTGAAAATCGCATCCCAAACATTCTCAAATTCCCACTCAAAGTGTTCAGAAGACTCTGCATCTTGTCAGCGTCTTCACCTAACAGGACTATGTCATCTGCATATTCTAGATCTAAGGAAAATTCACCTGTGATCCGGTCAACGTCTTTGTAATTAGGTGACGAGAGGGAAACCTCCATAAGAATATCTATGATAAAATTAAATAAGAATGGGGATAGTGGGCATCCTTGACGGACACCACTTGATGAGTATAGCTCCCTGGACAACTCACCATAGGCTCTAACATGCCCACAAGTGTTCGAGTAGAGAGCTTTCAATAAGGTGATGTACTTACTAGGCACGCCTTTCAGTGACAGACACTGCCATAAGACTTCTCGATCAACGGAGTCAAATGCCGCCTTCAGGTCGAGAAATACAGCTATTGTCGGGCGTCTGTAAGCATGCCTATGTTCCAGGACCTGGCGCAGTGTGAATATTTGGTCGATACATCCACGGCCAGGTCTAAAGCCTGCCTGGTTTTCTCGGGCTTGCTGTTCCCGAGCTCCACTCAGGCGTCGGAGAATTATAGAACTTAGGATCTTAGACACTATGTTTGTCAGGCTGATTCCTCTGTGGTTATCACAAGAGGACTTCTCGCCTTTCTTGAAGACTGGGATGATGAGTGACTTAGACCAGTCGGAGGGGATCGTATTTGATTCCCATATACTGGCTAACACTTCCGTTAGCCTGACTAAGAGAACTCTACCACCATTCTTGTATACCTCAGCAGGTAGTCCGTCTGGTCCTGCTGCCCTTCCCCGTTTCAGGCTACCTACCGCTTTCTCAACTTCTTCTAGTGTTGGGGGACCTGTCTCTATGTCCCATTCAGGGTCCGACTGGATAGCGGGCAGCGCAATGGTGGCTGGAGGCCAGTTAAACTGTTCCTCAAAGTGTTCTGCCCATCGTCCCAGTCGCCTTCCCTGCGAGTGAATCGCCGATCCGTCCTTCTCCGCTATAACCTCACTAACTGTTGTTGACCATTTCCCCCCAGTCTCCTTAATAAGTCTAAATAACTGTCTACTGTTACCGATCGCCGCTGCCTTTTCCATCTCTTTAGCCTTTGCTGCCCACCACTGTTCACGATCGTTGCGCAGACTTTTCGTCAGTTTATTTTTAAGTTGCGCTCGCTCTTCATTGTACTCAGAGCCTGCAGGGATGCATTCACGTGCATCCATTAGTTTGGAAGAAGCTGCTGATATCCACTGGCTCTTTTTAGCCATTATCTTGGAGTCGGCTACAGTCTCCAGTGCTGCTTTTACAGTAGACTGAAGATGGCACCAAGCTTCTTCTGGATGAGTGACAGTCTTTTGTTCCGATAACTGCCTAGCCAACTTCTCACTGAACACGGCTTTGGTGTTTTCGTTGTCCAGCAGAACTCGTAGTGGTTTTGTTGCCAAATTTTTTCTACGTCCATTGAGACGCAGGCATATACGTGCTCGGACCAACGCATGATCGCTGTCCAAACACGTACTCCAGAAGGAGCGGCAGTCTTCCACCGATCCTCTCCAGCGATGACTAATAGCAATGTGGTCTATCTGTGTCCATCGCTGAGTCGAGCTCGGTGGACGCCAGGTCAGACAGTGCCTTTCTTTATGTCTGAAATTTGTGCTGGCTAAAAATAGGCGGTTATCTGAGCATAGTTGTAATAGGCGATCACCGTTATCTGTACGTTCAGCTGGGATTCCGAAAGTGCCACCTAAGTGCCTTTCTGCCTCACTCAGTCTACCCACCTGTGCGTTGAGGTCACCTGCAACAACCACTACGTCCGAACGTTTGGCTTTCGAGAGGAGGTTAGACAGTTTATGGTAGAACTCGTCCTTCACTTCATCCGAACTACAGTCAGTGGGTGCGTAAGCAGAGATTACAAAGAGACAACGGCGAGTCTCACTATTCCTTTTAGTTCTCACTGTGCCGTTCAGCCTCATAGCGCAGAGGCGACTATCAACTGGGATCCAGTCTAGTAGTGAGTTTTCTGCCCTGGTGCTTAATGCTATACCTACACCTGCAAGACCACGAGAGCTAGCTATCGAATCTCCAGAAACTCGAAGGGTGAATTTTGCAGATTCACCAGATTGGTCAGGAGAGGTCAGGTGAATAACCACACTTGGGTCCTGTATGCGTGTCTCACAAACACAGCACACATCCATGCCTCGAGTTGCTAGAGTCTTTGCCAACGAAGCCTGTTGGCCAATTTGACGGAGGGTGCGGACATTGAAGGCTCCAATATGTAATTTGGAGCGTGGTTTAAGGAGACCAGGGACACTGTTCTGTGGACTCAGATCGTTGTCGAAGGCTGCAGAGGTAGGAGAAATTGAAGATGATGCAGCATCATTAATTAAGAGACGTGAAGGAAGATTAGAAGGTAATGATGGAGGAGGAGGATAGCAGTCAGAAGAAACTTGGGTGCTGACAGAGTTGTGAGGGCGGTTGACACTTCCCGGCTGCCCACACCGTGGAAGGCTATTTCTTCTTAAGGTACCTGAAAGAGATTTGTGTGACCGCAGAGCCCATCGGACATCTGCTTGAGGCCTGTCACACCCAGCCTTTTGAGTATGATTATTTTGAATTTTTGTATTTTTGGGGCCGGATGAGCGAAAGGAAACGACAAGTGAACCAACACCGCCGGCCCGGCAGACCGTGGGGCGTGGTGGAGTGTGTTATTTTTGGGGCCGACCTTTTCTAACCCCCCCTTCCACTGAGAAGGCAGCATCAGCTTGGCACTGCTGGTCATCCAAGGGAAACACCTTACTGCTGTCACACCCCATCCAGCTAGCAGCAGTACGACTTCGCCCTCAGACCCCCATCATAGTGTAGCAATTTACACTATGACGGTAACTGCTTTTCGTCTAACCACTACCCAACAGACCTTTCTGGTATGGTAGGACCTCGAGGGAACAAGCGTTCCACCAGCATAGCTCGTTGGGTCATTGTGATATGCAAGCCCGACCACCACGTCAAGGTAGCAGCTATCGTCGGGTTATTGACCAAACCACTGGATCTAGCTCAATGGATAAGTATGTTTTTAAGCTGTAGTCAACCTCCACTGGCTATTGTGCTGCAGTGAATTAGTGGATAACGCTCTGCCGTTTGAAGCAAAGGGTACTAGTTTCAGGCCTCAGTGGGAACATCACTCACTAGGTTGTCTGTACGTCCGGCTGACGAGTCCCAAATAGGGCGAAACGTGCCTTCTGGATTCCTCTGCTATCCACCAAGATCAATATAACTCCAAGATTTTAGTTTATTGTGCTGCTTAGGCATACATATTTTACAATTCAATCCACTAGTAGTTCGATTTCATGGCTTCTTGTCTTTCTCCGTTTTTAAGTATTGATTTTTCATGGTCATCTAATAGAATGTATTGCAAACCTTATCATACATGTTTGTAAAGAACTACCAGTGTTGTTTATCTATTACGTAATATTCCTCCCAAGTAATGTGATATCCACTACCTTTATATTTTACTGAGTTTGTTAACATTATTTTGTGTTGTAGTGATCAAAGTATTGAACTGACAATATTGCACAGAACCCAAAATCGTGATAGTAGAGATAGTGAACTATCGGACTATAAAATACTTACTTCATCAAATACAGTTAATGGTACTGAAAGAGTTTCCTTAGACGACTCAATCTGTTCGTCTACACGTCCTACCGGTGATATAACTGAAGAAGTAAACATGTCATCTGTTCCCGTGAGTTTCAACTTCGAAAATATATCTTTTTTGTCTATTTAGTTTTGGTGCATTCATTGGCAAATGTTCTTATGTAGTTGCATCTGTTTAGTGTAACTCAATTCCCGTCCAACATACTATGGCTTGAATATCGAAGTGATACTGTCAACCTTCGAATAGTACCTGTAGGTAGTGATCTGGTACACAGATAAGTGCTGAGTCCGTGAACTGGACTTTTCACTACAGTCAATATTTTTGTTCTTTTTCATGCAGTGAAGGAGTTTTATATTGTTTTCACTAACTTCTTTTCACCTAATATTTTTACTGCTTTCTACGTAGAGAAGCAGATACAAGGTGTATAAAACAGTCAATTCGAATATTCGAATATATTACCATTCGTTGTGAATTCTACATATATGATAACACGTGTTTGCTAATAGTTCATTTCAGTGATAGTGTTAACATCGTTACAAATTGTTTGATGACCTTATATTCTCCCACTCCAAGTCATCTTAAAAGTCATCTTGACAAATGTTTAAATCTCCATGTCTCTGTTCTGGTTACTTATATTTTGTGTTTACGGCTAGTCGTATATGATGAGGTTCGTGTGCATCTCCCTGGATCACTCAACGTACAAATTACTGTCGGCTTATATTGGTCTCTTATTTCAGAGTTTGTTGTCAATCCACACTGGTTATTATCTATTTTTCATGTAAGAATGCATCTCAGCAACTTTTAAATTCTCATTGGACGTAAAGTGTTTCAAATTACAATTTTCCAAGTGTAAAATGTGCTCAACGCTTTTTTATTATCAGATAAAGACATTTGTCAAATTTTCATTCTTTTCACTGACTGACAAAATTCACTTAGAACAACCTTGCACATAAATACATCGGCTCAAGTTACCTCACTTCACAGTAGTAAACAAAAAACAGGTGAACAGAGAAAGTATGATATCAGAGTAGATAAAGTTGTGTAAGAGAATAAACAATCTGAAGATAACGGTTAGTGTGAATATTGAAACTTTAGAAAATGTTAAGGAGTGAATACATCTGCGCCACTTCAACCGATTTTCACTAAGAATTCTCAACCACTGATTGTGATGAACGCATGGGTGAGTCCAGTCAGGCAGAGACAGTCTACATCTCCCAACAGCTAGGAATTTCATCGACTGGTTCCACATCTTTACCTGGCCACCTTGAATTCTCTCCCAATCTAATCCAACTTCTGTTGGCAGTGTCTCGGCATGTGCAACACATGTGGAAGTCACGTCAGTCGATGAAGGTTCACAACCTCATCAATCGACTTGCCTATCTTGCTGATTATCGTTCACCTGACCTCAGCATTGCTCACAGTGTGATTTCACCAAACGCGAGCACTCCTACGAAGATAGGTATGAGGAATCATCAGTAATCGCTTCATGTCTTCTACTTTTAACACCCATGTTTAACAACCATACAACAGGACAGGATGAACTACAGCGTGCGGTATACTTGTAGTTTGATAGACAGCTGGGTATCTTGCCGGCACCATAGATGAAGTTGGCAAGTGTGAAGTGTGTCTTGTGTATCCGAGCTCAGATTTTGTCGGCAACCAGCCGATCAGGGCTGGTGCAGCTTCTCAAATAAGTGAAGTGGTTGACATATTCCACTACTTCACTCCCTAGCATTAAACTGAAGATCGTTGCAGACCAATCGTTCTTTTTAGGAAATTTGAGTGATTTGTTGTCCTCAGGTAACTTTGTCATCGTTTGCGAAAACTCTGGTGAGAAGTACTGTATGTTTGTTGACTGAATCCACGCATTACAATCGGGCTACTGAAGTGCGCTAGAGAGTTATCAGTTTTTGAAACTGTACCTCAGTCAATGTAAAAGGATACACTTGTTGACCAAGTGAATAAATAGTCTTAATTTTCATGAGTGAAGTGAAACATATATTGTTATGGGGCAGATTATTGATTAGGCGACAGTTCATTATGATCACCAGGTAGATAATAAGTGTTTATCACTGACTGTAAGTTGGCTTCCATAAATGCTTGATGTTCCGTGTGGGTTAAGCACTTCAATGTCGTTTTAGTCATTTCTTTTTGTCATCAACCTTCAGTGGTCAACTATTCAGTCAGTCAGTGCCATTACTGCTTAACGGCTCAAGTGACCACATATCACATCTGCATAAGACATTCGACAATATGATGAGAAGGGTCATAAATAGAAATAATGTCATCAAAGTTCTTAAGTCATCAGTGTCAGCACTCAAGTTCCCCCAGATCACTGTCTACCTTCCACACACTTTCTTTCCAATCTTCCTTTACGTCTGTCCGACAGGATTCCGATATCATCTTTAATTTGTTCTGGCTCTAGAGCTCTTGAAAACTATCTGAATTCACGGGACAGCATCCCTGGTTTCCTGAAACCGCGCTCTTAATTACATATTTGAGCTTTTAATACACGCATCCTTCATCAAATCGACCAGCAAGAATCGGTTGTCAAAACTAACAACTGGGATCCTAGTTCTGCACTGTGTTCCCGAACCACACGTTCACGTCCTTGGTGCAGCTACTCGATTAACCCCACTCAGTCAAAAAAGGTGAATTCTCAAAATTCAACATTAGAGTTTCTGGAGATTCGATGGTTACTCCTAGTGGTCTCATAGGTGCTGGCATATTATTATGTTAAGACACAAAGTGCACTGCTCAAGTGCATTCCCAATTGACAGTCGTGTGTACTGTCTTAGACTGAGTGGTGCTATGTGAACTAAAGAGAGCTGTGAGACTCGCCGTCGTCTTTTTGTAGTCCCTTCTTATGCTGACGTGATCTCAGCTCCGATACAGAAGGCTCATTTGGGATTGTCAGCTTGCGTCATCTCCGGCGCCGGTGAGATGTCCAACTACCTATCAAAGGATGAGTTTGCTACGCTGCCGTACTTACTGTTCTGCTATTCAGTTGTGAGACATGGTTGTTAAAAGTAAAAGATAAGGAACTGTTACAGGGTTTTCATCAAAGATGTCTTTGTAGCATTCCTCGTGTATGGGGGAATCATCATATGAGCCATATTGAGGTTAAGCGAAAGGTATTAGGCAAGGCAGATAAGTCGGTCTATGGGGGCTGCGAACTTACATTGACCTAGGTGGCTCGGACACGTCCTGCGTATCCCAAGCCACCACCTTCTTTATCATGTAGAGCTAGGAGAAGGCAGGTTGAGTTGGAAAAGGGTTCAGGGTGGCCAGACTAAGACATGGCAGCGGTCGATGAAGTCCCTATTGGTCTGAGTCGTATAGGGAGGTGTAAACTACCCAGTTAGAGACCCCGAGACGATAGAGATCAGTGGTTGAAGGCTGGGACCACCTCCACTCTGCTGTGAAGACAGCTTTGAAGACCATAGCCTACTCAGAGAGTGGCTAAAATGGCCAGTGTATCTCAGCCGCTTCTAAATTAGTGAATGCATATCTGTAGGAGCCGAAGGAACTCTTACCTAGGCTGACAAAAAGTCTGCGCAATGACTGCGAACAGTGGTGGACACCAAAAGTTAAAGAGATAAAAAAGAAATGTTTGTCTAGGGAGTGGAGTATCGCATTAAGTGTACTATTTTACCAGATCCATGTAAACTGTTTTGCAGTTCAACTGTTAGGTAGTAGTCTGGTGTATTATCGTCGTTCTCTTTTATCTTTTTAGTTTGATAACCATGATATGACTTATTTGACAAATTATTGTTTACTTTTCCTTTACGTCTTATAAACCAAGTCTTCAGTCGTTTCTATCACTTATAAAACTGATCAAGACTATCCGTCTGACAAACCGCTACCGAAACCGAGAACTACAAGTCGACAACAGTTTAATATTAAAGAAATTGAAAATTTGGACATATCGAATAAGAATCTGTTGAAACCAGTTTTATCACAGCTTCAAGAATCTCGTAAGTCATTGTCTATCCTTGTAAAGATCTTCAAATATTCCAAACTTTTGCCATTGAATTATCAAATGTCTTTGAAGTATACCTGTAATTCAATAGTACTTCAAAAAGTGTTCCCTTTGTGTTGGTATTTTTGTCACTGCTTACGAAATGTTTTATATTTATTCCTCTTTCAAATAACTTATCTATCAAGTACACGTTCTTGTACTGTACCATGAATTACTGACTGACTTACTAGCAAAATCAACAAAAAAAATCGCACACAAATGCATAGCCTCAAGTTGCCACACTTCACAGTAGTAAACAAAAAACAGGTGAACAGAGAAAGTATGATATCAGAGTAGATAAAGTTGTGTAAGAGAATAAACAATCTGAAGATAACGGTTAGTGTGAATATTGAAACTTTAGAAAGTGTTAAGGAGTGAATACATCTGCGCCACTTCAACCGATTTTCACTAAGAATTCTCAACCACTGATTGTGATGAACGCATGGGTGAGTCCAGTCAGGCAGAGACAGTCTACATCTCCCAACAGCTAGGAATTTCATCGACTGGTTCCACATCTTTACCTGGCCACCTTGAATTCTCTCCCAATCTAATCCAACTTCTGTTGGCAGTGTCTCGGCATGTGCAACACATGTGGAAGTCACGTCAGTCGATGAAGGTTCACAACCTCATCAATCGACTTGCCTATCTTGCTGATTATCGTTCACCTGACCTCAGCATTGCTCACAGTGTGATTTCACCAAACGCGAGCACTCCTACGAAGACAGGTATGAGGAATCATCAGTAATCGCTTCATGTCTTCTACTTTTAACGGCCATTAATTATAGTTATCGTGCGTCGCATAAGAGAACAGCTAACAATCATTTGGGTTTGTCTAATTTGTGCATTTCTTCTGGTATTAATATTCGAAGGGAAGGACGATGGCATTCAGCTTTCAGTTTCTCGCACTGTAGCATGCATAAACTCGTCTTAGTAATATACTGTTGTTGAGTTGCTGTTCAGGTGTAACTAAGTTATTTAGATAGTTTTATTCTTATCACCTTCAAATCTAGTTAGAATCGCGAAATCTTAGTATAATTACTTTTTGCTGGTATCTGATCATCTGATGTAATCTAGCCTTCCCCCTTAGAGTTGCATAATCTCAGTGTTGAGGAGAAGCAGTGGATTTCCCGTTGTCTATAAACGGATTTGTTGTTCTAACTCATATGGTTTAGGGTTATGTTATCTTGGGGGTTGGCATTAGTTCTGAATTTTCGTAGGGGCATTGTAAGGCGTATCCTGAAAACAGAGCTACTGATGTCCATGCTAAAGTTTCCTCCCGTCATCCCTATTTGTACCATAACACTAAAATAATGAAATTTTGAAAAATATATCAAGAGTGTTTGCTTTTTCTTTTCAGGTCCTTCCGTTATTCATTTTCCCCTTCTCATTGTATTTTGTTTCAGGACATTTCCTCACCCTCAGTTTTTTGTTGTTTGTGGATATGTAGATTACAGGGAAGAGTTTTTCTTAGTAATGTATGAGGCTATTTGAACTCGGCTGGGAATGGACTTAAATCATTCTTCAGAGAGTAACTCTGTTGCTAACCGAATGAATATCACAACTGTTCTTATCAGTAACGTTATCAAACTGAGTCGTAAAATTTTCAACCTTATTAAGCTTTGTTGTTGGCTAGTAAACAACCTTGCATTGTCTGGCCTTCAGTTTTGCCTGGATAATAACAGAAGTGAGATTGTACTGTGTTCATGAAATACCTTGATACTAATTACAGTTTGTGATCGATTTGAACCTTGTTCCATCTATCAAGGTTTGAGCAATCAGGCAGTATCACAAAATAGGTGTATCTCGTCTCATGGGGAAATCTGCATATGATGGCTGATCTCCAGTGTATATTATAATATTATGTACTGCATCATTTTTGTTGATAGATAGGAAAAACCGACGAGAGAGCAACAACTGTCAACTAACACAAAATCCAGGTCAAATGTAGTTTCGATTGCTGTCAGAAATTGGAATTAGTATTAAAGGTTTCGAACTATTCTCAGTATGAAACAGTCATCATGTCACGATGTACGTTAGTAAAGTGTCCACTGATTGGAAACTGCGAGTGCAGGAAGGCATAATTGCAATAATTGTGTTATGTAGGTGACTTTAAATGCTGCTACCTTAGCAACTGTTTATATATCCAATTAATTTTCTTTATTTCATACAAAACCACCTTTCTAGCTGGAACACTGAAACCCTATCGGTTATTTCAGTAGATACCAGCGTTGCCTTTAAAGTCGGTCACGGTTTCAGAGAAATGCTTAAACTTTGGTTCCTAACTAGCCTTATCATCCATGTTGCGGTGACTTTAAAGGCCACCCTAGCAAAGATCGAAATAGCCAATTAGATTTCTTCATTTTGGCTGGAAGCGGAGATTTTTGTAACATAGAGCAGTCTGATTAGTTATTTCATTTGTTTCTCGGGTGACCTTTAAAGTCGCTCGAGAATGCACAACTATTTATATTTAGCGAAGTATAGGCAGCATCGTTTCAACCACAGGTGGGACAGATGAGGACGTCAATGCCAGGATCAGAAAGACAGCAAGACAGGCGTTCATTAATCTGAAACCAGTGTGGAGATCTACTGCACTCAGCACGAAGAACAAGATCCGGATTTTCAACACCTAGTCAGTCAAGTCAGTGGTTCTTTTTTTGGTTCAGGAACTTGCCGCATCACTAAAAGTATTTCCAACAAACTGTAGACATTCATCAACAACTGCCTACTCTCTATCCTGAATATCAGATGGCCAGAAAGAATAAGCAACAAGGTACTCTGGGAACTAACCAGCCAAGAACCCATCGCCCAACAGATATGCGGAAGGAAGTGGAGATGGATCTGGCATACACTGAGAAGACCGATTAGGGACATCATGTGCCAGGCCAGGCTCTCGAGTGGAACCCGTGTGCGAAACGACGAGTTGGGCATCCAGGGTGACATGAAGGAGATTGTGTGAGGAAGCTTCTGGTCAGTGGTGGAGCCGGGTTGAAAAGACTACAGAGACAGAGTGCAATGGAGACGCGGAGAAGTATATTCCACTAGGGCCCCAAGGGATAAACAATAAAAGTAATGGAAAGTGTACAAGCCCTAAAACGTAGGCGGTACGTTCATTAGAATGTCAAAAGATGGTAACAAAGATAGACACCTATGAAGGACACTCATAATTGATTGATTCTGACTTTCATTCCCTCTAACTAGGGAGGGATACTAAAAGTTGATTCACTGCTATGCATCCAGACATGTGAGGCTAAAAGTTATCTCCAGGTATTATATAAAGTGTGTTCTGTGTGAAAATACGTATTTGCTGTGTTTTTTAAGCATATTTTTTTTGAAGTGAAAACTGCAATCATGAATCCTTTTTTACTGCAGTTTGAAGGTTTACTTAACTTACTTTGATTTGTGAGCCTCATTCTTCATAAATAAATATAGTTATATACTGACTAGAAGGTGGAAACGCAACCAACACTTTGCACATAAATAAACGACATGAAGCATGATTCCCTGACAAAGGGCGTTTTAGAAACTATAGAAATAGTTAAAATAAGCATACAACATTAAGAAAATGCACAAATTTTGACAAAGAACGCTATTATCCCGTAGCAAGTACAATAACATCTGGGGATAACTTTTAGCCCTATCCATCCAGATAGTCTTCGCTTAGAACTGCCACTCACGCATTCACTCCTGCCATCTCCTACTAGGCTCCGCTCATTTCAGCTATTGTTATACTGGGGTATGATTGAAGGTGAAATGAAAATTTCCACCGAGGCCGGATTCGAACCAGCGACCACCGGGTTTCCGGCTCTACCAACTGAGCTACGAAGTCCAACTGCTAACCAGATTTTTATTTCACCCTGGAAACCCGGTAGTCGCTAGTTGGAATTCGGTCGTGGTTCAGATCTTCATTTCACCTTCACTCATCACCCAGTATAAATACTAGTCTGCTAAACCACGGGTAATATCTCTGATAGTCAAATGATTATTATCATGAGTTTACATTTAGTTTTGAGCAGCAGTTCTTATGCGTGCGATAATGTCAACAGTCTGTTTTTTTTTTAATTATTATTTATTATTCACTTTAACCTGTTTGTGCATATCGTTTAGTCAGCATTACACAATGTCTAAAAGTGTGTGTGTGTGTGTGTTGAGTTGTGTAGAATCAATCACTTATTTGTTGCAGCTGCTTAACACTAATTAAGATCAATGAATTTAGATCGATTTCTCTTAGAAATAATGTATCGAATATAACACTAGTGACTATTTGTTTGTTGAATAATCTTATCATTCTATGCCCCTGTGTGTGTGTGTGTGTGCATGCATATGTCTATACTCAGTAGTCATAATTTCAGCATCATCTGATTGATATGCTGTAAACAGCTGTTAATCGTTTAGCTATACTTAATAATAATTACCGTCAGCTTTGTGCACAATGAACTTCCTTTTGACACGCTGTTTCAGTGTTCCTTCTTCTTTACACCTTAGATTACTTTATTGAAATTGAAAAGGTTGTATTGAGTTGTTGTCTACTATTTTATTTTTGAAACATCCTCTACTTGGATAAAAATAATGTGATGTATGAAGTCTTAGTTAGTGTTATAACTTTTGTGGTTTGTTATCATTGATTGATTTTAGCGGAACTACCAGCTATAACATTAAATGTGAAGTTGTGGTTCATTGTTTTAGGATGATGAGTTTCAACTAGAGGGTCATGAATACGAACGCTTATTGTAGCAATGAGCAATATAATACCGTCTTGAATGTGCATTTTTCTAATGGCGTAAGGTTCAGTTGTACTTATTTAAATATTGATTAATGATTAACGACAGTCATTAAAGTATAACTCTGGAGCCTAATCACCAAATATTCATCCTTCACAGTAAGTTATTTGTGGGGTAATTAAGGTGAACACCTGCTCCTTTTATGTTGAATTTCAATACAGAAACTCCATTGAAATGTGTGATATATGCAGCTTTGTAGGTTAGCTAGACTTTTATACAAGGTGTGATATTTAGAAATATTCATATGTTCTTGTTTTATGTGAGTTCAGTTAGTGTTTTATGTTACTTGGTTGCATCAGAAGTTTTTTTGGAGGTGGAGGGTAGTGATTAACAAAATGTCTTAATGTCTTCACAGAAAGTCTCAATAGCGTTGAACACTTCAATCAAAGTCTCTATATCGCCACTATTTTTAACTTCTTAAACCTTAAAGGCAGTTAGATAACCTAAAGATTTACGGCAAGGTTCACATGTGTGTACACAACGTGGAATGTTCTAGGATAGCTTCTGTTTTTTTAGTTTAAGAGATAATGGAATCAGATCCACTTGGCGTCTAGACATTCCATCAAATGCTGAAGACCTTTGCTGTTTTGATATCATCAATGATTTCGTCACTCATGCTCCCTTTACCTCTTGGATTCTAACCCATATTACCACAAGCATCCCGACACAAAACAGTAAACTCATTATGTTGTACAAATTAAGATATTGGCTTTATTGTATTTTTAAGATAATGAACTTTTATGAGGGATAATGGTAACTGAAATACCACCTGAATCTATCGTCTAGTGATAACTTCTTAAAAGGACGCAATATTCAAACACAATATATTCCTAAGGAAGCATTGTATATTTCGATTGAATTTGGGGATTTGTGGGGATTTAGAGATTTTCCAAGTTAGTATTCATCATGGACTGACATCAGTTGCAGCAACATTTGAAACCTAGGAGCACTGGACAGCTGTTTATTCCTAACAAGGGACTCCTCAGCAGTGCTCACTCACAACCCCGCCCCGCCAGGGACCGAACTCAGGACCTTCAGGTTCCGTGGCCAACACATTATCATTGTGTATTTCAACAATGATTTTTTTTGACATTTTCGATGTTAGTAGTCAATTAAAAAAACAAACTCTTGTCGTAATATATTTTTTTCTTAGAACCTTATGAACCTACTCATTTTTCATCAACGAGCACATTTTTCTCAAGCAACCACTTTTCTAACGAAGGTCGTAAAGAAAATACAATTCCTCTCAGTTCAGTTCAATTACGTCACATTCCTTCACCTAAAGATGATGTTACACAGACGGCAACCAAGACAACTAGTCGAAATGTCAAATTATCCGATACAGTCCATGACAGGTCTATTCATAAAACTGGATCTGAATGTATTCGAATCATTCGAAAGCATACAATCGATTCTTTTGTCACAGAGAATGCACATACCGATACACAACCAGTTAGATTTATTCGTAAACGTGCCTATGCTTCTGCTCGTCATCCTGGTCGTTATGATCAAGTGAATTCATTGACCTCCTCTAATGCTGCTACTAACGACACTGGTTTGCCTACAACTCCGTTATCCAGAAGTAATAATAGTAATAGTAATACCAATACATCACCATGCCAATTGTTGCCTGCACAGAAAACACCAATTAGTAGTAGTACTTATAATACTGAACCAAAAATAATTCACTTACCACGTCGTCGAAGCTCTGGTGGACAAACGTTACAACAGAAAATTCATGTAGATAAATCACTGATTCATAATGATAATTGTCAAGAATCACAAGCCAATCGTAATATGGAAATGTCTAGAAAAGTTGTTCCAGATGATGTACATGAATTGAATGCCCCACATTCATCAAGTGAGTGAATAAGAGAAAAGATAACTTTTTTGAAGTTTAATAGGTTTGCATCTTCTCATTACGATGGTGCTGTGATAAACCCACTTGGTGGTGATTTTTTATCATCTGTCTACATAATTTATAGGTGAATGCAGTTAGTTAAGTCATTCCTGAAGAAATGAAATGTATTCATCAACTTTGTGCACCTTCGTACAGTAGGCGAATAAGCCACATACGTATTGTATGAAGGCTAATGTTACTAACTGGCTACCCGAACCTCGGTAGGTGGAGCGGGGTTTGGACGCATGACCCCATTGGTTTAAAGTCAACTCCCTAAACCAATGGGTTACAGCTCCATCTATATCATTCCTGAGTATTGTGTGTGTGCGTGCTTACATTTTTTGAAGTAGTCAGAATATCATTTTTGGAATGCACAAGTATAAACGGTAGGTGTTGGGCATATATTTTCCACTTGTACTCCAAAAGAAATGTAGTTTGTTTAGGTTTTTCAACAAGAAATCATTCACCATGTTAAAGATATATGCATAATAAAATTAGAAGTTATGCAAATGGAAGGGAGGATGATATTAAGTAGACCGTTTCCATTGAAAAGAGATAGACGAATGTGATATCAAGAGGGATGTTATAGAATTCAGTGTAATAGTTTCAGAAACACATTCACTTGATAGGTGATTTGATGAGATAAAATCTGGTGAGTTTGATTCAATAAAATTAAATCGAAGTGTAATATCAACTCAAAAGTTGATGAAGACATTTAGCGACGATGTAATCGAATAATAGAAGAGTTTGTCAGTTCAGTTTTTGGGTAGTACGAGGCAAACCGATTGTTTCTTTTTTACTGCATAATAAAACTGCTCTCGGCTGTTCGGTTGCGATGGTCTTGGTACAATGAAGACGCTATTTTCAAGAGAATTTCAATAGCGTGATTAGAAGATGAAGTTTATCTGAACAATACGTTATGTATTTGGGCAATACATTTCGAACAATCTGATCACACATTTACTTTTCAAGTCAATTTATGATTAAATCGAGGAGTAAGAGGGCAAATTCAGAAATTAACACAATAGGGAATTGAAATTAAAATGATGAACAAATAGGAAGCGTGATCCTAATCTTGGAAATAAAACAAAGTTTGTCAGGTTAGGTGTGGTGTAAGAGCGAATTGTTTTTGTACATATAAAGGTGATTTAAATCTGTGTATCGCTATCGCTTCCATAAATGCTCAGAATGCATCCCTGACTGCTTCTACATGTAACTTTGAAAGCTATTTGAATATTAATTTTGTGACCTGTTTCTATGATATGTTTATCTATAGATGAAGAGGGTCGTATCCCATCAGCGTTTATTACATTTTTTATACTCCATTTGTTTTTGAAGCCATTGAAGTAGATGCTCTCCCACTCTCAACTGCATTACTCCTCCCTATCTACGTGTGACCATACATACATGTAAATTGGTAAACACAATGGGGTGTGACGTAATCATCTTTAAAAGGGACTGTTTGAAATTTAAGAGGAATGTTTACCTAGGGTATTTATCTTTTTTGATGACAAAAATATTTCTTTACTGGACAATCCATTCTGATAATCATACTTTAGCTAAAGAGAACTCGTCTGTTGGTTTCAATCGCATATGTACTGGAAAACCCATTCATACTGCTGCCGTTCAAGCTTCCAGTAAATCCAGTTTATTAAGTTCACGTCTTTGGGCATCATTTGATCAAGATCAAAATGAATCTGTCTCAGAGTTGTGGACACGCGCAGGGGAAGTTTATCATATGCTTGAATTGGAAAGTCAGCGTTTAGCCAGTAAGAAAGCAGCAGCAGCTACCGCTAACATTCGTCGTTATCCTGGTGGCTTTAATGACTCTCATCAGATGGCTTATTCTTTCGATAGCGGTGAAATAAGTACAATGAGGAACACAGAGTTTTCTTCACAACTGCCTTCTTATTCAACTCCTGTAACCAACTGTGCTAACGATGTGTTGTCAATAAAAACTGGTCGTTACGGGTAATCATGGGTGATTTTTAATTTTCTTCAATAGGATATACTGTTATTTATATATATATACATTTCGGACTGCTTTTAAATTTTATTATGTTATGGTGTCAGTTTATCATTTCTGCAGTTGTACTGCCTGGTGACTAAATCATCAGTATTCTGAGTAGTTAGAGCAGCAGAGTATGCTCGTTTCACCCATAGTCTCTACGTACCAGTTCATCAGCTGAATCTATTGCGATCAAGCTATCACTCATTTCCTTCAGTATGATAAGATTGATGCATGTGATATGGGATTGAAATGTTTGAAGTATTTGCCCTACCTTGCGTTAACTGCCCAAAATAATGAATGATGCAACTGGATTTGTAAACAAGTGTAAATGAGTTATGTCAGTCTCAGCAAATGAAGCGTGACGACAGTGGTCCTTAAATTCACAGATATATCACAAGGTAGAGTTCTCACTGTAAATAAGCTGGAGTAAAAATTAGACCATAGTGTGAACTGGTTGGTAAAAAGCGGCTATCTTGCTTATGAATTACTTATAATTATGAAATTGTTTACCGTGTTACCGCCATACTTGAATCGATGGATTCTAGGATACGCTTTTAACCGAAGAGACCTCTTGGGTGGGTCAAAGCATCTATGAATTCGTTGATGAGGACGAATACTTTCAGCGCTTGGAACTCATACTAGTTCCGACCGATATCCCTTAATATGGTGACCAGGCTTGCATATTACAATCACCGACTGAGCTACACTGTCAAATGCTTGTTCGTCTAAGTCCTACCAGGGCAAAAACTTTAATTGGATGATGGTAAGGCAAGAAAAAGTTACATATATAGTGTATATTCGTATGCCATGATGGGGATCTAAGGATAAAATTGCACTGCTGATTGGATGGGATGTGATAGCAGCAAGTTGTATTCCATAGATGACCAACAGTATTATACTGATGCTGTCTTTCTTATGGGAAATGAGGGTGCTAGAAAAGACCGACTTGGAAACAGCACATCCCTCCCTATCCTGCAGTCTTTCGGTGCCGACGGGGTCCGTTTTTAATGTCCGACGCTAGCACAATCAGGTCTTGTTGTAACCATCGGAGAATGAGTTTGATTAACATCGTATCCAAGAATTTGCACTCCGTTATTATCGTACGCAGAACTGGAGCCCGAAAACAGTAAACCTTGAGAAAACCAGATATATTTCAGGACTGAACGAGGGTGCATCAATGAGATCTCCCTTCGATATGCTCTGGAACACGAGCATAATTACTTACTTGTTATGTTTCTTGACTTGAAGGCTGCATTCGACTCTGTCGACCGTGAAGTGTTGTGGCAGTTTGACTGTGAAAGTAGTACCAAGCAAGTATGTAGTACAACTGAAGCTCTATCTTCACCTGAAGTAATACAGTCGTATATGGGCTTATGGAGAGTTGTCATATGAATTGGCGACAACCAGTGGTATTCAACTTCTTTGTGAATGTATTAGTCGGCATAACTACAAGTACCTCTGGTCGCACAGAGATTGACCTACTCCCTAGAGGTCATCTACTTGATGTAGAATACACAGATTTGATTGTCGTGTTAGGTGAAGATGCTGAGTAAGTGCAAGGTGTTCTGAAGGTCTTGAGCAGAAATCTGAGTATGTTTTATTTACTCGTTGCGGTTGTGAAATGTAAGATGGTGCTTGAGGATAGGGAGTGAAGGATCGCTGAAGAAACATACTACACAGTGTGTTGCCTAGGTAGGTGAGAAAGACAACTTCCTGTAGATTTCTCCCGTTGATGGTGACTGGTGCTTGTTGTTGTTGGTTGGGTATCTTCATCACTTCTGTCTTCTTTACGTTCACCTGCAGGAAGTCTCATCTTCGTTGCCCTACCTCTTCTGCCAACTTGTTAGTTTCCGCCTGTAGATCTTCCTGTTTGTGCGGCATTAGACACTAGACACAAATCACCATGGGCGAAATGCAAATCTTCTAGTGTCTTTTCATTGGTCAAACAGCATGTGCTCCTCTTCTCGCTCCTCACAGTTTGTTGCATGATCCAGTTGACCACAATCAGGAAGGTGATTGGTAATAGTAGGCAACCTTGTCTTACCTGTTGACATGCCTTCAATTCAAAGGCATGACTGAAGTTTCCATTGTGAATCACTTGGCATGTAGCACCATATAGCATTATAGTTAGCTGTTAAATGAGGTTGATAAAGGTTTGTGGCACTAAAACCGTAGTTTTGAAGCAGCTGCCAAATCACGTCTCGGTTGACGCTATCAAAGGCCTTTTTCAAAGAGAATAAAGTTGGGGTGGAGAGTTGACTGGCATTCTCTGCTCTGTTCTATGATGATGATGCGTAGCATAGTGCTGCAATTTGATCCACGCATGACTTGTTTTTCCTGAAGCCATCAGCCTATTCCTATGCCTAGTTCTATCAATAAAATGCGCGCCTCAACTAAGAGAATATTATTATTCCAGCCAACGAAGTTTTCTATTGATAGTTACCGTTATTGAATATTAGTTGGATAATCTTTCTCTACCTACTTCAAGCTTGAGGAAAGGGTAGTATGATAAAACTTCACCTGACAAGTCTCTACTAATGCTCACGGCTGAGAACAATTGATCCATCTCATTGAAGCCTTCAAATTTACTTAAGCATATTTCTACCGATTGAAAGTGTGGATTTCAACGCCTAGACTGCATGAATTATTTACTGTGTAACACAGTATTTGATAATGGGACAAATTTGAATAGATGCACAATGATGTTATTGATAGCTTGAAAGTTTCACACAACTCAAGCGTGTATTGAAAAAGTATACCGTCATGCATAATCATGGTGACCGCATTTTTCAGTATAAAGTTAGATAATTAACATGAATTAAAAATTAATTTTTTAAATTGATGATAAATTCCAAAAAAAAGTTAGAATACAGTTTATTAATTTACCTCATAGTTTGTAGAGTTGCTTAACGATTTACATGACTCATCACTTGTTTGATAAATCATTGCTGCCATCCACTGGAGGTACGGAATGCCGTAAAGAAATGTTGGATATAAAATTAGTCACATAAAATACATTTAAAATGATTTTAATCACTTTGTGCCTGTATTCTTTCTCAAGAAAAGCGAAGAGAGAGAGGCTGAGTGAAACAAAAACTGCATTGGACAAGTTAGTTAGTTCTGCTCTATGGTCTCAGTCAAGGACTCAGGATGGATTAACGACTAACTGGTGCAGTTATTCTGCAATCCATTTTAGTAGTTTGATACAGCTTTCTCAAAGAAGAAACTCGGAGGACTGATATTCACATCCCATACAGCAACTGAAGTGTTGCTAAGGGGCAAGTGTCCTCAAAGTGTTCTGTCCTGGGAGGTTATCAGAGTCCCATCCTTTTCGGTGATTGTTTCACTCACCGTCGTCGTCTTCTCGCTGCTGTCCTCAATAGGGCTAAAAAATTGCCGGGTGTTATCCACCTCTAATACCTTCTCCATCTCTTCCGTTTTCGCTACTCACCACTGCTCGTCATCGGCGCGAAGACTCTTGGTCAAATTACATTTCAGTTGATTTCGCTCTTCATCATGATCAGAGCCCTCTGGAATCAGTCTTCCCGCACTAACCAGTTTGGATGACTTTGCAGAAATCCAATGACGTCTACTAAATTTTATTTGTACGTTACCATTTGTCCTTCCCGCTGTTTCTACAGCAGACTTCAGGATGAGCAATGCTGGCACGCATACTTCGCATCCTTATCTGCCGATCGAGCACCAATAAGCCTCACCGCCTCCTAGTTCCTACGGCCAATTAAGCGCAGATATACACGAGTTTGCACTATCGACAGGACGAAATCCGAACAAGTCCTCCCGAAAGAGTGGCAGTGCTCCACTGAGCCTCTCCAACGACGGATTATAGCAATGTGATCTATCTCTGTTCATAATTGGTTTAAAGTCGGTGGATGCCATGTGAGACAGTGTCTTTGCTTATTCTGGTCAGACAAAAATGATTATTGGAACGAAATCGCAACCGCTGGTCATCGTTGTGAATTCATTGGCATAGGATTCTGTAAATACCCCCGAGATGCCTGCATTTCAAATTGGCTCACCTTTCCTACTTCAGCTTTAAAGTCACCTGTCATCATGACCACATCTGAACAATTTGCTTTCTCTAGCAAAATTCACGGCTTTACACGGGATTCATCTTTTGCATCATTGGAACTGCAGTCGGTGGGTGTGTAGGCGAGGATTACGAATAGATATTGCCTAGTCTCACGACCTTTCATAGTTCTTACAGATCGATTCAGTCGAACATCACATAAATTGTTGTTGACTGGTTACCAGTCGAGAAGCGCACTTTCTACCCTATAGCTCAGTGCTGTGCTTGCACCAGCGAGTCCGCGAGATGAATTTCGAAGATTTATTACTATTACTGGGTGATGTCAATTTAATAATCACATTCGGGTTCTGCAGATATCCATGGCTAGAGGTTCCAGGGTTCTGGCGAGCTATGCTAGTTGTCCGATTAGGCATAGAGTTCGGACTTTTTAGCTCCTTCATAAAACCGATGGTGGAGTCTTTATAGACTGGGAATGAGTTTTCCATAACTTGACTCGTCTCTAGTAGTCACAAAATGAGATATTCAGGTAGTTGTGGGCGTCATATCATCAGGAGGAGAAGGCAAATAAGGGGACAGTTGAGTACGACAGATTATGTTCGATTGAGTCTTGTGTACCACTGGAGGCATGTGGATGGTTGACACTTCGTGACTGCCCATACTGTTGAAGGTTAGTTATTCTTATGGTACCTGGAAGAGAAAACGTTTTGTGGGACCACAGACCACGTGAGACATGTACTTGAGGCCTGTCACATATGGCTTTTTGTGAGATGTTGTTTTGAAATTTTGTTGTTCCAACGCCGCATAGACAAAAAACCAATACCCCCGGGATTGGAATGCAATTGTGCAGTGATGGGGTGTATTATTTTAGGGGTCAAACTTCTCTAACCCCCCTCCCCATTCAGTTGAAAAGGCTGCTCCAGCGTGGCACTGGTGGTCATCATCACCTTACTGGCGTCACACCCCATCCACCTAATAGCAGCATGATTCGGCTTCCAGATGCCTATCATATTGTAGTAATTACAGTGGAACGGTAATTGCCTTTCGTCTTGCCAGAACCTTGAGGGAACAAGTGTTCCACCAGCATAGCTCGTTGGGTAATCGTGATATAAAAGCCCATTCACCACATCAAGGTAGCATCTGTCGGTCGGAATCTTCTGCTCGATGTTCTTTTGGGTCACTTGGAGCGTGTGGACGATATTATCCTGCTAGGTGAAGACACTGACGCAGTGCATGCTGAATCACCGCCCACCTTGACATGCAGTACTAGGGAAAGATAGATAAGGTTGGAAGACGCTACTGGCTGACCAGATCACGACCTGGCACCAATTCGGTGACAATGTCTGAGTCGTCTGGGATGTAGACTGCGTGATTGCGGTCCCCGAGATGAAAACATTCAGTAGTTGAGGATTCTTGGTGACACTGTCGAAAATCGGTCACGTTGGTCACAAGCCTTCTAAAGCTTGAATTTTCGTACAAACCGTTATCTTTAAATTGCTTATTCTCTTACATAGCTTTGTCTACTTTGATATCAGTCTTTTCCTACCCACCTATTCTTCGTGTACTACTGTAAAGTGTGGCAACTTGAGGTGAGGCATCTGTGTGCGAGGTTCTACGTTGATTTTGTCAGTCACTCAGCAGCATGAAGAGTTTAGTGTTTTTTTTCTACGATAACCTGTTTATTGTTTTTTTTTCTTTGTATGAGAAGGTCGTTAATCTATTATTTTGCCTTTAATACATCGGTATTATTGCACATATTTCTTGCCTACTCTTTATTCACACACAAGCTCACACTGTACGGATTGTAATCATGAACATACGAATCGTATTGGGACTACTACTAGTACCATGAATTCAACAACAAAACGCCTACAGTTTCGTGCCTTGTGCCCTGGTATTCGATCACATCGTTCAGAATTGGTAAGTAGCATGTAGATATTATGTGGTGGTTTGTAGGAATTGTTCAAGTTCAGAATAGTTTTCAGCATAGAGTGCTATCAGTTGAAGAGTAAGGAGCCCTGTGAGTATTCATTGGACAGTTGATTTGTCCTTGTTTGTATTTGCTCAAGAGTGCCCACTCATAACTCCTCAAGGGATTCCATATGTTACCACCAGTTCTCATCGTGAACTTCTATTCAGTCAGTGGGTTGGGATCAAATGGTCCACTTTTTCCGTCTCTCAATTTACGGTTTGTTATAACTCCCAACCATTTGTGAGTATTTGTTCCCCGTCGCACGCCACTTGGTTGACCTTGTCATGACTTTGCTTCTCATCAGAACTTTGGCAAATCCCTCTTGGAGCAAGTCACTAATGTGCATTTATCTGATGATCATTGGAGATTGGTTGATTTTAAAGTAATTTTCACCACAATAGTATTCGATGAGGGTAGTACATTATCATGAATTGAGAGAGTTGGGAAATTGTTGAGTTCGCTGAGTGTTACACTAGCTCATTGTGAGACCTAATAGTTGTTCATTCGGTCCATCATGTAGGGAAAATGAAACACACAGCCATCTTGTACAGTTTGTACAGCCATCCTTGCAGTAGGCAACGAGTCACACCCACTGTGTGAGGGCTAGTGATACTGCCTAGCTGCTCAAACCTCGATAAGTGGAGTGGGGCTCGAATTCATGACCTGATAGTTGATGGTCAACTCCCGAAACCACTGAGCCATAGCTGCACGGTCCATTGTGTGATCATTGGGTTACATTGTTGAGTCCTGAACTATAACAGATCGACTATGCCGTTCTCCTGATTTTTAAATTGTTCCCCTACCGATGTCAGTCTCTAATGAAAAATTCATTTTCAGTTTTATTTTGCTTTACATAAAATGCAAACTCGTGATGAAATAAACACAGTATATAGATAGAATGAGGTTTTACAATATAAAACTGACAGGGAAGAAGTATGTCTGGAAGAAATCATTCTGACAAGGTGCATTCAGAGAGCTTTCACTACTTTTTGTGTTGCTTTGGAATAATAGTAGAAAATAAAAATAAACTAAATTATGACATCAGAAAGCTAGGGGGTCATACGAAATATGACCAGTGCGCGGGAAGGAGAGCACGAAGTGAAACAGTTCAAATATACCCAAATTGTAAGTATGAAATGTAAGGGATATAGGCATCCCCCAACACCCTCTTCTTAAAGAATTCAGCAACATATTCTGTTTTGGTTTGTCTGTAGTGGCACTCTCGGTTGGCGGCGACTGTCATTCCATCATCATGGGAGTAGATCGATGTTCTCAGGAGGTTTTGGTGTAAGTGGACTGCCCATCGATGCCGGTGGTAGTCTGAGTGCTATCCAACAGTAAATCTAATGGTAGATTATTTATTGGTTCTTCTTTTCCTACAGTTTCTCACTCCCGCCAGTTGGTTGTGGTGACGCGTCCAGATTTTGCGTCTCACTCGAACATCATACGTTAGGTTTCCATTTTTTTGGACAACAGATCTATCAACCCAGTTTCCATGCCCTGGTCGATAGCTAAGTGCAAAAGCGGTGGAGCCTACTGATATAGCTCCTACATTACTTTCTGAAATTGGGCGGGAACCAGACTGAAGACATAATAAAGCGGTAACCGACCAAGATTAGGTTAGAAAAAAATCTGCAAATTTTCCGATGACTTTGGAAGGTTGGAGCGGGATTTGATTAAAAGTCAACCTAGGATCTTGGTCTAAGCGACTCAGCAACCGATTGCGAATATCAGAGAATTTCGGCGAATGAAGACTGGATATAAAAGGATGAGCGATTTGAATTGACCATCAGATAGTGTCTTCAGTGGAAATCGTTTTATGGTTAACAACTCCAACGTGTGTTCGGAAATCATCATGATCATTCATTTTCAACTTCATATATTGGAAGCGGATGTTGAAGAGAGATAAACTGTCACCAAAATATTGGCTTAACGATTGATAGTCGAGGGTTGAGACGATTCAACCCAAGTGATTCGCGAAGCGAAATCAAAAGACTAGCAATCAGAGGGAGGAAAAGACAACAAAAAATAAATAGATAGAGCATAAAGTGATCCAGTTCTCTGATCACTTCACCTCCACAGGGTATTGCTTTGGCCCTAATATCTCGGTTGCGGAGGAAACTTTATCCCAGATGCATAAGGCCCCGTTAAGCAATTACGTTGAGTCAATTTATGTCTACACGTGCTGGTGAGGAAGAGTACATCACACGACAGTCTTGTCGTATGGTTGAGACATTGGTGTAGGAAACGTTAGGTGACTACAGTTTCTTGACCTCAGATACCTCCATTGTATTATTTAAGTGTAGTGTGATGTGTGAACAAGGTCATGCGTAGAGTACAAGGTAAAGTTGAGAAGTCAGTCAATTCATCTTTCAATGTGCATTGTAGTTCTGCTTATCCAGCATATGCATTCGCCTGGTTCTTTTCAATTTTGGTTGGGTTTTTCTTCTTCGTATATGAGACTGTGTTAACCCTAACACCAATCTCTTTCCTTCTTATACGCCATTTCAATCAGTTTGTCAGTCATTTAGTGATCCTGTCAACTAATTTTGTCAATTTCGTTTTTCTTAATCGATTTAATGCATGCACACTTGCCTTTCAATAATAATTGCACTGGACAATATTCAACGAACAAGATGTATGTGTGTGTGTTTGTTTGTTTACTGATATGTCAGGTTTATTTTTATTCATCTGTTAGTAGTAGTAGTTGTTACATTTCGCTTATTTATCTAACTAGTAACCTGGTTTGTTTGTCCTTACCAAAGTTCATCTTACACGTATATGTGTGTGTGCCTCGCATGCTTGTAACATTTTTCCATCTATACTGCTGGCTCATTTCGATAACAGGGTTAGGGAGTTTCATTAATTTTTGATACACTTGAATGTTTTGAAAGTCAGCTTCTCAAAATATTTATCTAGTTTTATTTACCAACAAAAGTAAACCAACAAATCGTGAACAACAACATCAACACCAATATCAGGGTGTGTGCTAATTCCTGTCCTCTTTGTATGTGTAGATTGTTTTGCATAACGTGCATGGTAAACAGTACTAGTAAGAGTACTGATAATACTAGTAAGCCTAAAAGGTCGATAAACTATTGAGAACCTACCACACGACTGCATTTGCACAAATCCTTTATCAGAATTATTCATAAAGCTAGACAAATAACAGAATAGACGGGCATTGTTAAATAGTTCTACTGTTTAAGTAAGGAAATATCAGCTGTTGTGCACTGTTAGGTTTTTTTCCAACTGGTTTTTTTCTGTGGTCGACAACAACTTGAATCACCTAAGATACTTAGGATCTAAAAGTCTACTAATCATTTTGATTACGTCTCGGTGTACAGAATCCAATCAGAACATAAATGGGAATTACATGTCGGTCCTCCGACTAGGCGGTGTATAGAAATCAGAGATAGTTTTCTCAGGCTGGTCTACCTCACTGATTATCCCAGCTTATCAGAAGGGAGAGGAGTCTTCTTGCGACAAAATAGGGGAATTAGTTTGACTAATATTGCATCCAAGACCCTGGAGTTCATAGTTATCCGATACGTAACTGGAGCTCGAGAATAGCAAACTCGAAAAAATAGGGCAGGCTTCAGACAGACCTGGATGAGGGTGCATGGGTCTCATTTTTACCCTCCGACAGGTTGTGGAACACCAGCATACTTACCGATGGACGGCCGACACTTGCCATATTTAATATAAGAGTAGAACTTGAGCACTGTGGTAGAATGTAATTCCACTTCTTTCGATGCATCACATAGCTGAACAGTATTGTTATAGTGAACCATTGGTGAATTTGCCACATTTCTTCACCTGAATGCGACATTCAACTGTGCTAACCGTAATGTATTATGGCATTGTTTAATTTCCAGAGGAGTTCGGAGGAAGTATGAAATGCTACCAAAGATCTTTGTCCATTCGAGCTCATATAGGTGCATGAGGGCTAATGGGGAGCTTTTAAAAAAGCCGCATTGAGACATTCAAAAACAAAGTCAATCAGCAAAGAAAATTTACTTTTCGGCGAATCATTTTCAATTTCTGAGCAATGGTATTCATATTAATAACAATCAAAGCGATTAGTATGAAAGGGAAACGCAATAAAAGGTAACAGAGAAGATAGTTACCATATGGACGACTCATTTCATCTTCCGTCATCACCCAGTATCAGTACTAGTCTACTAAACCACTGCTGATATCTCATATAGTCAAAATGATAACCAATATGATGCTCCCCCTCTCTTCTAGTTTAGTCAGATTTGGATTGGAATGAGAAGTCCTGGCCAGGCAGCCAGTGTGAATATGGTCAAGCGGTAGTAACAAATCACGAATTTGCATGGTAGCCGGGCCAAACTTCGCTTGTGATTGAAATGAAATAAAAATCTGATCGGACCTCGTAGCTCAGTTGGTAGAGCATCGGGTTGGAAACCCGGTGGTCTTTGGTTTGAATCCTGCCGTGGTCCAAATTTTTTATTTAACCCTCAGTCACCATCCAGTATGGAAATATGTAAGTAGTAAAACGAGAAATGGGAAAAGTATTATTGCCTAATGGGTCAATATTAAGTCATTAAAACGGGATGTCCCGCAGTGAAATAATGAGTGAATTGTAGGCTGAGGAAGGTATTACGTAATCATTGTGTATGTAAGGCGAATATGTAATCGATTCGGCTAGTGGCTGATAGGTTAAGAGTACTAATTATATAATTAATAACCAGGGTTATGGTTAGTACTCTTAATTTGGCCTGTTTATTTTTTCTGACTTATTAGTCATCAGCTTAGTCGACTGCATATTCACCTTATATACATATGCACAATGATTATGTAATCCTTCCCCAACGCTAGAGTTGACTCATTATTCCACTGTTTGACATTTCGTTTTGATGACTTAATATTAATCTGCCTGGCAATAATGCACATTTGGTGTTGCTGGTTGTGTTATCCCGTCGCTGAGTGAACCGAGTTCGAGTCCTGGTGGGATCAATATTGCTCACTGGGAGGTAGGTACATGCAGCTGATGAATCTCAAATGGGAAGAAATGTTCGTCTTAGATTCTACTGTTAGCAATTATCCGTTATTAATCGACATTATTTGTTTGTTATTGATGTAAATACAATTGTACAGCAGCTGAAATAATCCATCAGAAAGCAAATTTTCTCCACTGATTTACTTTATGTTTTTGAATATCTCAATGGGATTTTATTCTGATCTGAAGAGAGAAGAATAAGGATGCTGTAACCGTAAAGGAAAATAATGGGTTTCCTCGATTCTCTATGAAGTTTGTCATAACGAATTCCCAGAAAAGCTATGTAGAGAAACGTGAATATCGGAAACCATAATGTGGAGTTATCATCTGAATTGACGACACATACTGGTGTCCGTGAGAGATAACGACCATCGCTGATCATGTTTAACTTCGTTGAACATGTGTTTATGAGTATAACCATAAGTACCATTTATTTATTACTATTATTTGTCCCTTGGGTTCCTAATGGAACATAGGGCTTCAGTAGCACGTCTCCAATGCGCTGTGTTCTCTGAAATTTCTTGAACCTGGTTCCACGACAACCCACAAGCTCTCATTTCTTCACCACACGATCTCCTCCATGTCACCCTCAACTGGGACTCCCAACTCGTTGCTTCCCATCTGGGTTCCACTCTAGCGACTGGCCTGTCGCGTGATGTCCCCGAATGGTCTTCTCAGTGTATGCCCAATCCATCTCCACTTCCTTCCAGTGCATATTTGTTGAGCGATATGTTATTGTTTGTTCGTTGCTGAGTCAGAGTTCCTTGTTGCTTATTCTTTCTGACCATCTGATCTTCAGTAATGAGTCAGAGTAGGAGACAGTTGTTGATGGATGTTTGTAGTTTGTTGGAAATGCCTGTCGTAACGCGCCAAGTCTCTGAGTCATACAGAAGCACTGACTTGACGTTGATGCTGAAAATCGGGATGTTGTTCATACTTTATGCTGAGTGCAGAAGATCTCCACACTGGTTTCAGGTTAATGAAGGAAGGCGTGTCTTGCTGTCTTTCCTATCCTGTCTAGCTTTGACGTCCTCGTCTGTGCCTGTGTCGCCTGTAGTTGAGGGGGTGCTGCCTAGATAGGTGAACGAGACTACTTTATTGAAGTTTCTGTCGTTCATGGTGATTGGTGATTGGTGTTTGTTGTTTGTTGTTGTTGTTGTTGGTTGGGTATCTTCATTACCTCTGTCTTCTGTATATTCACTTGAAGTCCCGTCTTCTCTGTCTCGCCTGTTCTGTCAACTTGCTAGTTTTTGCCTGTCGATCTTGAAGTTTGTATGACATTAGACACAAGTCATGGGCGAAATCTAAATGTCCTAGGAACTTTTTCCTGATCCACCCAGCGTATCCCTCTCTTCATGCTCCTCACAGTTTGTTGCATGATCTAGTCCACCACAATCTGGAAGTACCATAGACCCCATCAAAGGCGTCTGCTTGACGTTTACTTAGAGCTCACAGATTAAATTGTCCTGTTAAATGAGGATGTTGAGTGGAGGAAGAAATCCACTCAACAACCTTGTTCACACTCTTCCAGTAGGAAGTGGGAAAATTAATGCTTGCCCAAACGTCGTTTGTTAGAGGGTTGCTCGAACCCATGGCCCCACTGGTTAGAATGCAACTCCGCAAGCCAGTGAGCCGCTACTCATCGAACTCCTCGAGTAAGTGAAGTAGTCGACATATTCAGTCAGTCCATTCCCTACACTTACACGGTAAGGCTTTGTTTACGTCTACGCCTTTGAGTGTAGCGTCAATTTGATTGGGTCTCCTACAGTCGGTACAAGGACTTCTGTCTTGCAAACTGAAATGATCAGTTGCCTAGACCAGTCTTATGGGTTACATGCGATTCCTATGCACTGCTTAACACTTCAATTACTTCACTAAGCCACTTCACTCACTTCCTTAAATACTTCACTTTCGCGTGAAACTCTTATGACGATTTCTTGCATGATACTGAAATGTTTACCGATTAAAACACCAGCTTTGAGTTCAATTCAATCTGAACATCGACATTGTAAGGTAAAAATGTTCTCCCGTATTCTTTTTCAGGTAGTATGCTTCCTAGTAATCACTTTCAATCCTTTTTCAAAATTGGCCAACAATGAGCAGAAATATTACGTATAAAGTCTACTATCTATTTCAGATAACTTGTTAGTAAACAATATTCATGACGCTCAGTATTTTAAATGTGGAATATTGCTTTGTTCTATACCATATTAGATACTGGATGACGTTTCAACTAGCATCTATCACTCATATTAAGGTGTAATCATAGGACTTTCAAACAGCTTCCAGCAGTATAGACAAGTTAGCAATAAATTCTGCTCGAAATATCATCCAGTAAACAATACTGCATCACTGTGTGCTACATTGAATAAACAGTCTAGTATGGGGTTGTACTCTATCGGAGTGTCAAGGTTTTACTCTTCCATGTAGTGTGCTATCTAAATAGCCATCAAAATTTCATCTGTAAAAGGCCAGTATCTGAAGATAGTCGTTTCATCAATATAAGTGTACAACTTGGTCACTGTGGTAGAATTTAATTGCATATTAGATTTGTTTATTTAATATATAGCGCATAGTGATACAGTAATATCTACATGATGACGTTTTGAGGATAAATTATCATTATTCATATTCATATTAATGTAATCACACACAAGTTTCGAGGTTTCTATAATCCTATCACCTCATATTCTTTGTTTCTCTATTAGTAGTAAGAATTTCCATATCTGGTATATGTATTGCATCATTTCGAATGTATTTGTTGGGTGGTGATTCGATGAACAAAGATTCACTAATCAAACTCTCTCTCCACATTGGTTTTATCCCACCTTATTGTATATGGTTATGTGTTAATGCATGCATTACAATAGCCGAGTATTTTTCTAGAGTATTTATCCTATTGGGGTCTATCATTATATATTTTGCTAAATTCCCATGTTCTACTAATTTATCTGATCCCGACCAGCTAGTTCAACTCTTGTGCTTAACTTCGCAGTTATTGTATAGAATTTGATAGATTAGATTATTTTGCATAGTTGAATTTGTCGGATCCTTAAGCCAAACGATGAAGCTTAACTCTGACTAAGTTTGTAGTTTCAAATGCCATCATAACTAGTTCCAGCTTTGTTGAAGATCCTACGTAAAGTTTCTGATACACTTTGCTTATATGGGTAACACATTGGTGTCTGTGAACTTTCTACTCATGTTATCGTTATTATTCGTACTCGTGTTACTGTTATCTTTTCGTTTCTTGTGTGTTCGTACGAATTTCTTCATAAACTGTAGAGGATAATTATTAAAGCTTCTTTTATGTGCTTCAGTTCCTTGTTCAGTTTTCTAGCTGTATCATTTAGACATATAATTCAATACATAATTTGTACTGGAGACGTCATCAAGTAAGTAATACTATCTCATTGTATGAACAAATCTAATAGGGAATAGTCTCTTCATATTGTTATCTTATGATTTACTCCATTCTTTATACTCTTCTTTTTTGTTGTTGCAGAACATCCTATGCGATATGTCTGGATCATTTTTGTCGCGTCAATGTTTTTGTAAAATTCTTGCTATCAATGGTTCTGTAAGTTTCTTCACCTGTGGAATATTTATTTGTTTAGTCATGTTATATGGTTGTAATTTTTTTATCGATCCACATACATAAAAATTAGAAGAACAAGACTTTTATCAACGAAGAGATGTTTTTTTCCAATGACTTTATTATCAAACTGTACAATGGGTAAAATGTCGGATAAATGCACATGGCATACTTCTATCGAGTTGACTGTATTGAACGTTGTAAGTGGGCCCTTGGAAAACTTACTGCTGAACGTTTTCGGATTTGGCTTTTCCAAGGTAAACAAAGAAAAACATTTAATTTCATCTATATGTGAACACCTCGAGATTCATCCTTCAAGGTAATTTATAAAGTTAAATTGAACTACTCCAAAGGTTTACGTTCCCCACCACTTATACATATCTGAAGCACTAGCTATACATGAACAAAAGTCGAAACTATGTATTCAAAAGCGTTTTGTAAAACCCCTTTTACTATCTTGGCCTTATTAATACATTTTGGTTAGTTTGTTAGTTTCTTTTCACTTTAGTTTAATTGTCATCACTTGACACTTCTTTGAAAGCATTTCACCCTTATTTTCACTTGAAATCAGTAAGTTCATTATTCAGTGATTCATTTTCTATTTCATCCACTTGAACAAAGGTGTTGCGTGCTGAGCTACCACTTACCTAGATGTGCTATGCTAGGGGAAGTTGCATTAGGATGGATGGCCACATCAAAGCGTGGCAACGGTCCATAAAGTTCCTGGCTTTTGGACTAAGCCGTGTAAGATGTAGACTGCCTGGTTAAGGTCCTGAAGACGAAAAGAATCAATGGTTGACATGGCTGAACATCGGTCACAGTTGCGCAGATGTATTCACTCCTAAAGGTGTATTTACTTCTAAAGCTTGAATATTCACACTAACTTTTCTCCAACACAACTTTGTCTACTTTGATATCACTTCTTTTCTATCCACGTATTTTTTGTATACTTCTATGAACTGTAGCAACTTGAGTTGAAGCAATTGTGTGCAAGGTTGTTCTACATTGATGTTGTCAGTGCCAGTCAGTCATCAACAACACCATTTGTATTGTGAACAACATTTTAGTGTATTTATCTGATATTTTACTGATTATAAATATGATTGTATAGCTCGGTAATGAAATATTTCTTTGGTAAAAATCTTGTTTTTCTTATTCATGAATCATAAATGGATATACCTTGTCAGTTATGTACAATTGTACAGCTTTGGGAAATGAACCATTTGTAAAGGTTTCCCTTGCTTAACTATTCATTCTGTGGCAAATTCAATCGTATATGGAGATATATTTATCTCATTATTCCAGGTGGTTATCCCTCGCCTTATGGATAACAGTTTAAAATCCCATTCATCAGCCAAGTAACCTCATGAAATGTAGCTCAGTATGTGTGAAACTGTGTGTTTTAGAGAACCATTCTAGTTTTTACCCATATATTCTTACAGCTTTAAATAGAAGACTGACTGCTAGTTGGTTGAAGGCAATCGACAGGAATCACTGGGGTTATGTTTCCAGCTTATTGGCACTCGCCAAACAAGGCGTATTTGGAACCCTTTAGGAAACATGTCCTACCTGAGAATCGAATCCGCGTCACTCAGCGTTGCAATCAGCGATGGCATTCGGACTGACCTCTTTTAGGATTGGATTACATACACCGATTGATCACTGAAAAGCAACCTATCTCATGTTGCCTAGTCCTGAGTATTGATCGAATTCTATCGGTCAATTTGCAAAGTGATCAAGCTAGGAGGCTCACTATCGTGGTGCACCGCAATCTCTATCTTGTCTGAAGGAGTCTTTATTATTATGAAACGAAAAAGTTTGTTTCAAATTTGAAGGTGGACACTTTTGGCAAGTTGATGGTGTTGCTGCCAGTCAATTAGAATCAATGGGAAACCCGGCATTTCTACGAACTGGTCTGTGCTACCGCATTTGATATATTAGCATATCGAGGAAGGAGGCATCAAGGTGAATAAAAGACAGGAAAATAAAGAAAGTAATCTAGGTGAAGGCTAACAATAAGATATGAAATAATACTGAAATTCAATATAACCTACTTCAGCTAACATTGCGCGATTAGACAGAATGACCTTCTGAGTCCATGATGGTTTACATTTTAATTAATTGACTGATCTTTTCTACCTAAAACACTACGCCTGACTTCTGTGAGGGCACCATAGCACACGGAAGCGGTGGTCGGAGACAAACTCAAGGCACATATTCATTAACATTTTAGCCAGTGTTACAAGTATGAGAATGTGATTGGTCTGTTAGAGAATCAACACTATCCCGGATTATATCAGTCTCCGATATGAGGGAGAGAATGACAACCATCTACCGTTCTTAAACATACTCTTGATGATTCTTTAAGACGGTCTATCTATATAAAGCCTAGATGAACAGGTGAATCTAAGAACTTTCACAACTATTGTCCAATGGTGTACAAGAAAGGTGTGATAAGATGCCTTTTATTATTATTATTATTATTATTATTATTATTATTATTATTATTATTATTATTATTATTATGATACTGGTGATGATTTGGACTGTTTAAGCTGTAATTAACTGTGGTTTGAAATAGACATTTTTTGATTTTACTTTTTCAGGATAACAAATCCTACGCATGGAAACCGTACTACATGTGTGTTTCGGGTTCAGAAGTGAAGTTTATCAAGGCATCGTGGGCATTCTATGGGGCTGGACGAACATCGAAAGTAAGCATGTGGCTAGGCGCATATCTTTGTTTTAATGTAGCATATATATATATATTATATATATATATATATATATATATATATATATATATATATATATATATATATATATATATATATATAACTCGTATGTTTACTGCTGTTCTGTGATATTAAAGGTAAAGAGATCAGTTCAATATGCTACTTGTCAATATTATTGGCTGTTTAACGCCCTCATCACTTATTACTACGTAGTAACGTCCAGTTGTCCTTCGGAAATGATGTCTCATTTTGTTATCATTTTAGACATTATTGTTCATAAGTATGTAATTTCGTGTTTGACTACGCATACGTTCGTAGCATTTACCGCGTATCATGGAAACAGCGTATGAGTAATGTGAAAACTAATCGTCGAGTCTTACGTAGAACAGGTAAGTCAGTTGATGAGGTTGTAAACTCTACTTGACTGAGGTGGCTAGAATATGTATCACGCACACCTAATCACCGTCTTCTTTGACGTAAAAATATTAACTGAATTACGTTTAGCCTAGAAAATGGTTTAACCGTGGTACATGTCCATGAATTCACTGACTGCATAGTCTTGGCCTGCAGGTTATGTGCTTGACTTAGAGAACGCAGACCGTATTATCTTGATGGGTGAAGTCGCTGACGAAATGCAGGGTCTTCTGGACATGTTGAGCAGAAATCTGAGTATGTTAGACATGCGTTTCGCACCTTTCAAATGTAAGATGATGCTTCAGTAGAACCGGTCCTCTGCAAGTACTCGGAGTTTATTGATAGTGGAATGCGTGGACCAAGTCACCTACTTGGGAGTTACATCAACCTGAACTGATTGGTTACTAACGAAATCTCAGCTCGGTTACAGAAGACCTGTTTAGCATTTACCAACTCACATCATCTCTGGCACCGACTGGCGAGGTACCCGACTATTTATCAAAGGACGAGTACACCACACTGTAGTCCGTTCTGTCCAGTTGTAACAGCTGTAAGACATGACCGTCAAAGGTAGAAGACATGAAGCGGTTACAAGATTTTGATCACAGATGTCTTCGCGGGATTGTTCGCATTTGGTGAAACCACCATGTAAGCAATGTTGAGGTCAATCATGCGGTTAGTAGGCAAGATAGGCAAGTCGATTGATAAGGTTGTGAAGCCATCGACTGAGATGGCTTAGGCATACACTGCGCATTACGGGCCACCGCCTACCTCGATGTGTAATGCTGGGGGAAGCTGGATTAGCTTCGAAGAAGGTTTAAGGTGATGAGGCTTCGAACTTACATTGACCTAGGTGGTTTGTACATCCCAAGCCACCACCTTCTTCATCGTGCAGTGCTAGGAGAAGTGGGGCTCAGTTGGGACAGGGTTCAGGGTGGTCAGACTAAGACGTGGCAATATTCGATGTGGTTCCTTACTGTCGGTCTGAGCAGTGTGGGGAGGTGTGGACTACGTGGTTGGGGTCCTCGAAATGATAAGATCAGTGGTTGAGGACTCTTGGTGACATGGCTGAAAATCAACCACAGTGACTCAGACCACCTATTCATCACTCGTTGACATCTTCTAAAGGTTGATTATTCGCTCCGACTTTTATCTTCAAATTGTTTGTTCTTCAACACAACTTTGTTTACTTTGATATCACTCTTTTTCGACATACCTGTTCTTTATGTACTACTGTAAGATGTGGCAACTTGAGCCGCTGCACCTGTGCGCGAGGTTCTACGTTGATTTTGTCAGTCAGTCTTCACCGTGTAAGAAAATAGGCTGGCGTCTGTGTGACCACTGAAATGGTGGTTAGAAAGTTCAGGTAGTACGGCCTGACCTCAGAATTGTTCGCATGGTGACTCCACCAAACACGAGGAATCCTACGAAGACGTCTTTCATCGAACGTCTGTAACTGCTTTATGTCTTCCACTTTCAACGACCATGTCTCACAGCTTAACAACTGGACAGGAGGGACTACAGCATAGAGTACTCGTACTTTGAATGAGTCATGATTGTTCTGCATACTACCGTGACCGGTCAACACTGAATTCTTGAATCTGTCTAAGCATTTTTGTTACGCGTAAATGCAATACCGTATCCACAATCTATATTCTTTTTGTATTGCATTAAATACGCAAATAACAGAAATTGTACTGTACAGGTTTCAAGCAGTAGATGTAGGTGACAATGCCATGGTAGTGGTGTATCATTCAGCTATCTAGTGCAGATGGGATTCACTATTCTTTCGACTTCAAGCGAATTGGTCTGAATCTCAAATGTTTTTGGTAGCTGGATGATATCATAAGCCTTCGTACAATATGATTGACAATCGTACACAAGATTTGTACTACGTAAAGCTGATTTACAACAATTTCACAACAGTATCTTAATGACCGAATCTGATGAACTGATAAGATATCGCGAACACAGATTTGCTTGAGAGACCATAGGGAATTGGGCAGCACTAGACAGCTGCATCTTTCTGCTTTGCGACTGCCTATTAGTATGCAACCATATGTGCTCAGATGATACATCACCTGCTGCACTGGTCGCTGGTTCCATTGGTAATGTTAAATCCTGATACGAATTATCAATCGTTTTTTTGGGAGATATTCATTTTGTTTTCAGTTTCAAATCCTGTAGATCAAACCAATTAATTGCTTGATATTCATATGAAGTTTTTATAATCGTGTATTTGCGTACCTGTCAATCATATAGTCGGTTAAACTGGATACTTGCATCTGTGTAAGGCAGTTATCATTTGATTATAGACATTCATATACTGCTAGTTGGTTGGAGGTGATCGGCAAGAAGCCCTGAACGAACCTAGGTTTCGTGTTTCTTGACACTCATTAGCAAAGCGTATCTGCAATCTCGAGGGGAATTAATATCCCATGTTAAATTTGAAACCGCGTCACCCAGTGTTGCAATCAAGGATGTTTCCACTGAGCTATTTGGGCTGCGAATTGACCTCTTACAGGCATGTAATAGATATAGGGATTGATCACTTGGAAGGCATCCATTTTCATGTTGGTTGGTCTCCAGTGACAAATCAACTTACATTCATATGTGTGCATGCAAAGATGCTTTCAGTATGATTTTGATCGTACTTTCAATTGTGTTTGTATGTCCAAGAATTTCTACTTTATCTTTATATTCAGTAGAGTTTATAGTGGCAGCTCATAGTTGTTAGTTTTTATTTACCCTAATTTTTTTTAACGATTGATACTTTTACTGTATCTCTTATTGACACGTTTCATGTGACCTTATATGTATACATGCATATAATTATATTTGTGTAATTGACTTCAAGTGTTTTCTTGTTTTAATTGAAAAAAAAGGAAGATGATATTTTATGACAACTTCCGTTGCATAATATTTGTTTTCTCTTATCATGACGTGTTTTCTATCGAAATTATGTATAAATTTAGACTGCAGATTTCTTGGTAATGTAGTAGCCGACTGCAAAAAGTGTGTCTGTCTCTATTTGTAACTGATCAGCTGGCTCTACACTTTATCCTAGTGAGTTTCGTACAGTTAGTCTCCAGTGGCTAACTTGAATGACACACTGAGAAAGGGATATTTGCAAATGGTGTCTACATTTCATTATCCTAGTGGGGGTGTTAGTTTTCCCACTACAGTGACACTCACGATTGCCGAATAAGATGAAATATGCATTTCCAATTCCACTAACCAACTTATAGCTAAAATCTTGTTTCAAATATTATCGGTGTTTATCTGCAATACGTCTGGATGGAAACACACGCTGATGAATTCAATATTGAAAATCAAGAACGTGGAAAAAAATCACAAACAATTTTGTTTTATTGATGTTTTGAATACGTTACTAAGGTATAACTAAGATATTCCATAGTCAATGAAGTTCTATGAACTTATTTGTTCAACATTCTTGAGTACTATTGAATTTTGTCACATCTCAGTAAGTGCAAATTAGTAAATAAACAATTTTTTTTTTTGGAGAGAAGCTGCTAGGTATAGTTATTTGAAGAATGATATAAAATATACTTAGAGATGAGTTCTTCAAGTCCACCTCCTCTTATCTTTTCAAAAAAAGTTATTCCTTGAAGTTCAAAGACTGATCTATAGCTGTATTATTATTATTATTTGTCCTTTGGGTTTCTAGTGAAACATATTGCTTCAGTAGCATGTCGCCATTTGACTCTGTTCTCTGCAGCCTTTTTAACATGGCTCCACGACTGTCCATAAGCTCTCATTTCTTCCTCACACGATCTCCTACATGTAACCCTTGGTCGCCCAACTCATCGTTTCCCATTTGGGTTCCACTCGAAGCCCTGGCCTGATGTGATGTCCTCAAACGGTCTTCTCAGTCTATGTCCAATCGAATCCATCTCCACTTTCTTCCTCTGCATATTTGTTGCGCGATAGGTTATTGGTTGGTTGGTTGACAGCCAGCCAGAGTTCTTCCTTGCTTATTCTTTCTGGCCATCTGATCTGATCTTCAGTATTGGGCGAGAGTAGGCGGCAGCTGTTGATGAATGTCTGTAGTTTGTTGGAAATGTTTTTCGTAACGCGCCATGTCTGTGAACCATCACATAGAAACACTGACTCACTTGAATGACATTACTATTGAAAATCCGGATCTTGTTCTTTTCTTCATGCAGATTGTAGTGCAGTGCAATGCAGTAGATCTCCACACTGATTTCAGGTTAATGAATGTCTATCTTGTTGTCTTTCTGATCCCGCTTTGATGTCCTCATCTGTGCCGCTGCTTGTAGTTGAAACGATGGTGTATAGTTGAGTTAGATGCAAATGGTACAGTCTTTTTGGGTTTTTTTAAAATTACTTTTCTCAACTTCTTCTGAATCCCACATCTTTGACTACTTTTTTGGTCAATTACGACTGCACATTTTAAGCCTATCCTAACACATATAGGCTTTGCATTTCTGTTAGAATGATAATCAAACACATGGACTACTTACAAGCCTGTGCAGTAATCTCATGATTCGATTCAAACTTCTAGCTACCGAACCATCAGGCCACTGGTTAAAATCGCCTTCCTCCAGCGTTGATCTGTGCAGCTGGTTAAGATAACTCCGAACCTAACGGCTGGTGTATTCACACGTACAGTCTTGCTGCTGTCAATCATTTCTAATTGAATCTCAATTCTAATTCTTAATGCTGTTGATAAAAGTTGACTCTCTGAAACTTTTAGGTGTGGCTACATAACTTCTACTGTAATTTACTGTATAGTAAAGCGATGCGTAGGAACCTATATCTGATGAATTCTTGTCGTTAGTCTTTATTACATGTGGCAGTATAGTCGTATCACAATACAACTCTGCAATCATGTTTGCCTTCTTGGATTTGGTATTTAGAAACATTTACTGTGGGAAGGCTAATAATACTATGTGATTACTAAAATCTCGTTAAACAGAGAACTTGAGTAGGTTTTGAGCTTGTAATCCATTTGTTGCAAGCTATCTGCTTACCTTGACCAATGAGACACATCTACTATCTCCCTATGGTTGTGATTTGTTGGTTTATATAAACCATAGTCATCTGTACATTGAACTTGTCTGTAAGCCACTCATTACTGTGCATTACTGAAAGGTAACAGCTAACGTGATGACTAGGTTCAGTCATTTTTAGCGTAGGATTTTTACTGAAGGTATGTTGGATGTAAGCAGGAAGCAAAGACTACCGGTATGTTAACGATCTGATCCTGTTTACATGAATAGGAAACATTAATAACAGATCGTTTTTTTATTTTTTTGCATGCATCGTCAGTATTCTCACTAAGATCTTCATTTGGAAGCATTGTTGTACTTATTTTTTAGCGACAGATTGTATTCTTTATTTAACAAGCAATCCTTTTATATAGTTGTGCCAAATATACAATGCGAACTGTTTTCATCAATTCCTTTTGCATCATTTTTCTATCTGATTCTGTCCTTCTCTAATTCAGGCTTCGAAAAATATCAATGATATCGTCTGTCTGAGGAATAACAGTATGAACAGTCTCCTAGATTGTTTTTCCAAAACGTTAGATTTAGCTAAATCAGAGGATGGATTGAATGATGACTCCATTTCATATCATTATCCATCGAACGCTGAAACTGACTGTTCATCGAATACTTCGAATGCTGGCAAATCATGCGTATCAGTCGGCTCTAGTGCATCCTGCATAGTTCTCCCTATACCTGGTCTTATATGGCGCTCAGAACCATTGCCAACAAATTTCCCACATTGGTCACCACTTGGTCCCACTTCATCAAATCAGGTATTAAACTCACGTCCAAATACTGGTGGGAGTAATACTTTAAATCCCGATTGGATGGATCCTCGCGTTTCCGGTTTATCTCAACCTTCACAACAAATTTTATCTGATTATCATGATTGTTATAATTTGCCAAATACAACAGACTTTCACAATAATATTATAACAGATGATGAGGATAGTCGATCGAAGTTCCGTTGTTTTCGTTTCGCACATATAACAGCTGGTGTTGAATTACTGTTTGTATTTCCTGATGATAATGCAGCTATTACTTGCTTGAAAATGTGTCAGGTGAGTTCTCTATTTCTTATTGCATCACATACGCTTGATTTACTTTGTAACAAGCTGAGAGATATTTTAAACTTCTTCAATTGCTCCTGTCTAGTGTTGAGAATGTTTTGACAGAGATTTATATACTAGTGAATGATGACAAAGCTACATGTATAGTTCAATAGTGAATGGGTTGTTTGCTTTTCTGACATAGTTTTGATCTATTCAGCTTATTTGATTAGAAAGAAAGCGTGCGAGCATATCCAGATACCACGGTTTTAGTTGGTTAACTCTGACTGGAACGGCTATTGGGGAGGGAAGTATAAAAACACTTGTCTATCTGCTATCCATACATCAAATAAGCACTTGGCATTGTGTTCAAATTAAAATCTCCTCTGTGCTCGCAGTCCACATTCTCAGCTACTTCAATATGATGCCTAGATGATAGCATGAAGGTGAAGATTTTAAACTTCTCATCTCACTCTTCATCCTGGTTTAAGTGCTATCAACTATTTATTGTGTTGGAGATTTGTTAGCAGTTTGGCAATGAAGTAACTTACTATCCTTATTGTAGTGACGCGGTATACTGTATTGATAATTTTAGAAGTTATTTCACCGAGTTGACTCACTACTTGACATCATTATTGTTAAAGGTTACTGGGAATCAGTTTCTTCATTAGCTGGGAACCTCAACGTTTAGGTTGTTTGACTAGCATTCACAACCTCTGCTTGTTGTATGAGAAGGCGTAGCTGCAATACAATAAAAATAATTCAATTTCAGTCAAAATATTTACAACATATACTGTAATATGCTTCAGAATTACGGAGTACTAACCCCTCAATGCATATGTATTCGCAGAATATTCAATCCAGCTATAGGGAAATCTCAGAGAGGAGATTGTGTGCCTAATGTCTGTAGCGAATTTCGTAACATGCACTCTGAGTTGTGAAGCTGTAAATATATAAAAAATGTTCTATGACTGGTCTGTACCGTAATCTAGTTCTAGGCTAAAAAGTTATTCCAACAATAGTGACTGAATGCTGAACGAGTCTACAGTCTCACCCACCCTAACAGTCATTGAAATAACCAATTAAGTTTCTTTGAGATATTTATAATTTTCTTGCAATTTTTATTGTAAATAAAGAAACCTTATAGGTTACTTACCTGGTTGTTTGTTTGAGCGATGCAGACTAGTTGGTTGGGGTCTACGGGACAAGGGAAACTACTGGTTGGAGACTCTAGGTGTCACTGGCGTAGATTTATGCACAGATTATTCTCATCTTAACCGCTATACTTAATCACATTTTCCCATCCCTCTTTTTTTTTTACAGCCTTCTACTTCTTTTGACTGATCTTTCTTTTCATTTGCTGGTTACTAACTGTGCTGATATGAAATGTGGCATCTTGGACCGTAAGGCAGTAATGCCTAGTTCCATGTTGATTTTGATGATGATGAACTGCTTACTAGGCATACCTTTATATACTGACCGTTATGTTCATTTATAGAAGCTCGTGTTCTGGGTTATAAGCTACACACAGCCTGTGAGTGCTTGTTTACCAATTTATCACTGGCTTAAATGCATGAATGTTAGAATGGTCTTTACGGTCTCACTCTAACGACAACAGGTGCCCAGATAGATGACCCATACTTTCAGGTTAGAGAGCAGAGTTGTTGAATCCAATTTCCGATTCCTACACTTCTACTCTGAATATAGATCTAGAAATTAAGTCGTCTGAGGTGTTTCTCAGTGAAGACTGGAAATTTGATAAGTTGTCTCCAATAATCCGAAAAAGTAGCTGTTTTTAATGGAAGACTGTTTATCAAGAGGACGCAGCGCATGCATAATTATTGGAGTATTTGCTAATTGATTTACTCAAACAATTGTCTCTCGTATGAATTAAACATTTCACACCTCATCCCACCCATCGTCTTCCCCTGTGCTGTTGAAATCAGAAATGTGAATAAACTTATCAATTCCCTGTAAACCAATTTTAATAAGATTCGGGGAAATCGATTAATGTCAAAGGGGTTTTCATTACTTACCGAAATCGACCAGAGAATCATTGAAAACCTGGGAGTAATAGGCAATTTTTTCGCCTAATAAAAGACTGTCATTTGTGGTGTTAAGCATTTTAGATGTGATAACAAATATTCACTGATGGCATTGGAACTTATTCGCGCCTAATCATAGCCTGACGGGATTAGGAAAACTTAGACCGTTAGATTCCAGTTAAGTGACTGTCTCGTAACATACTTGTCTTCAGACCTGAACTTCCTTGGATCGGCGCTGCATAAACAGAGAAACACAGAAAAGTCAACGTGGAACCTCATAGAAGTATATGCTTTCAGTTCTTCTCATTTCATGCTAGCGTGGAAGGATGAAATGGATAGAAAAAAGGTGCGATCGTCAAGAGTGTATGTCAGTAGGGCAAATACATAAATGAAGTTCAGCAATAATATCCAATACCTCAAACATCTCAACTACATTGCTTCCCTTTATATCTTTAACTTCAGTCAGGTGACATGGACTTTCCTACGCTGCTCAGACTAGCGGTCAGAAATTTGCTGAATTGATGTCATAATTTATTCTGGCCGCCTTTGACCATTTTCCGACCTACTCCAATTCCAGTGCGCTAAGGTAGGCAGTGACTTGGGCATGTGCTACTTATTCAGTGGCACCTCAGTAGGTAAAGGTTCACAACCGTATCACCTAACTTCCTTGCCCATTATCCCACGCCACACCTGGAAACAGTTCACATACGGTTATACGTGAGCACTGCTTAGTCCCAAATTGGCCTGGAAATGTCCAGTGTCTCTAAGTTTTGGATCATTCCTCAACTGATTTCGTACAAAATCATACCATCCCGAATTCGTGAGAAAGAGAATAATAGTAGTTATCTGCCATTCTTAGATATACCTTTGAGTCGAAGAGGGGACGGCCTACATGGAGAGGAAATATCTGATTTCTCACAGTCTTTATCTGATCCCGTACAAGCGAGGTCTGATAAAATGCTTGTTTATTAGGATCTGTCGTAATCTATATATCAAATACGATGGAGGGAGATATCAAGTTAGCAACCAAGACATTTATGGTAAATGGATATCCGTTGAATCTTGTTAACCGTTGTAGGAGTCAGGTAGCACTGAAGTCAACTGTGTGCACCGTTTCTAAGACGAACGTCTATATTATTCTACCATACAGAGGGGAGTTGAGTAGCATAATTTTGAGACGTAGACTAACACAAGCCATCAGGTAAAGATATTATGGAGCTAAGCTCATCGTTATGGAAAAGATAAAACACATGCTTCTCAACGAACCTAAACACAACATAAATGATTGCGTTTCCACGCGTATGTGTTCACAAATACATAGGGAGAATTAATCGAGCCGTGAAGCTGAGGGTAGGAGAATATGTACTTCAATGGCTTCAAAAACAAATGGAGTGTGCAATCGTGTTAAACGCTGGTGGGAGACGACCCTCTTCATCTATAGATAAACATATTATAGAAACACGTCACAAAATTAATATTCAAACAGCTTCCAAAGTTTAATGTAGTAGCAGTCAGAGACGCATTCTGAGATTTGTGGCAGCGATAGCCATACACAAATTTAAACCATATTTATGTGTACAAACCCACTACATCTATCTTGGTAAGCTTTGTTTTCTTACCAAGATTAGGATCAACTATTTCACTCTTCCATTCTGTTCTCTTTCCTAATTTAATCCCTATTATCTTAATTGTATTTCCCCTTCCATCCTTCGGTTCAGTATAAATTAACTAAACAAGTAAGTGTGTGATTAGATTATGATTCGAAATGTATTGCGCAAATACACCACACGTTCATACAAACTTCGTCTTCTAATTGGACCAACTAACTTCATAAAATGGACCGATTTTTTCAAACATGAAGGTCACAAGTAAATAAAATGTGTTTAGTTATGTAGTCACGGAAATTTGTTTCTGAAAGGAATATATTACGTATTTTTGTGTAGATGTCTAGCAATCGTGTGCTGAGTGTATATTTTATCCCATATGTGACTACCCTGTTCAGATTTACATGGTCAATGGTTAGGTGATCCAAACGACTTCGGCATGTAGTGTCTGCCTCTAAAACGTAAGCTACTGAGTCAGAAAAGCCTTATCTTTCTTGTGTAGATTACTGTGTAGGTTGAGTGCGTTAGTAACTTAAGGGCCACCCTGGCAACTGCTGAAGTAACCAATCAGGTTTTGGTATTCTAGCCTGAAAGGTAGTTTCTAACTCAATAAAGAAACGTAATTGGTTCTCTCATCAGTTGCTATGGTGGCCTTTAAAGTCACTGGAATTCGGGATGGCTTTAAAAGCCACCCTAGCAACTGATGAGAGAACCAATTGGGTTTCTTCGTTTTGGCAGATTTTTTATGAAATAAGAGAGTCCGGTTGGTCATTTCAGTTGTTACTAGGGTGGCGTTAAAATCGTCAGGAGGTGCCTGTAACTGCCACGACAAGGGTTTGTCATGTTAAATACAATCGATTGTGTTGTACTAACACCATAATTATCGGGTTATTGGAGTTTTACCCTGACAACTACTGAAGTAGTCATGCAGAGTTTTGCACGTTATGAAAATACTTCCTTTTCGCCAAAGTAAAGAAACAAAATTGCTCATTTCACCTGTGCTCAGTTGGTCTTTAAATTCACTCTGGTCAAGAACGTCTACAAATCACTTTGCTTATGAAGATCGTTGTCTGTTGGATTTAACGTCCACCCTAGCAACTGTTGAAATAACCAAATAGTTTCCTTGATTTTAGCCAAGATGATTATTCTTTTAATAAATATGTAAACCCGATTGGTTATTTAAGTAGTTGCTAGCTTGGTCTGTATAATCATTCCCGATGTCTATCAGTATTTTTTTAAAAATCTCTGGATATGCTAAGTGTGAAATGTATGTTGAAGTATTCAAACTATCAAGTAGTTTGTCGTATATGTTTTGTCATAGATGTTTTTTTGTTCTTTCCTCCTAGCTCTCTGGTGGACGTGACTGTAGTAGCGTTAAACAGCTAGAACCGTTTGATCGTCAAAATTCATGTAAGTTTGTTTTCTTTTTTTCCCCACAGTTTTCGATATTCATGGGAATCAACAAACTATATTCATATAAAACTTCTCAGTGTTGAAACGTGCTTAATTCACTTCTGCGAGATTAAGTTGCATTATTACATCTTACCTTCTTAGTTTGTATGCTGTCAGACAACTGTTTATAGTTGTGAACAGTATGAAATAGAAAGCAGTTAGCAGCCTTATGCACATGTTCGTGTAATATGCAATGTACCACACCTGTTGTGTGATGATCAATGTTACTACCTGGTTGCTAAAACTTCGGAGTGGTGTTCGAACTCGTGACCCATTGGTTGGAGGACATCTGACTAAACTCTTGAACTAGAGACCTACTTATGAATATTGGCACAGTATTAATTTGTAAAGTATCTGGTTGTTGATTTGAAGTGTATTTTGAATTTTCAATGTACCGAACAATTGGAATAAGTGATCATTTTTATGGTAATAATAATAATAATAATATTTATTTTCCGTTGTTATTTTTCCATTCTAACTGTTGTGTATTTCAACAAATTAAACACACTAACAATATTTTCATCTTTGATGCTATTTTTGAAATGGCTTGAAGTTGTATATGAAATGAACTCGCATATTGATGATATATTATTAAAGAAACCTCAATAAGTACAGACTGATGTTTAGAATTTGGAAGATATCAGAAAGTGAGTAAATTTACTCAGTTGTGGCCGGTTTCAAGCCATGTCATCAGCAGTTTTCAACTACTAATTTTTAAAATATTGGGTTCCAATCCAATGGCTCAATCGTAACATGTTGGCCTCGGAATATAAAGACCCTGGTTTCGATCCCTGACGGGGCGGGGTCATGGGTGCGCACTGCTGAGAAGTTCTAAACTGGGACGAAACCTTTGTCCAGTGTTCTTAGGCGTCCAATATTTCCCCAACTGATGTCAGTCCATAATAAGTACCAACCAAAAATCAATAAATAAAGTCACACAAACCTCCAAGTCGAATCTTGAACTCACTCAGACATCCTGCAGTACACTAAAACTATTAATAATAGTAGTTTTCTTGATCTAGCCTCGCATAACTTTCATGTTAGTTAGTTCTACTTCAATTTTCAATGACCATTAAGGTATATAGTGACTGGTTATGTCCGACATATATCTTAACTATTTCAATTAGTGATTGTTTGGAACACCTCATGATTTGATTTGCCTTTTATAACTGATATTCTACATTCTAGTTATACTATGCACGGAAATGTTTTCACATAAAATAAGGATATCTAACTAGGCTATCATGTTCAGCGCCCGTACACTGAACAATAAGATACAAGTATTGTCTATTTGTGATACTATTTGGGTGCTGTAATGCAGGCAAATGAAATGGATCAGACTAGTGTCGTCTGCCTCGTCACACAATGTTGACCGAAGTAGGTTCAGGCTAGAAAAAGACTCGGGGCAACCAGACTAAAACATGGCATCAATGTATGGAGTATTTGATTGTTGATTTGTGCTGTGTGGGGTGATGTATACCAGCCGGTTGGGGTCCACGGGACAAGAGGAACCAATGGTTGGAGACTGTAGGTGATCACATGGCTGAGAAGTGATGTCAGTGGTGCAGATGTATGTATCCCCACACACATTGTCCTCACCTTAACGAGGTTATACCGAACCTCACTATTTTCTCATTCTTCCTTTCTCTGTTTTAGTACTTTATGTGTATATATATATATATAGGTTGAATTTTATTTTCTTCATCTTCCGTTTTATTGGTTATTTACTTAATGTACTGATGTGAGGCTGTGGTGTGGTGGGGAATTTGACCTTTACGCCATGATGCCTTGTCCTATGTTGATTTGGATGGGTGGATCAGGCTAGTGTACCGGAGTTTAACCTTTTATTTGTAATCAGATGTGGTAAGTAGTTGGTGAATACTAAGCGGGTATTTTCTATCTGTACTGAGACTTTAAAAGTGATCAGCGGATTAAGAGTGAGGCAGTTGGTAGGCAAAATCATCAAGACATTTTGCAAATCCACTGAGACACAGACCAGTCATTCTCCTACTCCTCCTCCTCTTCATTCATCCATCTTAAGAGTTCTGATACACTTCGTATGTCTATGTAGCTCAAAAAATTAACCTGTATAATAATTTCACATCTCTATTTACTTGCTTTTATTTTGCATGGATGATATGCTTTGCTATCAAATCTTCCTTATATGTTTGATTTATATCTGTAGACATGTTTTCTACATATCAAAAGAAATCCTTCAATCCATATGGTTTAATTTTCTTAAAACCATCCACTCACATATCATTATCTGAAATCCCGGTCAAATCAAGTCATTCGCATAGTTTTTCAATGAAAGGAAACAAGTATGGTATGCCACTTGTAGTTAATTCTGCTGATGCTGATGCTGCTGATGATGATAATGATGATGACGACGATGACATAAAAAGAAATGTTTTTGTTGAACCTGCTGTTTCACGTTCAACACTTGATAGTCCTTTCATAAATACACTTGGACCATATTGTCTACCAAAGGATAAACGTCATCGGCGTTTCATTATCAATCGTATACATATGAATCAAGAGTTGAATCGTGGTAATAGTGATGATGGAACTTCAGTCAAGAATCCCTGTGTAAAATCGAATAAATATGAAGATGGGAAGAAGTTCTGGACACGTCGAGACAAAGAATATTTAGGTTTGTCTCTTTCTCTCTGTCGTATCATTCTCATGCTTTTTAAAATTTTAATTTTAAAGCATATTTCTTTTTAGAAGAAATCTTTGAACTTAATGTACTACGACCTATCGTATTTATGTGAGTTGCTTCAATCCCAGGTTAATGTCTTTGAAAATCTAAGCTGTTTCCATTATAATACATCTGATTGTGAGATAGTAGAGAAGATTTGTAGCTCAAGATGAGAATTTTACTTCATTAAGAAGTAAGTGGTATGGAATTGGCTTTGACCGTTGGCAATGGTCGTAGAGTGAGAAGTTGCGAAAGGTATAAGATGCTTAACATTAGTATGCAGAGGTTTAAGGCAAAAATGGAGATGAATGATATATTTGACTGGGTCTTCCCGGATGCCCATATCGTTGAAGGTTATTTCTTCTTAAAGTACCTGAAAAAGAAAAAGAATTATGTCCACATCTGCTTGAGGCTGATCACACACGGGCATTTGAGGATTGTTGTTTTGCGGTTCGGTTGTTCTAACGCCAGGTGGAGATAAACCATACCACCGGCACCGGAAGACCGTAGGACAAGAACGATTATGCTATTTTGGGGGCTGACCTTTTCCCCCTTTCCGTTGGGAAGGCAGCGTCAGCATTGCACTGCTGATCATCCAAGGGAAACACCTTCTGTCACACTGTAAAGTTGTGGTTCAGTGGGTCACAGATTCGAGCCCCGCTCCACCTACTGAGGTTTATATAACCACGTAGCATCATTAGCCGTGACACAGTAGGTATGCCTCGTTGCCGCCTACTGCACGAGTGTGTGCACAAGGTAGCTGAATGTGCATGCGTTGCTGTCACACTCCTGTTAACAGCGCGACTTCGCCCTCAGACCTCCTATCATGATGTAGCGATTTACGCCACAACGGTAGCTGCTTTTCATTTTACCACTCCCTAATTGACGTTACTGACATAGTAGAGCCTCGAGGGAACAAGTATTCCACTACCATAGCTTATTGGGTCATTGTGATATACAGGCCCGACCACCACGTTAAGGTAACAGCTGTTGCCTAACCGGGTGATGAAAGGTGCAAGAGCTAACACCCAAAGCTCAGAAACCCCAAAAAATTGACACATGATTGTTCTCTTACTTGATTTTTTCACCTATTGGGAAGTATACTAATCAATATGAATAATTCTTCGTTCCTATAACTTCGATATTTGTGTCACTCATTTCACCGATTCAAATGATTTGTGAAATTTCTGTGCATTTAGCTGCCAAATAAGTGCACACTTCATTAGGAATTAGCGTTATAACAGCTTTTGGAAAACAAATCTATCAGCTGAGTCATTTGATAAATATATCAACACAGAATCAATCAGTGCTGCTTAACACTTCGAGTTGCCTCATGCATTTGTGCTACTGATTCATATTCTCAGCCGAATAACTTATACACTCCAATCATCGACGTCGGTTGTTGCATGGACTTCAGCCTAGAAGTTTACATTTCGATTCATGACTCAAACCAACAGTTATAGACTTTGACGAACTGATGCTACGTTTTAAGCTGACCTCCTTAAACATTTTTCTCGCATTAGCCTAGCCAGACCAGGCAGATGGTGACTGGACTTGCGCAACCCATATCTCTATCATGTGAATTGATGAAGGTTTACAACCTCATCAACTGACTCACCTTGTTTACTTAAGATTTTGCACGTTACGTCTTAGCTGTCAACGTGATGTTTCTGTAACTCAGCCTTTGCTGAGAAGGTAGCTGTGGTCGAATACTTAAAACCTTTTCATATACTCTAACTTTAATAGTGATGCTTTACAGCCATATACTGAAACAATGTGAATTGTAGCGTAGTACAGTCCGGCCGTCACTAAGCAACCGGATGTCATGGTCGTTGTATAGATGGCGTAAGTTGACGAAAACCGATCAAATTTATAGTGTCCATGCTGTGAATGTTTGTCGGTCACTTGACTCATCGGGGGTTCCGGTACCGAATATTCACTTTGTAAGCTATCAAAAATCTGTAAATTTCCTGTTTATTGGCTTTAAAGTGTTGATTTCTGGATTACCATATTTCAAATAAACAATATCGATGTTTCAAAACTTAAAAAGTCTAGGGCTCATAAAGCGTCGTCGGTTGACGCAGATGTATTCCCTATCACTAGTTTTTATATTTTGTTGTCATACGATTATTTGTTTTATTAATTATTCATGGCTGTTGTGAGTACCTCCTAATCCTATTAATGCCCCCCTTTTGTTATCGAAATGCGTATAATCTCTAACTTGTGCATATATATGTAATGTCAGTCCGTATGTTGGTTTGCCTACCTTTTGGTCACTGATCGAGCATATTTTTAAACTTTTTATCGCTATGACTTACAGCTGTTCAGTTTATCGTTTATCTAGGATTTTTTTCATTAAGTTAGGACATATAGCGTTAAATCCATGTATAATGAAGTCTTCAATAACATTACAAGCAGCACCTGTGATGTATTTGTACGAAACTAACGTCAGTCAATAGGTCCATAAAAATGAGGAAGTATTTAACACCCATTTCACCTTTTTACTTGATGATTGTACACGTGGTGTAAGTTGTTGGGATTTTAGAAGGAGCTCATCGTTATCAAACCACTTTTTGAATATTCGTTGATAATCAGCTTCTTCCATTGTTGAATAGCTGTTGATTTAACGACCTTTGGATTCTCGGACAACCTTTTTCTGTTTTACTACGCATAAACGTTTCACATTCTATCTATACTTTTGATAAACAGATGATTCGGAGGATTTTAGAAGGAGCATAGGCTATTCACTGTTGAGCAATTCAAAAGTAGAGAGTAGCTTTCCAATGTTATCTGATTGATAACTGCTACCTTGACGTAGTGGTCAGGTATGCATATCACAATGACTCCATGAGCTACGCTGACTGAAATACTTGTTTATTGGGGTCTTACTTTGCCAAAAACGTCTATCGGGTAGTGGCAAGACGAAATCGGCTACCATTCCAGTGTAAATTCCTATGCTGTAACGCTTTCCAAGGGTAAAGTTGTATTTTTGGCTGGACGGGGTGGTTTCTCGCAAATGACCAGCAGTACCATGCTGATGCTGCCTTCTCTTTCGGAAGTTGGGAGAGGAACTAGATAAAGTCGTCTCCAAAAATAAAGGTCTCTCCCCTGCTTTGTGGTATTTCGGTGTCAGGTGCATGGGTTTTCTAGCTGAAATGAAATCAATCAAAGCTTAATCTCGAATTTCCAAGAAATCCCTTGTATGACCGACGTCTAGCTGTTATCTTATGTGTGGACTATGTGGTCATGGACCACTAACACTAATCCGATTTCCTTTTCCGGGTACCTTAAGAAGAAGTAACCTTTTTCATGCTATGGGCAGTCTATCAGTTTAAACCAACCTAACAACCATTTGAATTGACCAATTCCTCATAAGTATCAAATTCAATGTAATTTAAATGCTAGATTATACACTGTGTTCAACACAGTTAGCTAACCAGAATAAATAAGCACATGTTGAATGTAAATGTTGTTTTCTGATTGAGATGCTTCCTTCTGATTGGTGTATAAATACGGGTATGTAGTTTATTAAGTATTTCAATTTCAATGCATACTCAGTATTTCATCATATTACACACACACACACACACACACACACACACACACACACACACACACACACACACACACACACACCTAATGCGTATGGGTTTACATGACTTAGCTGCTTCTTATATTTTCATTTGATGATAAAAATTTTGTACAACTTTATTCTATGAAATGTATTTGTTGTCTTTATTTTACACAGTCTAAAGTTTGTGTTCCCTTATTCAAACAAGAGTTGCATATTGTCTTAAATCATGTGAACTCTTGTTTGTTACTCAATACGGAATACAGATTTTTTCAAATGATACTTAATTGGTAGATAGATAGGTTTTCAAAATCGAAGCGTCTTGTGACTTTTTGATCGATTGTCTAGTTTTCTTCTTTGTTTTTACATCGCCAATTTTAATTGTCACTTTCTACCCGTCATTCCGTATTGATGTTATTGCTTGTCGGTGACTTTCAATTTGATGTTGACAAAGATGTCTTCTAGGAAGTCTGTAAACGTGTCGATACAGTTGTTAAACGAGAAATCCTACTAGTCACAATCCCGTGGACTCTGTAAGCTGATTGGCTTGAGCACTTTAGCACTGGGTGGTTTCAAACTCTGTCTAACCGTCATGGGCAATTAGATAGTATCTGGAGCTGTTGCACTTCAATGAGGCCAACAGCTTTGTGCAAAGACATCTTTACACAGTTAAGTTGGAAAACCTATTTTAGATAGACCGGTCGATGCAGTTGAACTAGACACATTCGGATGATCTGAACTAAATCGTTTCTTTTTTAGTTTAATTTGTCTGGGTACATCGCTTATAGGTCGTTTATCTCCAAACGAGCGGAACAACTGTCCGGTGTTTATATCATTCTTCTCTAACTGGCGAAAGAGTACAGGTCAGCCTGAGTGGTTTCTACCTACTCAAGTCGTTCGGTAGTTGTATCTTTCGTGAGTTGGATTATGTGTAAATGTTTTAGAAAGTGACTTTGTCGTTGGTACGCACTGTGAAAGTACGTATGTTGACAGTGTTTGAATGAAGTGCACATCCGTGTAGTAGGTTGCAATGAGCCACACCTGCAGTATGAGAGCTATTGGTACTTACCTGGCTGCCCAAACCTCTTTAGCTGAAGTGAGGTTCGAACCCATGACCCAATGGTTGATAGTCATCTCTTTAAATCACTGAACCACAGCTTCTTCAGGTGTTTGACCACCGGCTTTAATAGTATAGGCCATATTCCACCATGGTGCCACTATATGAGTAACGCAGAAGCCAGACGTAAAGGTTTAGGGAGAAGAGCTAAGTCATTCGACACTGTTGTGAACCTTCATCAACTGAGATGGTTGGCTCCGACATGTGCTACGTATGCCTGGTCATCGTCTGCCTCGTCGCACAATGTTGACCGAAGTAGGTTCAAGCTAGTAAAAGACTCGGGGCAACCAGACTAAAACATGGCATTAATGTATGGAGTATTTGATTGTTGATTTGTGCTGTGTGGGGTGATGTATACCAACCGGTTGGGGTCCACGGGACAAGAGGAACCAATGGTTGGAGACTGTAGGTGATCACATGGCTGAGAAGTGATGTCAGTGGTGCAGATGTATGTATCCCCACACACATTGTCCTCACCTTAACGAGGTTATACCGAACCTCACTATTTTCTCATTCTTCCTTTCTCTGTTTTAGTACTTTATGTGTATATATATATATATATAGGTTGAATTTTATTTTCTTCATCTTCCGTTTTATTGGTTATTTACTTAATGTACTGATGTGAGGCTGTGGTGTGGTGGGGAATTTGACCTTTACGCCATGATGCCTTGTCCTATGTTGATTTGGATGGATGAAACTACAGCTCCTTAGTGTTTGAATGACGTGATTTCAGTTTAGTCATCATTTTCTAACATAATTTCATTAGAGAGAACAGCTTGTTAGCTTGTAAAGTAATAAATTTATTGAATTGTGTACAATTAATATTCGAACTTGTATATTTCTTTGGCATAAAATCTTTCTTGTGAAATTGTCATTTTGTCTTACCTTCTGATCAGTTTTTTTTTTCCAATGGCTCTAGTTTAACACTTCATTTTTTTAATGAGTGTGAATAGGCAGTTGGTTGGTATCATTTTTATGTCAATTTTTATCTGAAAAACTATCCCAACATCAACTGTAGATTTTTCTCACTGATGAGATGTTGGGCACATGTTTTGACGTAACTGAGGATTCCTTATCGTTCGCATCTACCCATCACACCAATTGTTGCTCTTTTGATAATAAGACTATCACTACACGTTATTCCTTGTTGGGGTGATCACTTCAGTGAGCAATGAGAATTAGTAATATTTCGTATAGTTGATTAGTGATCTAGTATGATGAAATGATTGATTTCGATGGTATCGCTGTGTTTTTTTTGTCAATTGTTCAGATGCGATTCGATCAGACAATGTCGAGTCAACGTCAATCTATGTTGCCAGCGCTAATAACAATTACAGGAATACTACTACTACTGCTGTTATTAATAACAACAATATTAACTCAGTTGTTCCATCACACATATCTGAATTAACTACGACTGGCGTTGATGATAAATCACACTCAACCAATTCGATTCGTTCCAATAAAATTCTACGTGGATTTAAACAATGGTTAAATCGTCCAATTGGTCTGAATACTGTTAACTCGAATAATTTATCAACAAACAGTCATAACAATAATATTAGTGTTAATACTACAAATACTGTAATCAACTTCACTGGTGTTGCTAGCAGTTTTGGCAATAACATAAACAAAACTATCAGTCATAATGGTGTAAATATTAACAATAATCCTATAGAATTATCTTCCACAGATTTTTCTCAGTCAGAATCTCCAAATAATGAACATCGACTTGCCTCACTTACGGGTAGGCTATTGAGTTAGTTTGCTGTATCATTGTGTGTATTATATTGGTAGTATAATATATACATATATTTCTGTCTATATTCTATTGATACACATTGACCTGATTAATCCGGATCATTGTTTTGTCAGTTGTCATTATTTAACTGCTTTAATCAGCATTCTCATTTATTTTTATCAAGTGAAGGGAAGAAAATAACAAAACTAAAACGTGTAGGTTGTAAAAAAAAAGAGATTTAATAAATAAAGAACAATCGACTTGAAGTGAAATGAGGTTTATTGTGATATTATATTATAGGTGGGGATTAAAGTCACCTAATCCATCATCACATGGAGATCATTCGTGTTTACTTTTTATTATGTTACTATGTTATGCAATTGTCACGTACATTTTAACCTGAGTTGTCGTTTTAAAAAGAAAATATGTTTGCAGAAAACTCATGAGGAACTCTGAAAATCACCTTAAAAAAAGGTATTGAAGTGACCGATTAGAATTCTGTATTTTATGAAAAACTATCGTTTTAGAAATCTAATGAATGGCCTTTAAAGTTACTCAAAATTACACGGTATATATTGATCATTGATGAGAGAGAGGGAGAGAGGATGGAAGGAAATCGTTGTATCCTTAGAGATTCTGCTGGAAGGTATGTTTTCCACACAGTACTGTTTGACTCGTTTGTTATCAATAAATATTTATCGCGTTTATGTTTGTACCCTACGACTAATAAAGTTGTTTCGAAATGTTAAGAGGGCTCAACTCTCTGTGAGTTTATTTCATGTGTTCTTCATCATATAAATGTATGTATATTACTTGCAACACATTCCTATAAAAATGCAAAGGTGGAATTACCGTATAGCTTTCGTCAATAATCTTTGAATTCTGCATTCACTGAATGCATTAAAGATTGACAGTGGTTAACATGTGTCACACGGAATATTGAGCTTCTGTTTACTTGCTCAGATTACGTTAATGATGATTTCCTAATTGTACTACTGACTCATGAAGGTTTAGCTGATACTAGAGAGATCATATCGAACGAATCTCATGAATACTAACGTTTGTTGTTCTTTCAAGTTGTTATTCATCGTAGACTGACATCAGTTGGAGGAACAAAGGAAACCTGGGAACACTGGACAGCTGTTTCGTCCTAGTATGGGGCTCTTCAGCAGTGCGCACCCACGACCCCACCAGGGATCGAACCCGCGACCTTCAGGTTTCGTGGCTAGCGCGTTACCATTGAGGAGTCCCATACTAGGACGAAACAGCTGTCCAGTGTTCCCAGGCTTCCTTTGTTCCTCCAACTGATGTCAGTCTTCGATGAATAACAACTTGAAATATTTCCAAATCTCCACAACTCCCTCAAAATTTGATTGGTTGTTGGTCTTGTTTTCTTAAAGATTTTGTTATACAATATCACAACCACTGATGCCCATGGGTTATGGTTACTTACCGTGTGTGTGTGTGTTTTTTATGACTGTTAGGGTTAAAACAATCAACTCTACTGTTAAGCTCTTAGGAAGGATAATGCGCCGAGCAACGCCACTGTTACTATAAATGATCCTTGAGGAAATCAGAACAACTAATTTACTGGATACTGAAATGTCACTAAATGAGTCAATGTTTTTATCAATTATAGATAATGCAACAAAGTAATCAATTGTCAACCAATAAAATTCCAAATTCATTCATGGAAATAATTACTGAGTAAACAACACATGGACACTGCATACAGTGAGATGATTCATGGAGAAATGAATAGTTGGAACAGTGTTTCGATCATGTAGAACCTTTGGAAACTATGTTTTATACTACTTCTCCATGTCACTGGTTATCATCACATCTCATATTTGTGCATTATATTGCAAACTGAATCATATTTGGAAAGTTTAATTTAATTCCAATATTTTTGGGTTGTGATTTCATGTATACTCTTGAGCTATTTGGCTAGAAGGAAATAATTCTTCATCTGATATTTGAGGTAAACATGTTTCTAGTATTAGTAAAAGTAAGAGTGAATCCTGAGTAACTGTCTGATGTCTTAGATACAACTATAAATTTTGACTACTTTCAAAGTAGGTGAATGTCTTTTCATTTTGACGGTCGTATTCAAAGCTGCCTTACTGTTGTCAATATTTTGAACGGAATCTTTTTTCTTCCTTTCCCAAGTTGATCCTGCAAATTTGGCTGATTTAGATAATCCTGGTCCGGTATTTGGGGCTCCTTTGGAATTACAACTAGAAAGTCCTGATTACCCAGTGAGTGTGATTTGTTTAAAAAGAGGACATCTGATTTCAGTTATATCACCGTTGTTAGAAATGTTTTTTCCGCTTTTCAATTTCTATTTTATGCGACATTGTCTTCAATTCAACAGTGGCTGACAGACAGACAAAACCGACGTAGAACCTTGTACACAGTTGCATTGGCTCTAGTTGCCACACTTCACAGTAGTATACAAAGAACAGAAAATGCGTGATTTCAGAGTACATAAAGTTGTGTAAGAGAATAAACAATCTGAAGACAAAGGTTAGCGTGAATATTCAAGCGTTAGAAAATGTTAAGGAGTGGATACATCTGCACCACTGCAACTGATTATCGGCCAATTTTCACTAAGAGTTCTCAACCACTGACTCCTGTCGTATCGGGGAAGCCAGTCAACCAGACAGCCTAAACCTCCTCACATTGTTCATACCTCCAGTTAGGGACTGGTGCCACGTCTTCCTCTGGCTACCCTGACCCCTCTTCCTATGTGATCCAACTTCTACCAGCATGGAACATCGGTGTAAGCAGTGACTATGGACGCGCAACACATGTGCTAGCCATCTCAGACAACGAAGCTTTACAACCGCATCATCCGAGTTGCCTTTCTTGCCTAGTGCGCTTCACAGGAGATCAACGTTGCCCACACGGTGGTTCCATCAAACGAGAGAAATCCCAAAAAGATATCTGTGGTCAAAATCCTTTAACGTTTCATATCTGCTACTTTTAACAGCTATGTCTCACAACCGCACAACGGGACAGAATAGATTTGGAGCGCAGTATACTCGTCAACAAGGGGTAATCTTTTTTTTACCTCTTGAGTTATCGCTATGCGATCTGTACTGTTTTGGCGTCGAATTATGAGCTAATTTTCACACTTAAAAGTAACTGAAACGTGTAACACAGGAGAACAAGACTTGTAATTGTCATTGTCATTTTGTAATTAGCGCAACTTCAAAAAACCCAAAGATACATACTACCCACATAGCTAAATGATTCCAGACAGTTCCATTAAAAATACACATACAGACATATGTCTATACAAGTACAAGGTTAAATCAGTATCACATGTATAAGATTGAGTAATCAGATGAAGATGACGCATTCATCTGTCTCATGGATGTATGAACTATGCATACAAACATGACTCCATCATTCACTCTACCTTGAATGGTCGTCACAGGTCATCACACTATCAATCGTATACGAGTAGAAAGAAAAAAACTGCTCACAATCCAGAAGTGTGTGATAGTAAGCAAACATTGAAAAATAATACACAATGTTTATTCTGTTCATATATACATATATATATATATATATATATATATATATATATATATATATATATATATACTACGCCAGGATCACATAAGTAAAGCACAGTGATGAAACTACTAATCAATGAAACTACTGTTTTCTTAAATTGGTAAGTTGTGGCTAGCAGAAGAATCCAGGACGCGCGTTTCGTCCTATTTGGGACTCGTCAGCTAGATGTACCAGTAGTAATAACTACTGTTTTCGTGTTATGCGTAATTATACATCTTCAGTTTCCACGGTAATGGTACTCAGATCAGTCTTCTCTGGTTCAGGCAAGTTGATGCCTTGGTTGTATATACTCGAGAATATTCAATTTCAATGAATATAGTTGAGAATGAGGTGGCAATTTTGACCATGGCAAGATTTAGATACTAGTAGTATACCGATTACTAACCCTGGACTGTATCATCTTCCTTGGTTCGAATTCTATCCTGATCAAGGTTTAAACATCATTTTCAATCATCACTTTGTGTAAATATCGATCTTGGGATTCACATTGAGACATTAAAAAAGTGTATTTCGCTCAGGCAGGAAGTTGTTAGATGCATATATTTTGATCTAACTAGCTTTTCTTAGTCGGCAGAAGTTCACATCTTTACTTATTTACCTTTTTAACATTATCTAATATCTGTGCACAACCTGTTGTTTCCAACCATTCTGCATCTTAATAGCAACGTAGTTTTGGTTATCATTTTTTTTTTCATTCTATTTAGTGTGTCCCTGTTCTATTACAAGCTATTGTTGTTGCTTTGGAAATACATGGATTGAATTTACCCGGATTGTATAGAAAACCTGGTAGACATCGTACTATTTCACAGTTTGTCTCCTTTGTCAATATGGTAAGACTGTTTTTTTAGAAAACTTTCATTTGTAGATAGATAGATCATTGACATTGTTGACATGTGTTTTCTTTTAGAAATTTTATCCATCTCTGTATAGTTTTCCACATTCCATGTAACGATATACTGTATATTAGTTTCTTTTCTGCATAATAGCATATAGCTAGAAGTGTAAGACATTAAACTGTACTTGACTCCCAGGTGTGTAAGAGGAGGACCCCTTTCTCTTTCATTCAAATCTAGCTACTTGTGTTTCAAGTCAGCCCATTTTACATTGTGTTATTTGCAGGATTCACACAATAAAAATGGTTGGAAGCGTATTGATTGAAGGCAAATATAGTCATGGACTTACTATAACCACGTTCTTCAGAGGTGAAATGTATACATGAATACTGATTGAATTCTGTCAACAGTATTAACTAAACTTACTTTTTACTGGTTCATTACGACCGAGTCTACAATTGATGGAGTCGACTATGAGCTGACTATACTACTGATATTATTGGCTGCTGAATTCTTGATAGACAGAACAAGATTCACAATTGGACTGAAGTTATTGATTGACAATTTTGTCATTGGAATTAAACGGTTAAGCTTATTCACGGATACACTTCTGGAAGTTACTACAGTGTTATCAATGACCTTCATAGAATTCTAGATGTGTAATCAAAGCTTGCGATATTTTCTTTTACCTGTTTCCAATATCGCTTCGTCGCGATGTCATCAGTCGTTTTGAGACTCCTGTTGACCTTTACGCTGTGATCTCAATCAGTGAAAAGCCGGAATTTTTCCTTAACGGTGTTTTTCTACGGCTTTACTGATAACTTCGAATTGGCGAAGCGAATAGATTAAAGGAGTGAAGTGGACTTCATCTATTCATGTTGGTCATCTTTCTCAGTAGATTAAATACAACGTTATTCGTACAGAACTTGAGTTTGAATGAACAGAGAAGGAATTTTCTGAAGTCTTCATTCACTGAATTCTAACATCTACTCCCATAGGTCTTATGTGAAGTGACCATGTGGCTGTGATTGACTACTTCTAATTTTTTGGTGATATTGACTTTCTTTTTGTACAATATGTATGTTTATAGTATTGATTTCGTGCTGTTTCATCTTCGTTAATCGCTCTCCTGTCTACTAATAAAGACCTACTTCTAGAAAATTGTAAGTTTTTCACTACAGACTTATCATTTATCCATTATTCAACTAAGCTGATTACTTTTCTTGGCAAAGATGTAGTACGTGTGTTGTAAGCATTCCATGGATCATTGAAGTCAATGCCTGTTGCTCTAGTGATCTGAATGATTGAACACTTTATGCATGACGCTTATAGGGACTTCCAATCACTTAATTATGAGCCCTGTTTGACCTATCAAGGTTTGGACAGACAGATGGTATCATACGTCTCCACACAATAAGTGTAACTCACTGCTCACTTCACAAAAGTGTACTTCAACTCGATTCGATCCACATCAAACAGCATTCATCTGTCAAGCTTTGAACGTGATGACTTAGTAAAGGAGCGAGAGTGTAGACTGATCGATTCCTCTCTTCTACTGCAGCATGTAGATGATCATAATCATACAGCATTTGACTTGTCAATTAACATTAATAGCTTTCAGTGAAGTTGATAAATTTGTATAATAAAGTTTTTTTTTCCATCGAAGCATCCTGAAGATGTGGATTTTATCTTTGGATTGGACGCTTGGCGAGAACCGAATGCGCTATGTGGTTTATTTAAACATTTCCTACGTCGATTACCGGTTGGATTATTTTGTTTATGTAAGTGCTCATATTTTTTAAGAACAAATGAAAAGGCTTTCCATTGTTAATTTATTTTGTATCATCGATTTAATCTTTCTTTACGTTTTCCTTCCAATACGTTTATTCTCGAAAAACTGAAATCATCTTCGTTAGTTAAACAAGCAGCCCCCAAAGTCTTCCGAAGTATTGATCTAACTACTTCTTGTCTGTGAACTTTTGACATCTTCGTGTAGTAGTTTCGAATTATTAGCGGTTAACTTAGTTTGTTGATCTGTCAGGTTACCATTAATCCGTGAAATAGGCTTCAGAATCACGTTGACCCAGAAACACTTAAAAAGATTATCGTTACATTCCTAAAGATCGTATGAATTCTTTCTTGAAGATTATTTTCATCACAAATTAATGCTGTTATCTTTATTCGTTTCTGACAGGATTTCAGCTTACAATTCGAGGGAGATGTTGCAGGTGACATTCTATCACAACGCCTAGCTAGATCATTCAACATGACGTTTTATACAGTTTGGCTTTGTTTATCATTCAGTTGTCGACCAGTACTCAATCCGAGACCTAATCTTAGCTCCTTCATCTTTTATTTATCAGTTTAACTGTTCCTGTGCCACAAGTTACATAGGGCGTACGATTAGGCAGGTGAGACCCCGGATAGGAGAGCGTGTACCGGCTTGGCTCGGAAAGAGTGAAGTAAAAGTGTTGGAAAGTTCAGTTCTAGCGCACTTAGTCGACACAGGGCAACGCATAGATGCTAATAAAGCTTTCAATGTCATTAATCGTGTTCCGAAAATGATACCACATGTAGCTTGCCAACGCTTACTCAACATAATTGACGCTGTCGGAAAACGACTAATGAAACCTGAACTCTGCATTCAGAAAGACAATGTCCAAGCGTTATTTTGGGTACCCGTCACACAGTGAAGATTAATGCACATATGTTCATTGAGTAATCGACTTTTCAACTGATTTTCCTATAAATCTATATTAGATAGATTCTACTTTATATAAAGGTCTCTTCTACCTACATCGGACACTGCGGGGTAATCGCTACGTAGCTATCTAATCCTAAGTGTTCAATACCAAGGAAAGTCTTTTGTTCAAGTTACCAATGCAGTGTCAAAACTAAGTGATTTGACGCTGTCATCAAACGCTCTTTGTAGTGTTGGATGTTTGAATTCAATGTATGGCAGGTTTAGGGATGAATGTTTTGTGTTTATTAACCCTTGTAAGTAGAACACATAGACAGTCTTAAAGAGGTCAATTTTTTTTTAGAGGTTCAAATCTTCATCATTTAGCCACGAAGTTAAAGACGTTACTTTTAAGACATAAAGATCACGACTGACTCCTTGTAGTATGGTTGAATTAGTCATTAGGTGATAACTAGTGTTCTTAAGGCAGATTTCATTATCCGTATCTCCTTTTATTTCGCAGTATCACAGAATGCGAAATAATCTACCATGTCCTGGACTAAGTTGACGATATTCTCCTGCTAGTTGAACACACACAAAATGCACGATCTTCTAAATGCGTTGAGCGTTGAGTGTTTTCAGTATCATATCTAGGTTTGATAGTAGTCTGAAGGAAGCAGTTGTCCAGTATTCTTTGGCTCATTACAGTCATCCAAATGATAACGGGACAACTTGTCATGAGTACTATGTAAAGTATTCTTAGATTTCAATTTGGAGGTTTTTCGTGGATTTATTTGTTGCTTCCATGTTGTTATTCATCATGAACTGGCATTAGTTGGAGAAACATAAGAAACCTGGGAGCACTGAACAGCTTTTTCGTCCTAGTACGGGACTCTTCAGCAGTGCGCACCTATGACCCTACCTCGCCATCAAGCCACTGAGTCAATATCCTATGCTTCACATTTCCTTTTTCTATCAGTTCATGATGTAAGGAGGGTGATGGCAACCAACTTAATCAACGACAGCATTGGATGGAAGTTGGGCTGTAAAGCATTCTTAGATTTGTTAGTGAAGTGAAGAACCATATCTTTTGGAAAGAACATAATTGATGACAAAATGCGGGTTTTATGTATATATCATAGTGTTTTATTCTAATAAGATAATAACAGCAGAAACTGCTGGCTGATATACATCGTTAAATCTGTGCTCTATCTTCTATGCATTTATACTGACCTAGTTACGTGTCAACTCATGATTGAATACAGCAACATATATAGCCATTTATTTCTTTAATTGTGTGTGTGTGTGTATAGTGTTGGAATAACCATATATTCACTAAATTAACCGGATTAATGCATGCACACATGTAAATTAATGTGAGAATGATGATTGATAGAAAATTTATAAGATTATTACTACCGTTATTTCTGTTCAAAATAATAAGCACTTTTGTTCATCTACAGATAAACTTTGTTTATTGTAGAGTTGTAAGATATATAGTTAAGTGTTATTCAATTGTTTTCGACTAGTCAAATCAGTCGCTTTGTGAGAAATTATATTTGTTTAACAGGAAACGTCAGTTCGAGGACAGCAAACTTGAGAAAAACTGACAGGTTTCAGACTTCAACTAGGGTACATTGATCATATTTTGACCTTCTGACAGATTCTGGAAGACAGGCATACCTACCAGCGGCTGACACTTGGCATATTTGTTGACCGGAAAGCTGCATTTGACTCTGTCAACCGTGAGGTATTGTGGTAGTATCTGACCGTAACGGGCGGTACCGAACAAGTATATAACGTTTATCAAAGCTCTCTACTAGAACTCACGAAGCCGTGTAAAGGGTTACGGAGAGTTCTCAAGTGGGTTGACAATAACCAGTGGTATCCAGAAGGGATATCTACTGTAACAGTTGCTATTTAACTTCTTTATAGTCGTACTAATGGACATAACCACTGTTATTTTTGAATTCAGGGAGACTGACCTACTCGCTGGAGGTCATCTGGTTGAGTTGGTACATGCAGACTATATTGTCCTGCTAGGTGATGATACTGACCAAACGCCATGGTCTTGTAAACGCGTTGAGCAGCAGTCTGATTATGTTTGACATAGATGGTGGAATTTGTCGACCCTTTCACTTATTTTTGGAGTTGCATCACCCCAAATGAACTGGTTGGTGACGAAATCTCAGCCCACATTGCCTGTGGTGCTAACTAGTGAGATACCCTACTATCTATCAAAGTACACGAGTATGATGCGCTGCTGTCCATTCTATTCTGTTGTACGGCTATGAGACATGGTCATTGAAAGTAGACGTGAACCGGTTACAGATATTTGCTCACACGTATCTTCGTAGCGTTGCTCGCGTTTGGTGGAATCATCGTGTGAGGAATGCTGAGGTTAGGTAAACGATAATGAGCAAGACAGGCAGGTCGATTGATGAGGTTTTGAACCTTCATCGACTGAGGCAGCTTCGACATTTATTGCTCATGCTGAGTCTCTGCCAACGTAGACATTCCATGTAAGTAGAAGTTGGATCACGTTCAGGGTAACTAGAAAAAGTGCTGGCACTAGTCAATGAAGTCCCTAACTTGAGGTGTGATCAGTGTGGGGAGATGTGGACTGTCTGGTTGGCTGGGTTCCCCAATACGATAGGAATCAGTGATTGAGGACTTTTCGTGAAATCGCTGATAAACCACTGATTATAAGCTGGATAAACTTCTTATTCTTAGTAAGTTGCTTGACATATTGTGGATTCAGTAATTGCCTCTACGTCAAATAACACTTAAAGGTAGCAAGTTGTCACCACCTCTCATATCTTTACTGTGTATATTTGCAATTCATTTGATTTCCTTCGAGTCATGTTATAAAACCTGTCAGTATGTATAGATTTTCTTGCAAGTTTTGCTTTCTTGAAGATGATTTCGATGTGTAGTGATGACTTATGTAGAAGAGATGCCATTGAAAATGTCATCTGCAACTTACTGTACAAGACATGATTACTACATATTGTAGTTATGCATTTGGTATGGTTTACTGGACAGTTAAGTAACTATTTTCTTTCTTTATAGCCTCTTGGGAACCACTTTTCTGTCTGGTTCCAGAGATGACAACCTCTTCTGATGTTCGACAGTTGGCCTATTTACTTCTCTGTATACGTGTTCAGTTGAAGAAGATTGCACTGGAAGTAAGTTTTTGTGAAATATATATATATATATATATATATATATATATATCCCTTTATATAATATGATAACTATTCAATCCGATTATTCCCCTTCTGTTAAAATTGGGTGGAATCAAATTTTACTTGTGAAATCTTTTGCAAAATCCCTTAAACTTCTGATATTTCGTATATAAATATGTTAGTGGGAAGTGTCATTGAAGCTGCTATTCTTTTGAATAAGAACTTTCACTAACTTTCTAGTGGTCACTCTGATGAAAATATCTCATCAAATCGCTCCTTTTTACAACAGATGTTGACTACTACTTGGTTGGAATCCCCGAGATGATTGGAATCAGTATTTGAGAACTCTTGATGAAAATCGGCCACAAAGCTTGAATATTCACACCAACCCTTTCGATTGTTTATTCTCTCACACATTTGTTTACTTTGATATCATTCCCTTCTATCCACGTGTTTTTCGTATACTTCTATGAAGTGTGGCAACTTGAGCCGATGAACCTGTGTGCAACGTTCTACTTTGATTTTGTCAGTCAGTCAGTCAGCTTATTTCTACTTGCTTTAACCATTCAAATGTCAACTAATCGTATAACATACTCCCGCTCACTTTTAAAATGTCTTTAACCTATTGTTAGATGGGTTGACGACAAAACTGCGAGAAAATGTCACACTAGACGACAGTTAACCCATGAACGCATAGCATTTCATCATGTAGCATTAAGGCATTAAATACACCAATACAAGCTATAGTACTTTTTTATCTAAAGTGTAAGGTAATGAGGTCAGATTGATGACAAGGATTATGCATTGATAATGTCCCCACTGTCGAATGAATGTAAACATGTCTGCCATTTCTGTTTTCAACCATCTTGTGCACATCCGTACAGTCACACCTTCAGTGTGAAAGCTAGTGATACTACCTAGCTACCCAAACCTCTGTAGGTGAGATGGTGCTGGAACCCTTGACTCACTGATTGATAGTCATAACTCGACATTTAAAGAATATCGATTGTACAATGGAATCAAACTTAGAGCATTGAGATTTCCGTAATCTTGTTGGACATGTAAATCATATGTATTATAGGTTATTCGTAACTGCGTTTCAGTCGTAAACCAATCCATTCACTTACATTTCTTATCGTCCGTTAGTCGAATGTTTTTTTCCTATCTCTTACCGTCATTTCTCAGCAACTACTTACATCCTTTCGTACAGCGTCGTTCAGGCTTCCAATCTTGATACCGATTATCGTGTCGATCAAATCGAATTGTTGAGCTGAGTATGTCTGTGATTAGATTTCTCTTCATAGACTGTGTATTTTGCAAACAGATGATTTCAGTATGTGTATGACCAGTTCTTATATGTATCTAGTGGTTAGGACAGTTCGGCTCTTCAAACTGAATCAGTCTGAACACCGCTGATGAGCTCGATCACTTAACTGGCGAAAAGGCTTTTCGGTGCTCAGATCACGTTAAGCTGACTGGTGAGCAGTGTTGATCCATGCTGGTATGGTCTGTAACCACTTACACAATCTTCATGTATCCTTTCGATACAATTCAGTAAACAGCCAACAACACTGTTGTTACTTGGCTTACTGTCTGGTTACTAAGTTGTGTGACTTTTAATGACTTTACATGTTGTTTCTTTAACGTTTGTTTCAAATAGGGGCATATTCACTTTTATTATTATTATTATTATTATATTTATTATTTGTCCCTTGGGTTCCTAATGGAACATAGGGATTCAGTAGCACGTCTCCAATGCGCTGTGTTCTCTGAAATCTTTTGAACCTGGCTCCACGACAGCCCACAAGCTCTCATTTCCTCCTCTCACGATCTCCTCCATGTCACCTTCAACTAGGACTCCCAACTCATTGCTTCCCATCTGGGTTCCACTCGAGCAACTGGCCTGTCGTGTGATGTCCCCGAATGGTCTTCTCAGTGTATGCCCAATCCATCTCCACTTCCTTCCAGTGCATATTTGTTGAGCGATATGTTATTGTTTGTTCGTTGCTGGGCCAGAGTTCCTTGTTGCTTATTCTTTCTGACCATCTGATCTTCAGTAGCGAGCATAAGCAGTTGTTGATGAATGTGTGTAGTTTGTTGGAAATGCTTTTCATAACGCTCCAAGTCTCTGAACCATAAGCACTGACTTGATTGAATTGGTGTTGGAAATCGGGATCTTGTTCCACATGGTGAGTGCAGAAGATCTCCACACTGGTTTCAGGCTAATGAACGCCTGTCTTGCTTTTCCGATTCTGACTTTGACATCCTCGTCTGTACCGCCTGTAGTTGATACAGTGCTGCCTAGATAGGTGAAGGAGGCTACTTCCTTTAAGTTTCTCCCATTGATGGTTATTGGGGTTTGTTGTTGTTGTTGTTGGTAGGACATCTTCATCACCTCTGTCTTCTCTATATTCACTTGAAGTCGCATCTTCGCTGCCCTGCCTCCTGTGTCAACTTGTTATTTTTCGCCTGTACATCTTCAATTTTGTGTGACGCTAGACATAAGTCATCGGCGAAATCCAAATGTCCTAGGATCTTTTCCCCGATCCATCCAGCGTATCACCCTCTTCTCCTTCCCCACTGTTTGCTGCATAATCCAGTCGACCACAATCAGGAATATCATGAGGGATAGTAGGCGGCAGCCTTGTTTCACTCCTGTCTTCACTTCACTTCATAAGCATCACTGAGCTTCCCATTGTGAATTACTTGGCAAGTGGTGTCTTCATATAGTTGTTGAATGAGGCTGATAAAGGTTTGCGGTATTCCGTAGTATTGAAGCAGTTTCCAAATCACCTCTCGGTTGACGCTGTCGAAGGCCTTTTCAAAATCGATAAAGTTGAGGTGTAGAGTTGACTGTCATTCTGTACTGTGTTCTATGATGATGCGAAGCGTCGCAATTTGGTCTGCACATGATGTGTACTTCCTGAAGCCTGCCTGTTCCGGTCGTAGTTTTGAATCTAGCGCATCTTTTAGCCTCTCCAGGATGATGCGGCCTAATATTTTGCTTGCTTTGGGTGGAGAGGCGTGGAGAATGGTTCCGCACCAGTTCTTGCAAACACTGAGGTCTCCCTTCTTCGGCAGTTTGACGAGGTAACCCTTCTTCCAATCAATGGCCAGGTACCTTCTCTTCCTTCCACACCTTCTGCAGTAGTGGTGTGAGCATGTCCGCTGTTGTCTCTGCGTCCGTTCTCAGTGCTTCTGGCGGGATCCCATCTGGTCCTGCTGCTTTCCCACATTTCAATAGCTTTATGGCGTTCAGGACTTCCACTTTTGTTGGAGGATTTATGTTCACTTGTAGTTCAGCGGCTGCAGGTGGTATTTCTGGACGAAGTGCAGGTGGTGGTTGATTCAAGAGCTTCTTGAAGTGGTCGGCCCATTGTTTCCTTTGTTTCTCTTCTTTCGTAATTAAATTTCCGTCATCATATTTTGTTGGTTTCATCTGTGTTGATCCCTACCATCCCAGTTAGTAACCTAGTTATTTGATACAATGTTGTCAGGTCTCTCCTACCTGCAGCCTGTTCTGCTTCACTTGCCAGTGTGTCGTGGAAGTGTCCTTTGTCTTTGCGTGCACTCTTCTTCATTTCTTTGTCCTGTGTTTTATAGATTGTACTCAGTTCCTCCTGTCGTTGAGCATCCTTGCACTGGTTTATCTTCTGCTTCACCATCCTCCTCTCCTCTATCAGCTTCCAGGTATCCGTCGAGATCCATTCCTTATCTTCTTTCTTCTTCCTTCCTAATACGGTTGTGCAGGTTTCTTTCCACATAGCTTTCAAAGACTTCCAGTGTTCTTCCACACAGGTTTCTTCAGGAATGTTCCTCGATATCTCCCATTTTGTCTTGATGGCTGCCTTGAAGATCTCCTTTGTAGTTTCATCCTTCAGTTTCCGAGTGTTGTACTTGAGTTGAGGTCTATCACCAGCTTCCTTGAAGGCTTTTAACTTGATTTGGAAGGTTCCTTGCACTAGATAGTGTGTTGTCTGAACCTACATCTGCTCCTCTTCTTGACCTTGTGTTAAGTAGACTGCGTCTCCATTTTCTCGAGATTGAGATAAAGTCGATTTGATTTTTAGTGTGTCCATCTGGTGAAATCCAAACCATGTCGCTTTGTGGATATTCTTGTGCTTGAACACACTGCCTCAAATCACCAAATCATTGAATGCACAGAATTCTGCAAACAATTCTCCATTCTCGTTCATCACCTCACCTAGCGCTTCTCGACGCATGGTTAGTTCTCTTTGTGTGTTGTCTGCTCCCAGTTTGGCATTCATCTCGCCCATTAGAATTTTGATGTCACCAACTGGACTGGGGTCTTGTTCATTGTTGATTGTAGTTGTCTGTGGAATTCCTCCTTTTTCTCTTGCTCTGCATTATTTGTAGGTGCGTAGTGTAGCATTGTATGATTGTGACCTTCCTTCCTTTTGAGTTGAATCTTGCTGTTATGATCCTGCAGGAGGAGATTGGTTCCCACTGCATGAGAGCCTTCGATGCTCTTGAGGACATCATGATAGTCACTCCAAAACTCAATGTGCTCGTGGTTGTCGTCTGAGTGACAATATTGGAGTAGATTATTGACTTTCCAGTTGACAGTTTGGAGAGTCCACTTCCATTCCATCTACTGTCGCAGATTCCTAGCAATTCTATGCTGTAACTTCTCTTCTCTTTTGCAATCTGGGCAGCCTTGCTAGGTTCATACATTGTTCGGACATTCCATTTCCACATGTTTACTTATGCTTTCATCGAGGGAGAGGAGACACATCGGCCAATTGTCTTCCTGAAGGCTTTCACCAACTGGCGTCATTTCGGCTCTCCGATTCCAGAGAGGAAATAGTTTCATTTTACATTTTGTATTTACCTTGTGCTTTGAAGTTTTTTTTAGCGGTTGGATTGGTTCTGTGGGGTAGGGTTGATAGCCCTATGCCCATTTTTCTCTGTTTATCCGCGCTTAGAACCTAGTAGTAACTAGTGAACTAGTTACCCAGGTAAGGTTAAATGTTGTTTAATGCATGTAATTTTTCGTGGCTAAACTGCGTCGAATTGCTTGACCTCTATTTGGAGATGAGCTGTTATGCAGATGCCCCAATACTTCCGGATATTCATGATGTATTCATCTTGATGACTAGCAGGAGGCTCGTTTCGTTCTATTTGAGACTCCCCAGTTGGATGAATGTTGTTCCTACTGTGACCCATCGCTTCAAACGTCAAAGCGTTATCTACTAGACCATTTAGTGGAAACAACTCACTGGGATGCAGGTACATCCAGCTGATGAATCCCAGGCAGGACGAGATATGGGTTCTAGATTCCACTGACAGTCACCAAGATGAATTCTTTACATGCTTTTTTCTTTTTTAAGCCATTTTGCATTTGTACATACCAGTTGCATATCACTTCTATTTTCGTATTTTTATTTTCTAGGCTTTTGGTCTTCCAACAATGAATACAATGCCTGTGGATGTACAATATTGTCTTTCAGTTCCAACAGACGGTTGTGTTAATCTACGCGGACTGAATTCAACAAGTGGTGGGGACACGTCTAAACTATCGATATCCCACCAATATCCCCTCAAACTCTTTTCCATTGCAAACAACCAATTTCCTATAATGTCGCTATCCAATCAAAAGATGATTCTTTTTTAAATATGAAAAAGAATAAGGATTTTAATACCTCTAAGAGATCATTTTGTGCTTGGCGTTGGGCTACATTATGCTATCTAGTGGATCATATAACACGGGTTGTAGCACATGTACACCGTAATGCAGTGACTTATCAATGCATTGCTATTTGCTTTGGTCCTGTGTTCTTTGGTAATTCATCAAAACTACCGAAATTAAATGAGGCATGTGTACTGTTACTATTTTTTCCGTATATTTTTATTATTGACGTCATCACTCGTCTATTTTTTCAGCAATATAATTTCAACGAGGAATTTATTGATGTAATACTTGTTGTACGTTTCTGTACCAGGTCTTGAATCGTTTTTATTACTTGCCCAGTTTAAAGTAAGTGAAGTGAGTTTTGAACCCTGGATATTATTGTCTGACAGTTGAATGCTTAATCTCATAAGCATTCAGTGCATGATATCACTGACACTTATTGTGTGAGAGCTAATGATTGATACTAACCGGCTGTCCTAATCTAGACAGGTGGTATGGGGTTGTCACCTGTGGCAGTCGGTTGAAAGCGGAGTACCTAGATCAGTGAGTTGGAGTTCCACGCTCATATGTGTAACAAGTGTATATAGATGGCTAGCAGACTGTTATTGAAGGTTTTCGATTATCACTGGTGAGCAGAAGATGACCAAACATTCGTGTTGAGTAGCAACCTGAAATCGAAAAATGGAACTCGAGACGAAGGTTATTCAAATCTCATCCGGTTCAACAGATACATAAAATTGTAGCTGGTAAAAATATCAGATGTATGTTACATCCTGTTTTGAGGGTGCATATGGGTTATCTAAACACTGGAAATTCAAAAGGATCGTTATTTATTAGGGTTAGATATTTCAGATTTATTGTTTGACGATACACGGCTATGAGCCTATACTAGTCCTTTTCCAGTAGATATCTATGCTTGTCAAGTCCTCTTTTGAACGAGTCAATTGATAACTTGGACACCACTTTTTCTAGGAGTCGGTTCTAGAAGTTGATTACTCAATGCGAGGACCAGTATTACTGTACGGAGACTAATTTCGTCGTTTGCTTTTTCTCCTATGTCTGACGTATCCTGACATAGCAAGAAGGAAAGATGAAGATAAATTGGGTGCAAAGTCATTTCTTAGAATCCTATATAGCATGATTGGATCTCCCGTTGTTTGTGATTAGATAAAGAGAGGAGAGTCAAGGCAGCCATCGCAGGAGGATCATAAGAGTGACTACCCTCTGAACTCTCCCCAGAAAGACTTAGTCGCCTTCCAGACAAGGATTTGCTACCTGTGTACAGTTCTCCAGTTTAGACCTACCTCAGGATGTATGTAAGATGGTACACATATCACTACTTATTTTTTTAAACGTTATGTGTAATATCCAGTGTTTTACAACTCTGAGCTGCTATCAATCAACAGTGTCCCTTAGTTTTCAAATCATGACTCATTGTGACTTGTAGGTTATTTAGGGTCAGTACTGAGCGTAAAGCAGTCCTATCAATATTGTAGGTGTTGCCATATGTGTACCCCAAGTACATGCTGATGCATTCACCTGCGTTGATGGGCACTAACCAGGTAAACAACCTGTTTAAGTTTGTCCGAAGTTCACGTACATCCTCGTCATTTCTAATTTCTTGCTAGATTTTTACATCATCAGCGTAGAGAATGGTAGGGGATTTCGTGATATTTGGTAGCTCATCTATTTATAAGAGGAATCGCAGAGGATTCAGAACCGTGCGTTATGACATTTGTTGATAGTTCATTACGCCTGAAATAATGTGACCTGACTCACATACTTCCAGTTATCTTGCTAGGAGAAACGGGTGAAGAGGTTTCTGAAAATCACTTCATGAATAACTTCAGTTTTATTTGTTTATTAATACTATAACTTGTTGTCTGGTACGCTGCGCATAAACACTGTCAGACTTTATAGGATAAAGTTGATTATATTTTGTACAAGTGAGAGATATCGTAACCAAGTTGATTTCTGCGTCAATAATTGATTTGATGAAGTAAAAAAAAGTATGCTAATCTATTGTTTATCTAATAACTGGCTTTCTTTAAACAAAAACGTTTAACTTTATACATTCGCTTTAATTTATCAGTACGTGGAGTGTTCATTTTTAATAATTCTGTTTTACACTAACTGTGCACTCATAGTTGAACAAATCGATTAGGAAAGAATGTATTGCGAATGACTGTAGAAATTGGCATTACATTAAAATAATTATATGCTTATTCAGTTAGCACCAGCTTCCAAGATCATGTATGTGTATACGCTTATTATGCAATGAATACTATAGGTGTCAATTACCTAACAATCGTCACTGTGAATTGTGATATGTCTAGATAATCATTGATATTCACCTAAAGTCATTAAGTGAGAGGACATTGCTGCTTAACGGTCTAAGTTACTAAAACTCATAGAAGCATATTAAGAAACGAGGTTATAGGATGACAGATGAAGAAATAACAAAATATGTAGTTAAACCAGAAATTTTGGAAAGCTATAAGAAGGAAGGAGTGGATAAAACAAAAGTGAAATGCCATGTGACGATTAAGATGAAGATAATATTTGGATACATATACGCCACATAGATCTATTCTCGAAATGTGTTGTAGCACCGACCCGAACCGTAATGTCTACATGTCCGTGTACAACAGGACTACTAACCGAAGATTTAATGAACTGATACTACCTCATAATTTAACCACTTTGAACCATCTTGTAACCTTATCTGTGGAAGCCGGCATTTCGCAACAGGGCAGACGGTGATTACACATGCGTACCCCGATTGTTAGCTACTACCTTGACTTGATGGTCGGGTTTGCATATCATAATGACCCAATGAGCTATGCTAGTAGAACGCTTGTTCTCTCAAGGTAATGTTGAAAGTAAGATGAAAAGCAGCTACCGTTGTAGCTTAAATTGCTACACCATGATGAGGGTGTGAGGGCGAAGTCGTACTGTTGACAGGATCCGGTTTGACGGCAGCATAGAATTTACTTTAGGTGTCTAGCAGTGACACTCTGATGCTATGCCTTCTTTATGGGAAGGAAGGCGGTTAGAAAAGGTCGACCCTAAAAACAGCACACTCCCACTACTCTTACTTCATCTTCAATTTGCTCTACCTCTGCAGCTTTTGACAGCGATCTGAGTTCACTGAATAGGATCCGTGGTCTCTTGAAACTAAGCTACAAAATACATATTGGAGCTTTCTATCTCCCTACCTTCTCTCAAGTTAAGTGACAAACTTCAAGTGCGGTTTTTTATTTGACCTCTCCTGGCTAACGTGTTGAATGCGCAGAATTTATCTTTCGAGTTTTTGGGGGATTCAGTTGCTGGTTCTCGATGTCTTGCAGAGGTAGGGAAAACAGTAAGTACTAAGGCGGTAAGAACATTACTGTACTGAATCCAAGTTGACAGTCGTCTGTGCACTATTCTACTGAACAGCGCAGTCAGGAACAAAGTGAATATTGAAAGTCGTCATTGTCCTTTTCTAATCTCTGCTTACTCACGCACCCACTGATAGCAGTTCGCATGAAGGATGAGGTCTACCGATAGCAGTCTAGCCTCCTACTGAAAGCCGAACATTCAGACGTGATAGTTGTTGTAGGTGATTATGATGCACAAGTGTGTGGGTCAAGTCACAGAGAAAGACATATTGATGAGTTGCTCTTTCGTGATCCCACCCGAAGAAACAGATAACGACAATCGGCTGGTACAAGTTTACACTTAGACAACTATTGATTTCTAGCACGAACTTCAGACGTAATGAGACAGACATTGTCTAACAGAGTGTCTACCTATCTCAGCCTAGCGGTGGACACAGGTAGACCACACTGTCAACAATGCCAGAGAAGGTCGGTAGAAGACTCCCGGTCCTTCTAGAGCAAACGACTTTACACGGTATCGAGCCCGCATATGTGCGCCTAAATGAATGTAGCAAAACTACAGCAGCTGGACGATTGCCAGTGCGGCTGGATTATGAGAATTCTGAGGCTACTATCAAGGAGAAATTGGCTATAGAATCACTCGTTACGAAGAATCTTGGTCGCATTTTCAGTCTGCTGTATTGAAAGCGTTGAAGACCGTAGCCGGCTCTCAGTGAGTGGTCAAAAAGAACCACTAGATCTCAGCAGCTTCTTCCAATTTGATGGATGTACACTAACACATCCCTGGTGGCCCCGACTACAACGAGTTGAAAATGTAACTCAGATGCAGACTGACAAAAAGTCTACACGATGATCGAGAACAGTGGTGGCCAACGAAGGCTTAAGAGATGGAAGAGATGACGGTAATAGATAAAGAAATTGGAGCGAAAAGAGCAACTATTAGCGAGACTACAGCTGAGAAGCACAGACATGTATTTCACTCCCAGAGAACTGGAACAGTTCAACTGACGCTCAGCTACCACTCCGTTGGTCGCTATCCAGTCGGGTCCTGAATGTGAAATCAATATAGAACCCCCAACGCTTACAGAGGTGGAGAAACCGGTAGGTAACGTGAAACGAGGAAGAGCAGCAGAGCCAGACGGACTACTACCAGAGAAGGTGATCACGGGTTATTGGCCTAATTAATTCAAGTGTTAACTAGTGCATTAGAGTCAGACATGATCTCCTTTGACTCGTTTCAATCATTGATTGTTCAAGTCCTCAAGAAAGCTCAGAAGTCCTCTAGTGTTGATCACAGTACCTTGTCTAACAATAGGAAGTGAAACTTTTGAGCGCTTTAACCGCTTCACTTACCTGGGAAGTCGAATCAGCCCTAGTATGTCGGTCCCTGGCCGATAAAATCTGTGTATGAGTACAAAAGCTTCGACTGACTTCTGCTAACGTACGCCATTTATAGTGCGGGTGAGATATTCGATTGTCTATTCAGAGTTGAGTGTACTATGCTGCATTTTACTTTTTTACTGCACGAGTGTGAAAGATAGTCATTCAAGGTAGAGGAAATGAAAAGGCTTCTTGTGTCTCACCACCGTTGCCTTGGTGGCATAGGTCCTGTGTTGTAATTTCGCCATGTGAGTAACGCAGAATTCAGATGTAAGGTTGAAAGAGGAGAGGAAGGTCAGTTGATGCGATTGTGAACCTTCATCGACTGAGATGAGTGGCACATGTGATACGCATGTTTCATCACCGTCTACCCTGTCCCACAATGTTAACCGAAGTAGGTTCAGGCTTGATAAACACTCAGGTCGCCCAGACTAAAACATGACATCACTGCACGAAGTCTTTGACCGTTGGTTTGAGCCATATGGGGAGATGCAGACTAGCCGATTAGGGTTCACTTGGCTACAGAAACCAGTGGTTGGAGGTTTCAGGTCGCATAGCTCAGATGTATTTATGCATCATCTTGAGCCTAATCTTCATTCTGAATTCAGTATGTCCTCCTTCCTCGCTTTTATTGCTTTTGCCCTATTCTTCTTTCTATCCTCATGTGTCATCTCATTACTTTTGTTTGCTGATGTTCTGGTATGAGGTGTGTCAATGCTGTAATGCACGGTCCTATGTTGATATTGATGACGATGATGACACTCTCTTAGTCACATGTCTTGGCCACCTGAATCAGCGAAGATTACTAACTTTATTAACGGATTAATCATTAAAACTAAAGTTGGCCAGCCTTTTTCGTGTTTCAGCGTTGTTTAGTGTTGTAAGCAGTGCAAAATGCTTTTTTGGTGTTTGTCTATTAAGTAGTAGTAGTAGTAGTATGATATATTTTGTTTTTGGCTTTTAGGAAAATAATGGAATGAGTGGTCGGAATTTCTTACTGAAATCACCGTTACCCATATCCGAATGTAAATCTGTTTAACCTCGTCTACGCTAATAGCGCTTTTGGAGTGCAATCTGAGCTTACAGCTTTTCGATTAAGTCATTGGCTACATTTCTTACCTTGAAATGATGCGATCAGTATTAATACCGAAAACGTCAGTGAATTAGATATTCTTTTCAAATAGTTCATCATTCGATTACAACCACCTGCCTATTGTTCTCGAAAGTTTATGGAGACATGTACCTGATAGGTCTAGGCTATCGACTTTCAATCAGTAGTAGGTCATAGGTTGGAAGCATGCTTCCCTTAGCGATATCCGGGCGAGGCAAGTAGATATGGTACAGATGTATCCGCTATTCGACGTCTTCTGGAGCTTGAGTATTCACACTAACCTTTATCTTCAAATTGTTTATTCTCTCAGACAACTTTGACATATCACTCTTTTTCTGCCCATGTATTCTTTATATACTACTGTAAAGTGTGGCGACTTGACATGATGCACTTGTTTGTGAAGTTCTATATTGATTCTGTTTGGTCTGTCGTTACCATATTGCTGGAGCATGCACATGGTTGCTTAGTAGCATTATGCTTCATCCATCAAACCTTAAAAATACTCCGTAAGAGTTAGTTACCAAGTTTCTTCAGTGTCTCAGTTATGACCTTTGGAGTAGTTTCATGTTATGAGAAGTATGATTATCGTTAATTTAATTTTACGTCTTGGTGTTTGTCTTACAATTGCTTCATAGTATTACTGTTTATATATTCGTCTGATGATTCATATGAGTTCATGTATATGTTTGTCTGTCTGTCTTTCTGTCAAATTCAGGTCCTTGAATGTCTATTTCAACATTGGGACTGGCTTATAGAAGGTTTACCAATGATTACAAAGAACAATGTAGAACATGTCGATAATGGTACACTTTTGTATACAATGAACGATGATGAACCAACTTTGTCTGATGCTATTACCTATTTAACAAATCAGTTTAATTCATATAACAAGTCTTCATCTTCTGGCTCAGAAAGTATTGGTCAGCGGCAGGAATTACTGAATACAAATTCATCTTATCAGTTAACAAGCAAACCTACTAATCGTATGCTTGTTCAACAGTCCTCTCTATCGGAACAAGAGCAGATGAATTGTGATCTTGACTCAAATGTAGAGAGATTCGATAATGAGGATGAATTGATTAATGGTGAGGATATATTAATTATGGAGACAGTGATGTGACCATGGTCATAATTTTGATTTGGTTTTCTGATTCGCTCATCTGTCATGTGGTTCTTCTAACTTCAGCGATCATTATTTTTTTCTTGATATACCTCCACATCGTTAAGAAGTTATCAATTTGTTATCCTACACTGTTTACTTGATAAGTTTGAAAACAAGTGATCAACATAACTTCAGGGTGACTTTAAAGGCTGAAATAACCGATCACCTTCATCGATTCTATGAAAAACACCTGAAACTGATTTATGTGGTCGCAGAGCTCGTCGGACATCTTCTTGAGGCCTGTCACGCAGCCTTTTATGCATGGTCATTTTGAACTTTCGTTGTTTTGGGGCTGGATGGTCGAAAAGAAATGACAAATGAACTAACACCGCCGGCCTGGCAGACCATGGGGTATGGTGGAGTGTATTATTTTTGGGGCCGACCTTTTCTAACCCCCACCTTCCACTGAGAATGCAGCATCAGCATGGCACTGTTGGTCATCTAAGGGAAACACCTTACTGCTGTCACACCCCATCCAGCTAGCAGCAGTAGGACTTCGCCCTCAGACCCCCATCATATTGCAGTAATTTGCACCACAACGGTAACTGTTTTTCGTCTAACTACTATCCAACAGCCCTTTTTGGTGTGGTAGGACCTCGATGGAACAAGTGTTCAACGAGCATTGCTCGTTGGGTCATTGTGATAGGGATGCCCGGTCACCGCGTCAAGTAGCAGCTATCGATCGGGTATTCGCTTAGTTAGCACGACGAGACATATTCCAAGCTAATCAGGCTCCTTGACGCACAGTATTTTCTTCATTGAAGGTGGACTTAAGATTCCTTGAAAGTGGATTTAGACATACATGGGCACTCAACTATCATAATGGTTAGTGAATAGTTTATATTGTAACGTCTACTTATGAGCCAAGTGATGATGTATTTCAAATTACTGAGAGTATTCATCGACTACTGTCACCAGTTTACGAATTTTGATCGGATGTCGATTAGATTCTGGTTTATTAGCTTTTGACATTCATAGAGTTGCTATAATTAATCATTGTTTTTCGTTTGTACGCGGAGACTAGAAGTGTAAAATGTAATTCAGATAAGTCATCTTTGCTTATCGTAAAATCCACGGTGTGTAGCTTATTGTATTCCTCTTTTCACCATCATACATCTTGTGTTCTTCTTTTTTTTTCTTTCACCCCATTAGAAGTTGTCAAACAAGTTAAAGCCTTATGGTCAGCAGCGTTGGATAAGGTGAAACAAGCCAACCGACTGCCTGTTTCCAAAGAGAAATCTTACATGTAAGTCAACAGACACTTTGGAAATGCTTACTTAAGAGTATGTCGTTTATAGTTCACCTTTTCATTAAGTAGATTTCTTGACCACCGAAGACAACAACGAAGAAGCTGGTAAACTGAGTGATCTCATGGTCATCTAGTTAATTTTATGGTGTCTTTTCCATCTTGTTTGATTGAAAACCAGCCTTGAAATTCCCTATATTTTCCTTAATAGCTACTGTTATATGAGTGTAGCAAAACATGACTGTTCCCCTTGTGAACTGTTTAGTTAGATTTCTCAGGTTGTAGAATACTCATTGATACGGTGTGATCACAGAATTAACTATATTGTCGTAGGTGACAGTTTCTTCAAAATATTTCCTCTGCATAGAAGTTACCAATTGAAATCTTATCCCTCCCCCCCCCCCCACCCCCTCCTGAGCCTTCGTGTTAACTCACGCGCTTCGTATCAGTGAGTATACGTTTAGAATTCAGTGCCAAATATGCTTTCGAATTTCGTTTTTTATACTGTGATTATTGTTTACTTACCTGTTTATTTGTTGATACTGAAATTTCAATCATATAAAGTTTCATTATTTATTAACCTTGTAAGAGTTAAATTCATGCCAAGTAATCCACAATGGGAAGCTCAGTGATGCCTTTGAAGTGAAGACAGGAGTGAAACAAGGTTGCCTACTATCCCCCATGATATTCCTTATTGTGGTGGACTGGATCATGCAACAAACAGTAGGCAGCGAGAAGAAGGGGATACACTGGACGACGGAAAAGAACCTAGAAGACTTGGATTTTGCCGATGACTTATGCCTAATGTCACATAAACTTGAAGATCTGCAGACAAAAACTAACAAGTTGATAGAAGAGGCAGCGAAGACGGGACTTCAGGTGAATATAGAGAAGACAGAAGTGATGAAGATACCGCACCACCACCATCAACAACAACAACAAACTCCAATCACCGCCAACGGGAGAAACTTGAAGGAAGTAACCTCCTTCACTTATCTAGGAAGCACTGTTTCAACTACAGGCGGGACGGACGAGGACGTCAAAGTCAGAATCGGAAAAGCAAGACAGGCCTTCATTAGCCTGAAACCAGTGTGGAGATCTTCTGCACTCAGCATGTGGAACAAGATACGGATTTTCAACACCAACGTCAAGTCAGTGCTCTTGTATGGTTCAGAGACTTGGCGCGTCACGAAAGGCATTTCCAATAAACTACAGACATTCATCAACAACTGCTTATGCTCGCTGCTGAAGATCAGATGGCCAGAAAGAATAAGCAACAAGGAACTCTGGGAACGAAGCAACCAAGAACCTATCACGCAACAAATATGCAGGAAGAAGTGGAGATGGATTGGCCATGCACTGAGAAGGCCGACTGAGGACATCACGCGTCAGGCCAGCTGCTCGAGTGGAATCCCCATGGGAAGCGACGAGTTGGACGTCCGAGGGTGACATGGAGAAGATCGCGCGAGGAGGAAATGAGAGGTTGTGGGCTGTCGTGGGACCAGGTTCAAAAGATCTCAGAGAACAGAGGTCACTGGAGGCGTGCTACTGAAGCCCTATGCTCCATTAGGAACCCAAGGGACTAATAATAATAATAATAATAAGAGTTAAATTGGCTTGATATCTAAACAGTTGATATGATGATTACGTGTATGTATGTATGTATATATTGACTTTTTCTATATGTCGTAATTCACTTTATGTTGGATGTGTGTAATTGTGAAATGGTACTGTACCTTGAGTTCTCCAGTTAGAAGCAAGGGAAATGCACATTGAATTTCAGTGACAATAATTTTTGAATGAATATTTAATATATGATAGAAGATAAAGAATTTCTGAATTTCGATGACATTTGAATTGTAGAAACGAGATTTTTTCAATTCTAAAGAAAGATTATGAGTTGAAACTAACTGTAGACAAACTGAGATTATGTTTCAAGGAGAGTTTTATCTAAGCAGTTACCATTGTGGGGTAAATTGCTAAGGTATGATGGGGGTCTGAGGACGAAATTGTACTCGTGTCTGCTCGATGGAGTGTGAAAGTAGTAATGTGTTCCTGTTTAGTAGCCAACACTGCGAGGCTGATGCTACCTTTTCAACTTGAAGAGAATGGAGCGGTAAGTCAGAGAAGGTTGACCACCATATCCCGCTGTATTTCGGTGCCGGCGGTATGGGTTTTTTTCCTATTCGGCATTAAAACAACCAAACCTTAATACAACAACTTGCAAAGGGTCTTATGTGCCACCTCAAGTACATCTTCTACGGGCTCTGTGGTCCCACAAATCCGGTATATACGGGATCCCGTTTCAACTAACCGACACTGGTGACCATGGTTTGCAATTTTGTTCTAACAATCACTTTTTTCTGGCCAGCACTAAATTAAGCATAAGGAGAGATACTGTTAAGCTTGGAATCCACCGACGTCAAGCGTCACAGATAGGTTATCTTGCTTTAAGTCAACGTTGGGAAAGCTCTGTGGAGCACTGCCGCTCTTTCTGCAGTATCAGTTTTGACTCTGATCATGCGTTGGTGGGAACTCATGTATTTTCTCTCTCTTTGTGGTCGCAGGAAACAGGCCATACTAAAGGCTATATATGCTCGATTTGAAGACGAGAACGTCAAGTATGTATTCGCGATGGAGTTAGCTAAGCATTCATCTGAACAAGACAGCAATGGTCATACTGGTCATGGGAAAGTAAATTAGACGTAAGTTGATCAAGAGTTTACACATCGATTGCAGTAGTGTGGCGAACGTGAGAGAGGTAGAGAAGGCATCAACGTTGGGTAACATGCGAAACCTATTTAAGCTTATTAAAAATACTGCAAGAAGAAGACGATGAGTGAACCCGTCACCGAAAAGGGTGGGCCACTGACAACCTCTGAGGACAGACGGCTGGGACGTTGGACAGAACTCTTTTATGCACTGTTCAACTGTCCCTCAGTAATACTTCAGTTTCCCACCATCCAGCCTGAACCTGAATGGGGCGTAGATGTCGGTTCTCCAACTCTCCTTGAAGTTGAGAAGGCTGTATCGAACGTGAAACGATGCAAAGCAGCAAGATCTGACAATTTACAAGGATGGAGGTAGGGAGTTGCTAAATAAGGTGACGGAGGTATTCGAAATTGTATGGGAATCAGAGAAAGTGCTGTCACACTGTCCTCCGATCATCCCAATATATAAGGGAGAGAACTCTCCTTTTGATAACATAACCACAGAGGGTGGCGGTCGCGCTATGTCGTGAACCAATAAAAGTTGGAAATATGGACCTTTGGATTCCGACGCAGTGGCTCACTGGCAACGTGCTAGTCATAGAACCTGACGGTCGCGGGGTCGTAGGTGTGCACTGATGAAGAGTTCCATACTAGGAGGAAGTAGCTGTCCAGTGCTCCCAAGTTTCCAATGTTCCTCTAACTGATGTCAGTCCATGATGAATTCCAACTTGGAAAATCTGTAATTGCCCACAAACTTCCAAATTCAACAGAGGAATAAGTTTCAATAACATTGTGTTTAAGATCGTAGGATCCTTAGTTATCCGTCGCCTAACTGGAGCTGAAGAACAGAAAACTCAAGAAAAGCTGGCAAGTTTCAGATAGATCAGGATGACGGTGCATCGATCATATTTTTATCCTATGACAGGTTCTGAAACATAGGCGTACCTACCACCCAGTGGTGGAGATTTGACATATTTCATGATATGAAGGTGACATTCGACTCTGTCGACCGTGAGGTGTTAGGTCAATGTCTGACTGTGAAGAGAGTACCGAGCAGAAATACAGCGGTAATTAAAGCTCTCTACTCGAACTGACGCAGCTGTACCTGGGCTTATGGAAGATTGTTATGTAAATTGATGACTATTAGTGGTGTCCGTCACGGATGTCTACCATCACCATTCTAATGTAACTTCTTCATAGACGTAATAATGAAGAATCGCTTTGGCGCGTCTTACTTCCCAGTAATTGACGTACTACTTGGAGGTCATCTAGCTGACGTGGTATATACAGATGATATTGTGCTGTTTGGTGAACAGGTTGATAAAATGTAGGGTCTTCCGAACTCGTTGACCAGAAATTTCAGTATTGTTTGGCATCCGTTTCGCACCTGTCAAATATGAGATGATGCTCCATGACTTGTCTGCTGCAAGTATTCGCAGTTGATGATTGGGATTGAAGTGGTGGAGTGTGTCAGTTACTTCACCTACCTAAGTAGTTTCATCGGCCTGAACACGGCGGTTGGTGACGAAATCTGAGCCCGGATTCGAACCAGCAATCACTGGGTTTCCTGCCTAATGCTCCATCAACTGGGATACGAGGTGAAATAAAAATCTGGTCAGCAGTCGGATCTCATAGCTCAGTTGGTAAAGCATCGGACTGGTCCTTGATTGGAATCTGGCTGCGGTTCAAATCTTCATTTCACATTCATCCAGTATAGACATTTATTTGCTCAGAAGATATTTCTTGATAGGTTTGGAGAACATGCAGACATGAATTAGTGTCAATAAATCTGCTGAAAAGCTGCAGAGACTTTCGAACATTTTCAAGGATAATTTCACAGTGTTTACGATGCATTTCTTACCTTAGACATGTAACTAGTTGCTTTATAAACTGGTTTGCAATCCATACTCTCATTCTAGATTAACCCATAAAATAGTCAACTAAATACGAGTATTTTTCTGTTTCGTATTCAGATTAATTCCCCGTTGATTTCGCGTTGTAAACTTTAACAACTTAGACTCATTCACTATTGCATCAGACACACTATACTCTACTAGTTAAATATCTTTTGCACAAATGAAGTTGGCGAAATTGCCAGTTCAACACATCCTGTTTGGATGGTATTTTATGCATTTATTTCATTGACTTGAGCACTTATATTCCAAGCAGGGAGTGTTTCAACTCCAAACAGTGACGTTTGTTGTTTGGTTTGAGCAACCAAACGTTAGCGTAAACTTGTATAAATTGTGATGTGTTGACGTAGTACACCTAACTTATGCCGACATTCTGAGCTGCATTACTTATTTACATTTTTCAGTAGTATAAAGTTAGATGCTAATTTTAATGATGGGGTCAAATGCATGCCCACCTTTAACTTTTGGGTCTATCTCTTTATTTCTGTCTCTCTCTTCATCTTTGCGATGGGGTTCGATAGATTTGAAGATTACTTCAGTGCTAATGAAAATTGATAAGACATGCATGTCTGCTGTTAAGCTATAAAGTTTCCTTAACAAGAACAAGGCATGTATCAGCGAAGAAATATTTTTCATTTCTTTTCTATAAAGTTTCGTCTCTAATCA